GGAGATACAGCAAAACACAAGAGTGGGAGACAGTGTCCAGTGATGGGGGCTCAGTGATTCGGTGAGTGAAAGGGGTCGGGAGACAGCCCAACGCATGCCCGGTGCCACAAGGTCCCGCAAACACCACTGGGAGTGGCACCCGGCACTGCCTGGTATGGCACAAAATAAAGGCGACCCCCCCACAAGGGGCTGGAGGAAGTGGGGTGGGGACGGGAGCAGGTACTAGGCTCTGGGTTCTGTCCCCCAATCCCTACCCCGCACCCAACACACTAACCGTTGGGGCTGGGGAGATGGTACAGTGAGCAAGGCGCTGCCCCTGCATGCAGTGGACCAGGGTTCGATCCCCAGGACCCCTTTGGCCCCTTGGATCCTGCCTGGAGTGACCCACGGGCACGGAGCTAGGCGTTAGCCTTGGGTACCACTGGGAGTGATCTCAAAACAAGAAATCAAAAGGTGCCAATTGCGTGGCTCAGTGTCCCCCCTTAGGAGACCTTTGTCCCTTTGTCGCTGTGCACCTGCAAGTCCCTCCTATGAGATCATCCTGTATCTGTCCCTTTCTCGCCGGAGCCACGCAGCATGAGATCTCTCTAGTTTATCTCTTTTGCTGCAAACTGCACGATTTTGTCCTTTCCCAGAGCTGCATAGTATTCCACAGTGCCTTGGTCGTCCACCCAGAGTTGGCCCTTTAGCTTGTTTCCAGACCTGGGCTACTGTCCCCAGCACGGTGGCCGCCTCTGTCACGTGTACGGGATTGAGAGCAGACGAAGAGCCTGTCTGTGGATTGTCTCCCTGGGCTCTGCCTCCGGGAACATCGCTCACACTTGACCTGGACACCCGGGCACGCTCACAGGAGGAGAGATGCCACCATTGCCAAGTGGCCAAACCAGCACCCAGCGCAGGCCTGGCTGTGCCCCGTCCAGCTTCCTTGCCCTGTGTCTGCTGAACCGGGAAGGGCTCCCCACTGGGGGAAGGAAGGACAGACAGAGGGCTGGTGGGAAAGGAGCCCAGGGGGCGGAGGGCGAGGGGACCGAGTCCCGATGGGCCATCCATTAGTAATGTCTGCAGCTCCCCTGGAGGTGGTGAGCCCCTGCGGACAGGGCTGCCCGCCAGCTGCCAGGCCTATGTGGCACCATCCGTGACTCTGACAAGTGTCCAGGCTGCCGGTCCCGCATGGCCTCAGTGCCCCTCACGGCATGTGCCACCACACCCCAGCATCCGCGAGTGGGTGGGAGTGGAGAAAGGCTCCTGAGACTCTCTGGGTCCCCACCCCAATCCCTCCTGCAGCCCCGTCTGGGCCAGCCCGGGTGACTTCCCCTGCCCCCAGGGCAGCTAACGCTGAGGGTGGAAGGGGCCTTCAGAGTGGGGGGGGGGGTGGCCGATTCCTACCCCAGAGCCTCCGGCTTGTAATGTGGCACCATGTCTGCACCCACCTTCTTCCCTGCAGGAGCAGCTCTGCTCCCAAGTCCCTCGGGCTGGGCATGGCCCCGGAACTCCTGCCCTTGGGGACAGCTGTGTGCTGGCACCTGAGCCGCCATCCGCCCTGCTGCGCGCCGGGCCGTGAGCACGCACGCTTCCGTCTCATTCCCTATTGGGCCGTCCCCCTCTCCTTTGAGCCCCCCGCCTGGGTTCCCACGACTATGTTTCCTGGGGGCTGGCTCAGAGACCCATTTCTTTCTTAAGTGGGTCACACCGGCAATGCTCAGGGTGTGACTCCTGGCTCTGCACTCAGGATTCCTCCTGGTGGTACTCAGGGGACCATATGAGATGCCGGGGATTGAACCCCGGGTCGGCTGCGTGCAAGGGAAACACCGTCCCCGCTGTCCTATGGCTCCATGGCTCCGGCTGGGCAGACAGAGTGCACCCTCAGAGCCCGGGCTGGGCCCATCAGGGGTCTTAACGGTGCTGCCGCGGCTGCCGATATGACAACGAAGTCCACAGAGCTGAAGACCTGCCAGCCAGGGTCACCCTGACTCGGCTTTTTTTGTTTTTGTTTTTGGCTTAGTTTTGGGTCATACCTGGCGATGCTCAGGGGTTCCTTCTGGCTCTGCACTCAGGAATTACTCCTGGCAGTGCTCGGGGACCCTATGGGATGCCGGGGATAGAACCTGGATTGGTGGCATGTAAGGCAAACGCCCTCCCCGCTGTACTATCACTCCGGCCCCAAGATGCGAACATTTTCTTAGGGGGAAAGTTTCCCAGGTGGTGTCCGTGAGCCCAGCGATTCTTGGCCAGGAGAGAAAGGGGGTGAGATGCGGGGGTCACAACTGAACGGGAACCACAGCTCTCGCTGCGCCAAAGCCCCGACTCTCAGCATTGCCCTTAGAGCCAGAATCAGGGGCCAGAGCACTTGTACAGCATGGAGAGCACTCACCTGGCACGCGGCTGACCCCCGCCGCCCCCTATGGGGCCCCGAAACAGATGCAGGCTCAGCCCGAGCTCTGGGTCAGCTGGACACAGGCCCATGTCCGCCAACCTGGTGACTCTGAGAGGCGGCTCAGGCCTGACTCTGCACCTCAAAGGGTAGAGAGCACTGTGGAGCCCACCTGGGCGTGTGTGTGTGTGTGTGGTGTGTACTGTGGATCCTGCCTGGGCCTGTGTGTGTACAGCCAACACTGAGCATGTGGGCCTTCTTCGCGAGGGGAGTGGCGAGTGCCCACTGCAGAGCTGCCTGTCCCCATGCCTGCCCTGCCAGTGCCCCAGCACCTCTGCCCTGACCCTCTGCTGGGACGCGCTGACACCAGTGAGCACGGCCGTGCTTCCATGTCCAGGGTCCGCTCTGGAGGACAGAAGACCCGGCCCCACGGACTGTCCCCTCCCCCGCCGGGTGTGGGCGCGGACAGGCAGAGCCTGTGGCAGGAGGGCCTGGGCAGTCCCGCTGGAGAGTGCAAGGGCAGGGAATCGGGCCCCCCACAGGAAGCACAGGTCCTCCCGCCTCGTCCTTGCTCTGCCTTTTCCTGGGAAGTGATGAGGGGGGCTTCCAGTTCTGCTGATGATTCAGGTGACTCTGCTCTGTAGGCAGGGAGGCAGATCCAGCCGTGCCTGGGGCTCCTGCATGCACAGCCTGTGCCCAGCCCTCAGGGCCAGCTCTGGATTCTGTGCCACTTGGCGGGGAGGGCAGCCGGGGAATCTCAGCTAACTCGGTTGGAGGCCAGGGCCGGGGACCAGTGCTCCTGGGGAACCCGGGCCACCCAGGTGCAGGCTTGGTCTCCAGGCCACAGCCAGCGATGCGCAGGGGACCAAGCAGGGTGGGCCATGCCTTTGTGTTTGGGGGTCACACCTGGTGATGCTCGCCATAGGGGATCGCACCCGTGTCTGCCAGGTGCAAGGCCACGTGTCTGTCAGTCACTCTGGCCCCATGGGCTGCGCCTGGACTCCTGGCTGCCCCCTGGCTGTCCCCCCTCCCTCATTCTGTGCACTCACGATGGAAGGTGATGGTGGCCCCTGGGAAGGGGATGAGAGGGCTGGCACGGGTGGGTCACGGGAGCACGAGTGCCATCTGACACGTGCTCCCTCCCACCACGAGCTGGACGCCAGCTCGAGCAGAGGTGACGTCTCGCTATGTCCCGGGGAGCCGACGGGCCGCGGGCGAAGCACGACACAGGCGCCCGGTGCCGAAGTACAAATTTAATAAAGCCTCTGGTCATCGTTCAAGCCGTAAGAAAGACAATAAAACCCCACTTAGAGCCATCAAGAGCCATCGCGGTGTCCGTGAACACCAGCTATAAAAGTACAGATTCAGTGTTTCAGACAGTGCAAGAGTTCCGGGACCTGACGCACGACCGCCGTCCCCAGAAGCCACGCGCACGGCTGACCCAGCGCCGCAATCCGGCCCCCGCCCACGCCGGCCGACTCACGGGGAGCAGACCTGGGGGTGCGGCAGGCTGACGCGAGGGAGACAGACCTGCCTCGTACCCAGCAACGCATTCAGAGATCTTTGAGGAACGGAGGCTGAGAAAGGCGTGGGAAGACTACAGAATCGGTTCACTACCACATCGTCAACAGTGCAGACTGAATCCCTGCCTTGACACTCCTGGGCACCTTTCTGCCCCAGACAGACATGCTCTACCCGGCCAGCAGCCCAGCCCCGGGTGCACCCCCAGCCAGGGCCCCGACCTCGCACGCAGGCCAGCAGGCGGCTCTGGCTGGTGTTCTGCAGCTGGGAGGAGAGCTGTGAGCCCGAGTCGCCCTGCGGGGCAGAGCGGGGCAGGTGCCGCTGGCCGGTCTCCGGCCTCACCTGGGTGGAGGAATGTGTGAGTGCGAGGCGCTGGCCGGGGGCGGCCCAGAGCACTGCGGGGCTGTCCCAGCCCCAGCCCCTCGGGCTCTCCCAACAGAGGGGTTGGCGAAGGGCTGCGGGTCCGACATCGAGTGCAGACACGCGAGCCGCCGCGGCCTCCTTCAGTGCGGGGGGCTCTGGGCGGCGAACCCCGAGTCTCTAGAGATTGTCCAGTCTAGGGAGGAGAGTAGGCGCCTGGTGGGCCCGGGGCCTAAGGTCGCTGTGTGTTCCTTCCTCGGGTGAGCCGGGAGGGTGGTCGCCCCCTGCTGTCCCCGGGGAGCTGCTGGGAAGGCCGAGAGCGCCAGCCCCTAGCCGGAAGGACCCTGGGAGGGGCAGAGGCCAGTGGGCCCACGAGAGGCGGCCTCTGAGGCAGGCGGGGCGGACGATGACCTCCCGGTGGGGGAGGTGCCGATGGGGAGGACGGCTTGGAGAGAGGCTGTTGTCTGTGCTCCGAGGCCTCCCCGCTGCTCAGGGGAGACGGAGGCCGAGGCTGTGTCGAGTGCATAGCGGCTTGGCAAGGCCTTACCTGAGATAGTGTTTGGAAACGGAAGGGGAGCCTCCCACGCGGCTGCTGAGGGTGCTTCGCGCACGTCCAGCCGCGCCTCGTGGCGGGAAGGAGAGACACCCCCCCGCCCGAGACCGGCCCGTCAGAAAGAGCAAGTCTTGTGCCGTCACGGGCCCGGCGCTCGGGGCAGCAGCTGGCACAACCCGGAGGTCGATTTCCTGTGGGGCTGGGGATGGGGGGTGGGGGGCGTCACGGGGCGGGGTGGGGCTCATGGCTATCGAGAGTGGCCGGGGCCGGGGCGCTGGGCCTGCCCGCCGCGCGCCAGGTCCGGGGCGTGGGGCGGCGGGCAGGGCCGGCCGGCGGCTAGGAGAGCTCGAAGCCCGTGTTCATGCTGACGGCGTAGCGCAGCTTCTCCCGAAGGACGCTCTTCTTGCTGTAGTTGGGCAGCTTGAGCAGGTTGAAGCAGGTGGAGGAGGTGGGCAGCCGGCCGCCGGGCTCCCGCTTGCGGATGGTGAAGAAGCCGCGGAGGACGCTGCCCAGCGTGTCCCCGGTGTCCTGCAAGCACACGCCACGCCCGGGCGGGGGCCTCCCTGGAGACGCAGCCTCCCTCTCCCGGCCGACCCAGAGGGCCGCACCCGGCACGGCACCCTCCCGCCCGCCCCCTAGCTGGCCTGCAGTGCCGAGCTCTCTCCTGCCAGCCACAGGGAGCAGCGGGAGGGGGTGGCTTTCCTGCTGGGCCCATCCAAGCCCCCTCGGACCCGAGCCCAGCCCAGGAGGGCGGCTGCGGCCCTTCCCCAGGCCTCGTCCAGGGAGTGGAGAAAGGCCCCTCCCCGCCGGAGCAGGGCCCCGGCTAGCCCGTCTGCGGCACCCCTGCAGCACCGTTGCCCGGTCCGGAGCGTAGCAAGGACCTCACGTGGGGGTGAGGAATGGCCACCCCCAGCCCCAGGGGCCACAGCAGGCAGCCACCGGGCGCCCCCGAGGAGGTACCTGGTCGTCGGAGACTTCCACGCAGCGGATGGAGAAAGGAGGCTTGAGGTAGGCGAATCCCAGGAGCGGGGGCCGGGAGCAGCTGGTGACAAACTGTGACACGGGCGGGGTCAGGGGTGGCCGAGTGGCCCCTCTGCTCCCTCTGGGCGCCGTCGGCCCAAGACCACAGCCTGCACGTCCCTCCCGCAGCCGGGACCCAAGGGGCCAGCACGCAAGGGGAGGCCCTGGGAAGCCGCCGACCTCCTGGGCTTGAGCAACTGGCTGGCTCTGCTACAGGGGGCCGGAGCGAGGGCCAGGCAGGGAGGGTGTCGGCCTCACAGTTCGGCCCCTGGCAGCCCGTGTTTCCCCAGCCCACCGCGAGCCATTTCGAGCACACGGCCAGGAGGAAGTTCTATGTGCTGCCAGGTTACGGCCCCCCAGAACAAAAACAAAACAACACAATCAGCCAAATGCTCCCCCTCCTTCTGGGGCACAGAGACGTGCTGCTCAAACGGCACCCAGCGCAGCCGCGTGCGGCGACTGTGACCACCTCGAAGCAGTGCTCGGGGTGGTCAGGAGACTACCCAGAGATGGTCCGTGCGAATCGTGCAAAAGCCCAGGAGTGTCTGGGCGGGGGTGGGAGGGTTTGCACCACACAGGCACTGCTGGGGGACCCTGTGTGGTGGAGAGTTCGGACTGCGGGTGGCCGCATGCACGGCGAGCACCTCACCCCCGAGCTCTCCTTCCGGCCCCGAGCGCCTTTCTCAGACAGGACGAAGAGACATTTGCTCATCATCACAGAAGCCTGTGGCGTCAGGCCTGGGGAGGACTCGCCGTGTCTTGGGGTCAGCGGCTCTGCCGGGGGTACTGCAGCTTGAACACCACCCCCCCCCCCCCCCGCCCCAACACACACCAAGCAGCATGGGGCGGAGAGGGTCCCACCCCGCTGGAGGAGCAAGGACGTCAAACATCTTGTGTATGTTCTGAGGAGGCCGTGGGCAGAGAGGGCCGCTGGCGGCGAGAGTCCGCCAACCAAGGCCTGAGGTTGGGGTGCTGCTCGGAACCCCAGCACCACCCTGCAGGGCTGCTGGGAAGTGCCCTGTGGGGGCCAGGGTCATCCCCCAGGGCCCGATGCGGCAGAGTGCCCCCGGGACCCCATGGGAGCTCCCCAACCCTGCCTGGACTTGAAGCCGAGGTGATCAACGTTCCTTTTTTCTCACAGAAAGGAAGTCGGGCTGGAGCGACAGTTCAGTAGAACGCCCGCCTCGCACATGGCTGACCCGGTTTCAAGTCCCTGGCACCACCAGGAGGAATTCTGGAGCGCAGAGCCGGGAGGAAGCTCTGGGCACAGCCGGGAGCGACCCCAAAACCACAAAGGGAGAGCGGAGGGCAGCTCTCAAGGCAAGCGCTAGTGAACAGGAGCCGGGGAGCCCCGGCCGACAGGACACGCACTCTCGGATCCCGGGGAAGGGTTTTCTACTGAGGGGGCCTCCTCCGGATGATTTTCCTTTCTCCAGAGTCAACGAAGCCCTCGGCCCTCCAGGCTCAGGAGAGCGTCTGCGCGCGGGTCCCGACGGGTGCGAGATACCTTCAGAAACATGGCCCTCTCCTCGGGCGTGAAGTCGGACGCCAGGATATCCCAGAGCCAGATGATGACCCTGTGGCTTCCGTGGAAGCCGCCATAGTACACCGTGTGCTTCCTGCAAAGAAGCCGGACAGTGGGCGGTGCTCAGCCAGGCCCTCGCGGCCACCTGCCTGCACAGGCTGGCCTGGACTCGAGCCGGGCAGTCGGAGCACGGGCACCGTGTGGGAGGCAGCTCCCGCATGGCCACCGCGTCTCCGGAAGCTGAGCAGGCGGAGAGCAGGGGAGCCGGCCCCCGTTCCCCAGCCGGACCTTGGAGGGTCCCGGAGTCCCCAGGCCGACAAGTGGCCGCGCCCGTTTCCCCAGCAGCCGGCACGCAGAGCTTTTGAGGAGCCCGAGGGCTCTGTCCTGCCCCTCCCCGCCCGACTCCCCCCGCACGGCCCTTACTTTAAATCTTCCAGGTCAATCTCCGCATTGTCACCCGAGATGAGACGCTGCAGCTCGGGGGTGGAGAACATCCGGATCCATTCGGGTCTGATGATTGAACGGAACCCGCTGATGAGGGCAGCCGTCTGGTTTTTGATCTGCGTGTGCATCCGGAAATGTGCCATCAGATGGATGTAGCTGATTCTGGGGCGACAAGAGGGAAAAACGGAAGTGAACGGGAGGGCAGGCACCTGGCACCAACAAAGCACCAAGAGCACAGCGGGGAGGCGGTTTGCCTGGCAGCTGAGCCAGGTTCGATCCCCGGCATCTCAGGTGGTCTCCCGAGCACCCCCATGGATGACCCCTGAGTGCAGAGCCAGGATTAGCCCCTGAGCATTGCCAGGTGTGACCCCAAAAGCAAAACAAAACGAAACAAAAAAACAAAAAACAAAAACACACACACAAAAAGACAAGCAAAAAAACCCCCCCAAAGCACCAATGGTTCAGAGCATTTTCATGGGAACTGTGGTGATGCGGAGGGCGCACGCTGAAGGCACACACACTCCAGGGCCTGCCTTCACTCTGCTCTGCAGCCAGCTCGTCCTGCGCCAGGAATCAGAGTGAGACACTGCCGATCGATCGGATGCCAGCCCTCCTTAGCACAAAGGGGACTTTTTGGACTTGAATGCCACCTGATTGGAGATACACCGATTAGGATACAAACTGGTTCTCCAATAAGCTTCAAAGCATAGGAGACTGCATGGTGAAACGTGGATGAGCCTTGGCCGATCTGGGCCAGGAGGCCAGCCTGGGACAGGGCCGACAGCTGCTGGCTTTCCCTGGGGAAAAACAGAGCACCAGCAACGGTGCCAGGCAGAGGCGTGTCCAGGGCCGCACCTGTAAAAGCAATGACTCGCCGGCCAGCATGTGATCAGACGCTTTCGAACAGACACAGATACATTCCAAGAGGCCCCTGGATGAGCCCCGCTGTGGTCCTAGCAGGCCGCTGATTTCACAACGAAGGCCCTGGGCCGGCCCCGGGACGGCTCTCCAAACGCCAAACAAATCCATTTCACCCCACACGGCTCAGCTCCAAGTCACTAACCCTAACTACCACAACGTCGACTGATGGGCCGACAGCGTGGCCCCCACTCGTGCCCGTCCACGCGCGCCTGTTAGCACCACTCCTCCAGACATCGTGGGGCCGGTCATCACCCCGGCTCCATTTTACCCAGAGGAAGGGAAGGAGGGCGGCCGGGCCTTTGAGAACGGAGCAGCCCTGCCCGACAGCCGGGGCTGGTGGCTGTGAAATGGCTCTGCACGCGACAGGCTTCGGGATAGCGCAGGACTCTGCCTCCCGCCTGGGCGACACCCACTGCCTTCCTCGGGCTGTTCAGAGTCAGCTCCCACCACCCAGCCTGTGTTCTCGGCCGTCAATCGAGTCCCCGGGGGGGGGGGGGGGTCTGGTGGGGCTGGTTCAGTCAAGATGAGAAAAAGAGGGGTCTGTGCTAAGGCAAGATGCACTGGCGGCCCCCAGACTGACTCCACCACCGGGTCCGGGGGACACGTGCGGCCCGGGAATGCCACGCGGTGACGTGTCTTGGATGCAAAGGACCCATCCGAGGGGACAGAGCGCTCACTTGGCACGGAGAGGGGGATGCCCGGCTGAGCCTGGGGGCAGCAGACAGACTGACTGGGCCACCAGCTCCGCCCCTGCCAGGCTCTGCTCTTTAAGCGGGCAGGAACAGGGCATGCGAGGGGCTCGGTTCCCAGGTGACAGAGAGGCGACACTCCGAGAAGTCTGTTACCCCTGACCACAGCTGCCGGAACCCGAGAGTCCCGCCGTCTGCAGCGTTCGGGTTCCGCACAGTGCCTCTCCAAGGACGCCGAGCTTCCTACGAGGGCCACACGTCCCCCGTCCAGAGGCCCTGTGTCTGCAGCCGGAGCCGCCGCTCAATTCCCAGGGATGCGTGGCCCGGGTGCCCCTGACCTTAGAAGTGCCGCCGTGAAGAATAAATGGTCCGCTCTGATTTTGCAAATCGAAAGGAATAGGATTTCAGCCTATGAACTGTAACCAGTAAATTCCATTATGATGTTTATGGCCCCTTTCGACTCCCATCCGTCTTAATAAATCCTCAGAGGAAGCCGGGGAGGCGGAATGAAGTCTTTTCGAGTGGTGACCTTAAAAATCGAATCGCTCTACTCACTTATTTTCATTTGTAACAGGAATGGTCTTCCCTCCAGGAATCAGTTCGTGGCAGACAAGCTGGGGGAGAAAAAGGGGGAGCAGTGACTCCAGAGAACTCACAGGGGGGAAATCGAGCTTCCTGGAGGCGAGGGGGGAGGGGCAGCGGCAGAACCAAGACGGGGTGCGTGTGGGCACGGCCGTTCTCACAAAGCCAGGGTTCAGGTGCGAGCACGGAGACCCTGCGTGATGGGAAGAGCAGAGATCTCTCCTCATCTGAACTCAGGGACACTCTCGAGCCCCTGCCCCGGGAGGCTGGGGGCCCCTGGTAGGTCCCGGAAGGTGACACGTAGCCTCCAGAGCACAGGCAAAGGCCGGACACGCGGATGGACAAGCAGGCCCCGGACGACGGCGCAGCCATCAGTAATAGGATAAGAAGCCTTAAAAATTGTCATGTGAGATGGAATGAAAGGCAGATTATGTAACGGCAGGCATAGACCGGTGTCATTTAGGAAGGGGAGATACCCAAAACCCTCTGGGGCGGGGACGGGTCCTCTGAAGAGACAGGCGTGCATCCGCCGTGGCTCTCCCCAGGACCGGTCGTGCAGGTCCTCTTCATTTCCATCCTCACGCTCATTTTATTCGTTCATTTATTCTCTGACACACAGGCCACCACCCAGCAGGGCTCTGGAAACCGTGCAGTGCCAGGGATTGATTTCAGGGTCCCCAAAGCACACACTCCAGGCCTCTGCGCTACGCTTGTTTAGTGAGATTAATTCATTTGCTGGGCGAGGGTTGAAAACGAAAGGGAAGAAAGCACCGGGTTGGGGCGACCGTGCGGCGGGGCGCCGGCCCCCCAGGTTCCAGCCCCCGCATTCTGTGTGCCCCATGAGCCCTCTGGGAGTGATTCCTGGGTGCAGAGCCAGGCGTAACTTCTGAGCATTGCCGGGCGTGGTCCAAAACCAGAAAGAAATTAAGAAAAAAGAAGAAGAAGAAGAAGAAGAAGAAGAAGTAGCAGCTTAAGTGAAGGGCCCAGGGGGGATTCCCTTGGCCCATCATTTATAGCTGAGCTTTCAGTTAGGAATTTATTTTTTTGTTCGGGAGAGAAAAACGTCAACGTCGAGAGGAAGGCAGATCCATTTGAAGACCAGAGAACGAACTGCTTTCCGCAACACCAAGGACGGCCACGAACCACCTACAACTCTGAGCATACACACGGATTTTAAGCTCAGACGAGAGACTAAAATTTTTGAGGACTATACCCTCACTCCACTGCTGCGGAGAGGAAGCCAGTGACCTGGGTCTGGGGAGGTGGCTCAAGGGGCAGAGCTCAGGCGGTGTGTGTGTGTGTGTGCGTGTGCTTCAGTATGCGTGCATGTGTGTGCTTGTGTGTGTGTATGTGCTTGTGTGCGTGTCTGTCCCAGGGTCGACCCCCAACACTGCGCGACTGGGAGTGGCCATGAGCACGACCAGGAATGGTCCCCAGACTGAAGGGAAACCCAGAACTCCCCGAAGGGTTCTGGGACACCGAGTTGGGAAAGCTGAGCTGAGGCTGCTCAGGGCTACCTCGAGGGCGAGGCAGGCGGGTTCCCAGGGCCCCCCCAGGGTATCCGGCACAGTGGTCTCCGATGCACTCTGGAGACTGCCAGGCGCCATCGAGCGGACCAGGAGGACACCCGGGCACCAGGCCAGGACGTTGGCCCCACATTCTACTGGGAGGCTCCTCCAGTGTGACAGCCCTCGACGCCCTGTAGGGGGCGCTGCAGCACCTGCCCAAGGGCCTGGGCACCTGGATAAAAGCTGGGCCACTGGGCGAAGCCTCCGCAGCCTGCATTTCCAGGCTTTCCTCTCCCCGCTCTGCTGTCTACACCGAGCTCAAGCAGGACAAGGGGCATCCCCGATCCAGATCCTGAGGCTCCACGCGAGGCAGCTAACCCTCACCAGGAAGACTGAGAATTGTCCCAGTGGAGCTGCGGGTCCCGATGGACCCCAGCCTCGCAGCCTCTGGGAGGGGACAGGACACACCTACCTGACCCATGACGTCCTCATCGTAGGACAGAGTCAGCCCCAGGTCAGCGATGTCCCCGTCGTAGCGCTGATGAACAGAGGAGGAGGTAAGAGCTAGGGACAAGGACAGCTCTGTCCCTCAGGGTCCACCTCCCGCCCCGTGGCGCAGGCCTGTCGGGCCGCTGCGTGGCCCTGACGCGGGGGAGAGGGGCTGCAGTGGCCAGCAGGGCCCCGTGCCACGCTGGGCCTCGCCCCTCCGCTGCTGGCCACAGGCTGTGCTGCGGCCCCGGCCACTGACCTTGATGGAGGTGAGGTTCTTGTAGAACTCCGAGTCCAGAGAGGGGAGCTCGTCCACGGAGCTGTAGAAGACGCTGTGGTGGTGCCCGAGCAGCTGGCTCAGGAAGAAGGAGGCGAAGGGCACGTCCACCACGATGCCCTGGATGGAGGAAGGGAACGTGGGAGCCGCCTTCTGGGCCCCAGGCCATCTCGGACGCCTCCCTCCCCTTCTTGTGGCCTTCCCAAGCGGGACCCCTGGACAGCACCATTTCTTCCTTGTTCGGCCAATGTGACCTGGTGGGTCTAGGGGCTTCCCAGGTCCCGGAGACTGAGGGAGGGACGCCAGCTGAGGGGAGGGGCCCGGGGGCTTGCGTCAGGGCCAGACGGCTGCTGTGTCCGCTCAGCTGGGAGAACGCATGTCTCGAGGGGAAGAGAAGACCCAGCCTGAGAAATAGGCAGGGCCTGGCAGGGCGGCCTCGGGACCTGGTGGGGGTCCAGCATCGCTCAGGGGGGCTATAGGCAGGGAAGGGCAAGGTCGGTGGTTCCTGAGGGCGCCCAGTGCGCCTGGCTTCACACTCGGGCTCTGCCTTCGCACAAGACTACGGGGGGGGGGGGGGGGGGGCGCGAATCCTGACGCCTCGGTGTTCTCGGGCTGACGTGGGCCAAGATACCAGCCCACAGGACGGCCAAGCGGGCAGCAGGAGAGAACCCAGCAGAGCGCCGGTGCTTGTGTCCACTCGGCTGTGCAGTCCGTCCTCCTCTCCTGGACTTTACCCGAATGGCCACGGGCGGACCCGAAGCCCCATGGCCTGTCCAGCCCCACTGCCCCGCCCGCCACAGCCGTGCCCTGCCCAGGCCTACCTCGTACACGGCCTTGCCCAGCATCTTGCCCACGAACTCGAAGAGCTGCAGGTAATTCTCGTGAATGTAGGACGTGGGCGAGGGGTAGAGTCTCTCGTCCCCGCTGGTGGTCTGCGAGGGGGAGGCCCGACGGAGGCAGGGGTGAGCGGCCTGGACAGGCCGGCCGGCCCGCCTGCCGCTTCCCACCCGTCCCTCCGCCCGGGCTCCCGCCGGCACCTTGAACAGGTTGAGCGCCGGGTCGAACACCCTCTTGATGATCTCCTCCAGGAACTCCTTGAAGACGCCGTCCTGGTCGATGCCGGCCTCGTCCACCCCGAGGTCGTTGACGAACTTCACCCGGATCACGCCCTTCATGGTGTGGTGGGAGAGCTGCCGGAGCTGCTCGTAACCGTCCTGCAGGGCGCGAGCACGGCTGTCGGGGAGCCCAGCCGCTCTGGCCCTCCCGCCCCGATGCCCGACACTCGGGGGCGGGAGGAAGAGCCCTTCTCACTGGCCTCCCCGTGAGGCCCTCACCGGCGAGGCCGGATCTCGGCTGGGGATGCGGCGCCGTGCAGAGCACCCGCCTTGCACGTGCCAGGCCCTGGGGTCAGCCTTCAGCGGTGCAAAACCAAAGGGGGGAAGGGCCCGGGAAGACGGAGCCCGAGGGAGCTCTGGCGGGTTCTTTCTCTCCCCAGCATGGCATGGTCCCCCGAGCACCAGCGGGTGTGGGTCCCCTTAACCCCTGGCAGAAGAGCAGGATGCTGTCCTCTTTGCTTGAACGCTATCTTTTGGCTCATGGTGAAAGTGAGAGTGAGTTTTTGAAGATGCTGAAGATGAGGAAGGAAAGTCCCTTCCCCGCTCCTGCAGGGCAGTGGGGGCTGCAGGGGTGGTACCCGCGCCCCTGGGAATGTGGGCGAGAGCGGGGCATCGCTCGCCCACCGCCATGTCAACGTGGGCACAGGAGAGAAAACACGAGGCCCGGCCGTGCCCCTGACCCCAGAGCGAGCTTGGCTGAGAAGCTAAGCCCCTCACTTCCGAAGGGCCAGCTCCACCCCCTGGAAGAGGAAGGACGCCTTCCTGAGGGACTTCGGGCCAGCCCCAGACGCCCAAAATGGAAACGCCACCTCCAACCCAAACCAGGACAACGGAGACAAGGCAAGCCTGAGGGAGCCGCGAGCCCAGTTGCAGCATTTCAATGCCCCCTTGTGTCGACAGCAAGCAAAGGCGCTGGCCTCTCTCCTGTTCTAATAGCCAAAGCAGGGGAGCAGGAGCACACCTGGGGGACTGGGTCACACCCCTCGGCACCACAGGCTCACGAGAGAGCCGTGTTCATGGGTATGGACAGGGACTTTGCCACAAACCCAAGGCAGACACCCCCCCCCCCCTTCGCCGTCTCTATGGAAAACCGAGCTCAGGGCTGGAGAGAGAACGCAGGGGGAAGGGCCTTGCCTCGCACACGGCTGGCTCATTCGATCCCTGGCGCCACACACGGTCCCGAGCCCTGCCAGGAGGGATCCCCACCCAGCAGTGCTCAGGGCTGACTCCTGGCTCTGCCCTCAGGGATCCCTCCTGGCAGCGCTCGGGGGACCCAGGGAGCGTTGGGAAGCAAACCTGGGTCCCCACCGCATGGAAGAAAAGTGCCCACACACTGCACTTTCTCTCCACTCTCTTCGTAAAAAATTAATTTTTATAAACTAATTTTTAATTTTTTTATTTAAAAAAAATAGAATGGGCTGGAGCGATAGCACAGCGGGTAGGGCGTTCGCCTTACAAGCGGCCAACATGGCCGACCCGAGTTCGATTCCTCCGCCCCTCTCGGAGAGCCCGGCAAGCTACCGAGAGTATTCGATATGCCAGACACAGTAACAACAAAGTCTCCAATGGAGACGTTACTGGGCCCGCTCGAGCAAATCGACGATCAACGGGAGGGCCTTTACCTTTACCTTATTTTAAAAAATAAAACCTCTGCTGGTGTTTGAGGGACCTTCAGGAGGCACATCTGGCATAAACACCAGTATATGTACTGGTGTGTATATAGTGCGTGATGGGGTACTGAATTCAGGGCAAATGCGAGGGCTGCGTTCCCACGCGAGTGGCGCGAGTGGCCCCGTGGGGACGTGTGGTCCTGAGAACACTCCAGCAGATGCGAGTCGGGGTCTTGTCCCGGCCACATCAACGCACGCTGACAACGCTCCCAGGGATGGAGCCAAGTGCTCGAGGGCGTTTCAGACCCACACCAGCCACGTGCACTGGGCCCTGGACTGGCGGTGGCCGAGGTGGGCCGTGGTCCCTTTCCTGAGCCTCTCGGGCTAGTGTCTACACCGTTTTCAGCGCTGCATGAATGTCTGACCCCAAGTGCCTTCGTCCACACAGCACCTCCAGTCCCATCTCCACAATCGTGGCTCTGCGTGTTGCAGGCCAAGGATGTCTGTCCTGACGGCAGGGGCACCAAGTGTCTGATGCCCTAATTCCAGGGTGCTCGCGGGGCAGTGCGGGACCCGCACCCCGGCCACGTCTCTTCGGAGCCCTGTAGGGTCCGGGACGTGAGGCCGGGGCGTCTCACCTCCAGCATCCGGGAGCGGCGGATGGTGATGTGCGTGACGTGGGGGGAGGCAGAGCTGGTCTCCACCAGCCCCAGCTTCTCCTTCTCCTTGATGACCATGTTTCGGAACAGGAGCACCCGCTGAAACGAGCAAAAGGGAGACCAGAACGGGGTCAACGACGGGAGCGAGATTCCAAGACGCACCACACGAAAATCAGGAGACTCCTGGCGTGCAACCTGGGAGCGACCAGAATGGGGCTCTCTGACGGGGGCTGCGGCTCCGAGGGACCCATGGGAACAGCCCGCAGTGCGCGCAGAGGAGAGGCCAAGGAAGAGGTTTTCGACAAGGAGCGGTCTGGCAGCAGTTAGGATCTCGCCGAGAACTATCTCGGGGAAAATCATTCTCCCTCCGTCAATAATCCACCGTGAAACCCTGGTGGCGAGGCAAGCCACATGGCAGCCACATAGAGCTCTGCCGGCTGCGAAGGAAATCAATATTATCCATTTAGAATACAGAAACATTGTGAAGATGATTTTTTTCTACTGTCGGAAATTTAAAGAACGATCCCACAGTCGACAGGTCCCTGACCTTCTCATCTGTCTTGCCCGAGCCCTCAAGCACCTTTCCCACCAAGAGCACTCCTCAAGGATTTCGGAGTGGAAGCCTCTCACTGTTCTCGGCATCAGCGCCCCTGGAGGAGAGCGGGACCCTCTACCCCACCTCGGGTCTAAGAATCAGGGGCTGGAGTGATAATGCAGTGGGTGGGACACTGGCTGATCTGGGTTCGATCCCCGGCATCCCAAATGGTCTCCCGAGCCTGCCGGGAGTGGTCCCAGAGGGGAGAGCCAGGAGCAATCCCTGAGCATCGGCGGGTGTGGCCCTCAAACAAACATCCAACAAACAAAAGAATCATTATTGTAGAGGCACTCCAGTAATGTCAGTGGAAAAAATCAACCCAATCATAGCTGTTGCTTTGTATTCGGGGAAAAAAAGGGGGGGGAGGGTTACCCTCCAAATCAGAAGCTTCGTTAACCAATAAAAGGAGTCGTAGGAACAGTAACAGCAACTGAGGGTATCAAGGCGATCTCGTTTCATCAGGTCATTAGCTCAGTGAAGTCAACATGATTGGAAGAGAAAAAGCGAGTGCCAGAAGCCCCCTGAGACGGGCTGTCCAGGCAGAGGGCTGTCCGGGAGGCGGGGCCGCTGTTCGGTGTAGCAGCTCCACGCTGCCGGCTTACACGCAGACACACAAGACTAACGCGCTCGGGATGGTCCTGAGGGCTCTGGGGCTCCGGGGAGCGGAGAAGGAGCCTGGCCCAGGCAGGGAAGGCTGCGGCGTGGCCTGGCTCTGGCCCAGGACCGGGAGCTGGGGGACCTTCAGAAACCCGCGTTTAGCAGTGGGGTTGTGGGACACGACTGCTTCCCGTGACCCCCCCGGAATGTTCAGCGTGAGCCTGAACGCGGGGTGCTGTTCCACGGAGCACGAGAAGAAGGTTCAGGCTTGGGCTGAGTTTCAGGCCTGGGCTGAGTCTAGGCTGGCACCGGCCAGCAGGACTGCAGGAGCACAGCGGCCAGGGCCCCGGGAAGGCTGGGCGGGGATCTCCATTCCGCGGGGGCTGGGAGACCTCCGAGGGCCTCCAGAGATGTTTCCCGAGCCCTGTGCTCACACAGCCACGGGGCGCTGAGTAAGCAGGCCTGGCCCCCGGATGGTCAGGAGGGGGTGTCCACAAGACACAGAAGCGAGCGCTGCATGCGGGTCCAGCGGGCCCACGCTCAGTGCGGGAGGGAGGGCCGCCTTCCCGGCCAGGCCTGGTGGGGGAGAGGCGTGGCGTCGGGGCAGATGGGCGGCGCACACAGAAGGAAGAGGAGGGGACTCAGCGCCCATGAGCTCCTCCTGCGCCCAGAGAGGACACGGACACCCCTTGGTGGGGAGGGAAACGGCCAGCGCTCAGACACTCCGGGCCTGCTGGCAGTCAGGGGGCCGAACAGAGGCCAGAGGCAAGGAAGCAGCTACTTTCCTTTCTTTAGGGAGGAGGGGGCGTCCGATGGGCAGAGCCGGTGGTGCTCAAGGCTCTTTCCTGGCTCTGCACTCAGGAATCACTCGCTCAGGACTCCTGGGGGTCTCAGGGGATGCCAGAGATTGAACCCAGCCTGGCTGCATGCAAACAAGCACTGTCCCCGCTGCACTGTAACTCCGGGCCGCGACCTTCCTTGTCTAAGAAAAGGGAAAAGAACAAGACTCAACCGGCCCCAAAAGACAATCTCAAGCAAAACTCCCGGACGTGCTCCCCAATGGTCAGGATCTGATTACAGCCCGGACTCACAGTAGGGAGGGCGCTGGCCTCGTACACTGCTGACCTGGGTTTGATCCCCGGCACCCCATGTGGTCCCCCAAATCTACCATGAATGAGCGATTCCTGAGTGTCGGGAGTTAACCCTAAGCACTGCTGGGTGTAGCCCCCCCCACCAAACAGAAACCCCGAGGACAGCAACACCGGCTCAGCAACTCTTACATCACTGCAAAGAGTACAGCAACAATGAATGTGGACGGAGGACTCAGCCTAGTACTTTGCCAAGCGTCTAATACCCATCGCATCCACAGGGCTCCCCTCGGCATTGTTTGGGTTTTTGGGGCCTAGCTGGCGGCGCTTGGGGTACCAGGGGGCACGGGGTGGAACCCAGGGCTCTGCGTGCTGAGCCCGCACCCCTGCTGAGGCCCCTGGCGCCCTCAAGGATTTAAGACTGTCCAGGCCGTATCTCCTCAGACCACTTAACTGGGGAGGACGTCTGGGAGTTTTGCTTATGATTGTCTTTTGGGGCCCTTTGAGTTTTGTTCTTTTTGCATGACCCGAGGGGAAAGGGGCGGGACTTGGAGAACAGAAAAAGGTGTGCGTGGCACGTGGGCCCATGGTGGGAGCGGGAAGGACGGCGTGAGCTGCTCACGCGTGGGCAAGCACCGCACCGAATCAACCACAGATAGATAAAAGCAAACGGCCCCAGTGCTGCACGGTGCGGATGGCGGGGAGGGAGGGAGGGAGGGAGGCTATCCACAGGGGCAGGCCAAGTAGGGCTGGGGACAAGCCCAGTGCGGCCCGGCAGGGAGCTGCTAGCCTAGCCAGGGGCCCAGGAGAGCGGGACTGTGAGCCGCGGGAGGAAGCCTGCCTTGGGAAACAGAACATGATGAAGACAAACGAGAGTCGCCTGCGAATCTCAGAAAATTAGAGCTGCTTGTATTCTGTTTCTCTTCTTTTTTTTGAGAGGAACGGGAGGAGGGGAGCGTCCCCAGCAGTGCCCGGGGGCCTGTCTCTGCAACCTTGCGAGCCCCCCCGCCCCCACTGGAGGGGCTCCGCTGTCGAGTGCAATAAGGATTTAAACAGCCACGCTCGGAGGGTGACGAGAGGCAGCTGTTAAACATTGAGGTCAAGGTCAAAACGCTATTGGAGCGCAGTGAAGAATGTCTCTAAAAAGCGATTTCATTTAGAGAAGCGTGATCTGTGCTCTTTACTAAAAATTCCATTTTGTCAACAGAGAGAGAGAGAGAGAGAGAGAGAGAGAGAGAGAGAATGGAAGAAAGGGCCCAGTCGGAGTTGGAGGGCCTCCCTGGAGGCTGCTGACCCTCGGGAGTGCCCCTCGGAGAGCTGGTTCTGCCCCTCCGCCCTGCACCCCGGACCCCGCCCCGGTCCCCACCCAGCTGTCCAAGCACCACTCCCATGCGGACACCAGAGCAGACCTCCCAAGCACGGTGCCCACATTGGGGGCCTGAGTATCAGGGACCTCGGGTCCTCCCTCCCTCTGGATGTGGACGTTCTCCAAGGCATCCAGGCGCCCCCTCCAGAAAAATCCTTTGCTGAATTCACCATCTCTCTACTGCCCGGTTCCCGCCGGAGTCCAGCTAACCTGCTGCCACATCCTCTCTCCCTCTAGCCAGTCCGCTAGGAACACCAGGGGCCTCTCCAGCCCCAAACTCTGCAACACCCCGGGCACTCAGGCACCTGCCCTGGTGGCAAAGGCCCCTCTGGTCCCAGCTGTCACAGCCCCTCGGCTGCAGGGACTGGCGCCCGCCTTCACGCTCCCTCCAGCCGCTGTCCGATTCTTCTCTCGACCCAGGCCTTTCGGCACCGCCCACTGCTGCCTGCCAGCCCTCAGCACCCCCCACCCCCGCCTCGTTGCCAGGCCCCACTGCACAGCTCCGCTCCATCCCAACTGCCGTCCCCCCTGCACGGACCATGACCCTCGCAGTCACGCTTCTCCCGGCGCGGTGGGTGGGAGACACACGGAGCCCGGCACGGGGCCCTGGAGCAGCCGACTCACGTTTTTGTGGGGGATGACGTGAGGGATGTACTGCAGGACCAGCTGCGCCCGCTTCCGGCCCTTGTCCAGTTCTTGGAAAAGCACGCTGGGTTTGAGATCCCTGGAACAGGGAGACATGGGCAGGGGTCATCACACCTAAGGACGCCAGCGGGGGTGGCCGCCGCCAGCCTGCTGCCTGCGCCCTGCAAGTCTGGACGGATGGCGGCGGGACCCACTCACAGAAGTGCTACCAGCCGCCTTCTGGGGCTGTCCGGTCTGTAACGCCCCAGCCGTGGGCTGGCTGGGCCTTTCCCAAAGACTGCGGGGCCTGGGCTGGGCCTGTCAGTGTTGCCCGAGACATCCACTGACCAGCACGAGGACACGATCTTACGTTTAGCTGTTGCTGAGGGGCTTCTCCTACAGGACCCCGAGAGTCTTACCCTGTTGGGAAAAACTGCCACTCGACTCCCACATGCCGGTGCAAGTCCCTTCAGGACAGCGGGGAGGGCGCTAGCCTTGCTTGTGGGCACTGACTAGGGCTTGATCCCCGGCACCGCACATGGTCCCACGAGCCCTGCCGGGAGCCCTGCCCTGCCCAGCGTGTCCTCTGTGCCCTGCAAGCACACACCACAGCCTGGGCTGGGGGCCTCGGGCATGGGGCAAACCCCACGGAGACGCAGCCTCCTCTCCCTGCTGACCAAGAGGCGGCACTCGACATGGGCTCCCTCCCTCCCACCCGCCCCGCAGGCGTGCAGCTCCGAGTCCTCTCCTGCCCGCCAACAGGAAGCAGTGGGAGGGGGTGGTATTTCCACTGGGCCCATGCAACCCTTCTCGGACCTGAGGCCAGCCAGGATGCGGCCACCAGCCCCTTCCCCAGGCCCCGGGGCGGGGCTCCCGAACCCAAACCAACCGGGACGAACGCAAGAACTTTCCAGCTCAGAGCGGGGGGCGTCTGCGAGACGGGCCCTGGCTTTCCGGCCACTCACAGGCTCCCACCAGTTTCAGGGTGAACACGCCGGAGCGGAAGGCCCTGCGAGGGGGTCCGTGGGGACAGGCATCGGCAGGACAGACACCCTCCCCTGGGTGCCGGGCAGGGCAAGACGCAAGGCCAGTTCCGGGTCAGGTCCCCCTCTGCCCTGGGCGGGAGTGCTGACCGCTCCGGCCAGCGGTGCTTCGAGCAAGGGTCCCCGCCCGCGCCGGGGGACTCACTTCCGCAGCCAGTGGTCCTCGGGGGCGAAGCTCCGCCGACAGTCCCGCTCGTAGAGCACCATCAGCCACCCGTGCACGGACTGGAACAGCTCCAGCTTCTCGCCCTTGGCATTCTCTGCGGGGCACAGAGGTCAGGAGAGCCCGGAGGAGGCAGAACCGCCCGCGTCCCCGCAGCACACTCCACAGAGCCAGTCGTGTCCCTCCCTCGAGCCTAGGACTGGCCGAGCGGAACCGCACCCTGGGGACACGCCGAGCTCGGACAGACCCGAGTATCGGACACTCCTGGCTCCCACTGCGAGGGTCCCCCAAAGGGGTCTCCTACCAAAGGAACACGTGAGTGGAGTGAGACCTGCACGTCCGTTCGTGTGCTCCCCTCCCCTTCTCTTGGGGTGTCAAGAACGACGCCCAAGGCTTCTACCACTGCACCTCACTCCTGGCTGCCTGGGCATGCGAGTTACTTTCTTGGTTTTTTTTTTTCTTTTTGGTTTTAGGGCCACACCTGGCGATGCTCAAGGGTTACTCCTGGCTCTGTGCTCAAAGGACCATGTCGGATGCCAAGGATCGAACCCCAGGTGACCATGCGGCATGTATTTTATCTTCAGGAAAAGTCAACTCAAAAAGTCAAAAGGAGATTCCAGGCAAATCAATCATCGTTAATAACCCTTCACACGGAGAAGCGCTAGCAAGGTTTTGGAGAACATAACCTGAACACGAAGGGAAGAGAAGACAAGACAAGCAGCTCGGGCCCGCACACACCGAAAGGCTTCTGTGCAGTGGAAGAAAATGTGAACAGAACGAAGACAGTCCGCGGCACGGCAAAAGCTCTGTGCAGACCACACGTGTGCCTCGGACTTAACACCAAGGGGTATAATGAACCCACCTAACTGAATGACAAATGTGGACAGATGATCTCTGGGGCTTTCTCCAAAGAGCACATACAGGGGGCTGCCAGGCAACCGGGAAAGTGCTCACCATCAGGAAAATGCAAACCGAGACCACGAGAACCCCTGTCGTGCCCGTGGAGTTGAGGAAGCCTCCGATCAAAGGATGGGGGCTGGAGAGAAAGCCCAGCAGGAAATGCGCCTGCCTTGCACCTGTTTACCTGGGTTCAATCCCTGGAGTCAGGCAGGAAATGAGGACAGAGCACCGCCAGGAGTAAGCCCTGAGCACCCCGTTTGGTTGGCGCCCCCAAACCAACCAACCAACCACCCAACCACCCAACCACCCAAGTGAACAAACTCCAAAACAAATAAGAGGAGAATGTTGGGGTGGGGGTGAGGAGAAAAGGGACCTGCCTGTGCAGTGTTGAGAATGCAAACTGGGACAACCGTTCTGGAAAATGCCAGGGAGGGAAGTTCAGTCTCAGCACCCCCTAAGGTCTGCCAGGCCCCCCGGGAGTGACCTCTGAAGCACAGAGCCAAGATCCCTGAGCGCAGAGCCAGGAGTGATCCCTGAGTGCAGAGCCAGGAGTAACCCTCCTTACCCCCACCAAAAAAAGAACCAAGACTGAGCTCCTACATGACTCAACAATTCCACTTTCTTTTTTTCTTTTTGGGTCACACCCGGCGATACACAGGGCTGACTCCTGGCTCTGCACTCAGAAATTACTCCTGGCGGTGCTCAGGGGACCACATGGGATGCTGGAAATTGAACCTGGGTTGGCTGTGTGCAAGGCAAACGCCCTACCCGCTGTGCTACCGCTCCAGCCCCAACAATTCCACTTTTAATGATCTACCCAAAGAACACAAAAACATTAACCCAAGTAGCCTCAACCCTAGTGCTTACTGCTATACTCCTTATGACAGCGAAAAAACATGGAAGCAAGTCAAATGCTCATGATGCCTGCATAAAAAAGGCATCAGGGCCACAGCACAGCAAGTAGGACACCTGCTTCGCACACGGCCAACCTGGGTGCGATCCCCCGCACCCCAGATGATCTCCTGAGCCCACGAGGAGTGTTCCCTGAGTGCACAGCCAGAAGAAAGCCCTGAGCAGAACTAGGTGCGGTCCCAAATGAGGGGAAAAATACTGGATCACTGAGTGAGTTCAGTTCTATGAGCCCAGCAAGGTGAGTGAGAAACAGACAAAACAAAATCAATTCCAACCAGCCGACGAGTTGGTTTCTTCCAACCAGTAAGAATGGAACCAAGATTACCAGAGAAGGGAGGGCAAGGGAAGGATAAAAAAAAAAATTCCTGGTACTAATCTCAGCCATTCTTGGGTGTTAGTCTCCTATATTACTTTATGTCCCCCAGATGAATGCAATCTTTCTATGTGTATGCCTTTCTTTCTGAGTCATTTCGCTTAACATGATACTTTCCATGTAGTAACACTTGTATGTATAAAGGGTGTTCGGAGGATCCTCCCAGGGTGGGAGAAGCATGCTGAAAGTAGACTATAGACCGAACATGATTGTCACCCATTGCCTCTCTTGCAGACCACAGCACCCAAAAGGAGAGAGAGAACAAAAGGGAATGCCCTGCCACAGAGGCAGGGTGGGATGGGGGGATGGGGGTGGGAGGGATACTGGGATCCATGGTGGTGGGAAATGGGCACTGGTGGAGGGATGGGTGTTTGATCATTGTATAATCGAAACCCAAGCACAAAAATTTGTAAGTCTACAACTGTATCTCATGATGTCTCACTAATAAAAATTTTTAAAAAATTTAAAAAAGAGTGGAAACAGAAACACCCTCACACCTCACAATACATCTAATCCTGAAGTACCCCCCCTCCCCGCCCCGGCCCCGGGAGAAGCTGCCCTCTCAGCTGCTGCCGCAAGTGCTGGGCATGTGCAGTGAGGCTGAAGGGCCGGCAGGGCCGGGCAGAGGCCGGCTTCCCAGCACACGGCATCGCTCCCACCTGGAGTGTCGTCCTCCCCTTACCTACGATGCCATCCCAGATCATCTTAAACACAAAGGAATTCAGGAACGAGGAGATGGTGACCAGCTCTTCCAGCTTGAACGAAATCTGCTCTTCGTAGACTTCGATGTCATCGAGGATCCTAAACCGGGGAGAAACCACTCAGGATTCCCTGCCGAGCCCGGGAACCGTGAGATGCGCGCCGCCTGGCAGGGAGAGCCACGGGCGCCAGCTCCGGGGTGACACGGACAGGTTTCTGCTGGGAACGTTCTAGGGCGGGCCTGGGCCTTAGGGTGGGGCCGGGAGAGAGGAGGCAGCACCCGCTGAGCTGAGCCTGCTGGCAGGCCCAGAGGTTCCACCGTTCCCTGCTTTCTTTTCGTTGGCGATCACAGGGGAAAAGTGAGAATCAGGGAATGTGAGGAAAAGTGAGTTCAGGGAATGTGCAGTAAGCGCTGCGTTGCATTTTTTCTTTTTTCCCCACCAACTCACTTCTGTAATATTTTTGAAGGTACAATTACAGACACTGTATTTTTCCTTATCACTTGACACCCCGTTACTCATCGATTTACTCGAGCGGGCGCCAGTAACATCTCCATTCGTCCCTGTCGCGTGCTAGTGTAGCCCAATGGCGTCTGCTCGTTCTAGGAACACGAACAGCCTCAAACCGATCGTTCAGGGTCTTGATGAAGTCTGACCGTCTTGCAGGTGGGCGGCCACGCGATCTTTTGACCTCCCGTGGAATCCAGTCGGTAATGACTCTAGTCTGGCGGTCGTCTCCAAATCTCATTACGTGTCCAGCCCACCTGATTTTCGACACCTTGGCAAACGAGACAGCGTCCGATTCTTTTCATTTTATTTTTTTGCTTTTAGGGTCACACCCGGTGATGCACAGGGGTTCCTCCTGGCTCTGCACTCAGGAGTTACTCCTGGCGGTGCTCAGGGGACCATATGGGTTGCTGGGAATCAAACCCGGGTCAGCCGCGTGCAAGGCAAACGCCCTACCCGCTGTGCTATCTCCAGCCCCAGGGTCCCTGATTCTTGACCATCGATGGCCGTCGGAACTCCACATTCTTTCTCAGTTGAGCAAAGCGTGAGACTCCAAGCATAGCTCTTTCGATTCCTCTTTGGGAGACCCGAATAGCATTCTCATCCTGTTTTCATAGGGCCCAGGTCTCTGAAGCGTATGTTAATGCAGGAAGAACAGTGGAATCGAAGAGATGTGCCCGGAGCCAGAGGTTTTTTGTCCTCTTAGCTATTTCTCCGACACCCTTTTTTTTTCTGTACAATTTTAAGTTTTGTGTTTAATTTTTTTCATAGTTTTATTTATTTTTCGTCTTATATTTATTTAATGAATCACTGTGGGAAAAGTTACCAAGGTTTCAGGTTTAAGTCTCAGTCATACAATGATCAAACACCTTTCCCTTCCCCAGTACTCAATTTTCACCACCAAGAACCCCAATATACCCCCCTCCCACCCCTCCCAATGCCTGTGAGGCAGATGATTTCTACTTAACTCTTCTCTACATTGATTACATTCGTTATTTCGACAAAAGATGCACATTATTGCTTAGAATTCCCCCCCCAACAATCAGAATCGCTGAAAAGGCATTGTGAAATACTGCTTTCCATAGATGGTCATGAGAATCATATAATGTTGCATGGCCCCTATTGCAGCCATGCAATTTTGGATTTCTTCAAAGAGCCAGATAATCACGACTGGTTTCTGTGCTGTCTGGTGTTATGGCTGTGCTGGAGAGCCGCTCGTGGGGGGCAACTCAGGACCTCGATAGGGTGTGAAGGACGAGCCGGTATTGCCCCCCTTCCCATCAGACTGCAGTTGCCCCATCACTGCTGGCTCATACCTGGCTTTCCTAGAAGTTCTGAGGCGGCAGCCACCTTGCTGCCGGGGGGGTGGGGGGCATGGCGCTGTAGTTTAACGCATGGTCCATTCACTCTTCTGCCACAAGCTGCCGGGCTCTGGACTAAGTCCTTTGGCCTCTGGAGCCATGGCCGCGAATGCGGTCGAGATGCATTTCTGCCAAAAACCGCTGGGTTTCGAGATTTTTTTCTGAGTCTCTGGGATCATGGCCATTAATCAGCTTGATCAGGAGCCAGACAGGCCATTTGTAGGTGGTGACTCAGGGTCTCGTTGGGATGAGGAGGAAAGGGCCGGTTCCACCCCCATCTCGTGAGGCCCCGCGTGTCTCATCATTGCAGGCCCAAACCTGACTGTCCAGTGGCCTCTGGAGGATGACAGTCAACCGGGCCACCAAGGGGAACAGGCCAAGGCACGAAACCTATTCCCACCTGGAGTGGCCCAGCCCCAGTAACTTATGGCAGGAACAGGACGCATTTCTGCCAAAAGCCTTTGGGTTCCTTGATTCGTTTCTGAGTCTCTGGGATCATGGCCGTTAAGCAGTTCAATCAGGAACAAGAGAGGCCATGTCTCCAATTATATAGCTGGGCCAGAGGTGGCTTGTGGGTGTGTCTCCTACATACCTAACTGTTGGCCGTTTGCTTTCTTGGTAAACTTTGCCCCAAATTTTTGGGGTCTGGCCAAAGGCACAGCAGCAAATTTGGGGTATCTGAAAGCCTGACGGTGCCATCAGGCTGCTGATGCACTCGCCTCACAGGTACAGATTGACCTGCTGGCGGTACCATACCCCCATATTTCTTCAACACTCTTGAAGACGTTCCAAGCCGCTCTCTTCCTCCTGCGCAACTGAGGTGCCAAGTCATTCGTCATGCTGAGTTCTCAACCTTCTTAAACTGTTGCACTCGGAGATGTTCATTCCGTTGAGAGCAAATGGAACGTCAGGAACGAAACCGTTTCTCATAAACACTGTCTTCATGAGATTCAGCTATAGTCCGACCTTTCTACACTCAAGGTCAAAGTCGGCCAGCATTTGTGCTGCTTGGCTAATGTTCGGTGTTATTAGAACAATGTCATCAGCAAAGCGGAGGTGGTGTAGTTGCCAACCATATATTTTCACTCCCATTCATTCCCATTCCAGTTGTCGCATGACGTTCTCGAGGGTGACACTGAAGAGTTTCAGTGAAGTGGTATCACCCTGCCGAACCCCTCTCTTGACATCGATGATCATTTCTTTGTAGAATGGTGAGATCCTGCTAGTGAATCTGTAAAACAGCTCATGGAGGATCCTGATGTATTGAGTTTGAACGCCCTGTTTGGCTAAGCTTCGATGACCACTTCCGTCAATAGAATCAAAGGCCTTCTTTAAATCAATAAACATTAAACAGAGCGGCATCTTGAACTCCCGAGAAACCTCAATGAGCTTGGCTATCGTGTGGATATGGTCGATGGTGCTGAATCCTTTGCGGAACCCAGCCTGTCGCATGGTTGTCCTTCATCTAGTGTTCTGCCAATCCTATTCAGGACTCGAGTGAACAGCTTGTAGACAACAGACAACAGGCAGATCGGGCGATAGTTGCCAATGTCGTGGATATCTCCCTTCTTGTACAGTAGTACAGTCCTACTGGTTTTCCATTGGGATGGAACCTTGCATTCAGACAAGTAGCGTGTGAAGAGCTGAGCCAGTGTATTGATGAGTACTGATGGTAGGTAGGTTCTTCAGGTGTTCGGGTATGACCTTGTCTGGGCCGGGTGCTGTTTGCTTTTTTACCAACAAAATGGTGTGTTGGAATTCGGAACGGAGACCGTTGGGAACGACATATCCATTCTGCAGAATTTGATATGTGGGCAGGTGGACGTGGCTATTGAAGATATCCAAGTAGAAGTCATAAATAATCTTCTGCATTTCCCTTCTGGAAGATGTGATAGATCCATCAGGACGTCAGAGGGCAGTCATTTGGTCTTGTAGTTGGTGAAGGACAGGCGGGCATTGCGAATGCTTTTCCTGGCTTCTGTCGCATCTACCAGCACTGCTGCTCTTTCAGGTCTTCCTTGATTGCTTCTCTGCACTGCTTTGCGAGCTCAGACGTTCGTTTGCGGTTGCCTGAGGCCTGCACCAAGCCACGTTGGCAAATAAGCTCAAGAGTTTTCGAAGACAGGCTTTTTTTGTGTGGCTATATCTCTCTTGGCGTTCCTCGCACAATCATGGAGGTGCTGAACCAGTCAATCGTATTCCTTGTCAATGTTGTCAACGACGGCCTCTTCCCATGTTGCCACAATAGTGCCAAAGGTCAAATCATAAAGGCCAAATGACACTGTCTTAAGCGGGGGTCAGATCCAGTCATGTCGCGTTTGGGCTGGAGTTCCGAAACCCCTGGTCACGTACCACTTCGCCACATGAACCGCATTCCGGGCCCCAGGGAGACATTTCCGGATCTGTGACCAAGTGCGCTGCACTTGACAGAGTCTGTGTGTCCTGGGAAGAGCTGTGGGCTCTTACGCCGCATCTGCAGACGCCAGGGGGTGCCCTTCAGGCCCGTGTGCAAGTTGGGCGGGAGCAGGAAGGTGTTGACAGAGCACTCAGCGACAGCCCTACCCAAAGATGGCCTATGGCAACTGTTCTCTGCAGGGGAGCCCTCATTTCCGGGCCCCCCTCGACCCAGCAATCAAGAGGACTCCCCAGCAGCTGCGGACCCCTAATCTCACCTCCAACCGACAATTGGCCCCGGGTCCTTCTTAATCTCTTGCCTACAGGTCCCTGGTTCCTTCCTGCATCATGCCTACCAGAATGTTCCTGCTTGAGGCCGACCCTGTACGTGAATCTTCACCATCCGTTGGGGTTACCAATGTGGCACTAAGAGAATGCCAAAGACCCTACCCTGACTGAGTGACTGGGGAAACAGAGGCTCAGAGAAGTCACGCAGCTGGCTCAGGGCCAGCCTGGGAACAACAGCAAGAATAACAGGCAACTTGTGTGATGATTCCGATGTGCCAGGGGTTACATGCTCAAGGCTGTGTGCACACTGTCCCTTCTAAACCCGAAGCATGGGCCGGTAAGCTCCCGGCAGAAAGGAGGGCACTGGAGCTCACAGAGGTGGGGCACCAGGTCTCCTCGCCCAGGAGGTTGTGAGAGGGGTAGAGCCTGGAGCCGGAGAGATGGTCTAGCAGGCTGGGCACTTGCCCTGAATGCAGTCAACCAGAGTTCAATCCCCATCATCCCATATGATTTCCCGAGCACCGCCAGTAGTAATTCCTGAGCACTCCCGGGTATGACACCCCCAAACCAAAATTGTAACTAAACAAAGCGACAGAGTCTGGTGGTGCACCCTGGCTGTAATTCTGGGCTCTACTGTGAACATCCCTGCAGAGTGTGAAGACCCCAATGGCCGACAGACACTGGTGCTGCGCCAGCTGCCCTGAAGGGAGAACCCAGGGTGGCTGGACCCCTCCTCGGCACCCCCTCTCGGCACTGTGCTCTCTGATTCTTCCCTGCCTCCCACACAGGCCGAGGCTGGCGCTGGGCACACTGGCCTTGGCTCCCCTCAGGATCGTGTAGCTGGGTCTCTCCACGGGCCATGTCCCCACACCCGACCTACGTGATGAGGTGCCGGGAGCAGTCGGAGAACAGCATCAGCATGGCCAGGAGCTGCTTGGACTCCTCGGAGTCGTTGCTGAGGCATTCCAGGAAAAGCTTCAGGCCCCCGTGGGGCCCCAGCTCACAGATAAAGGCCCAGAGCTTGGGCAGCAGGTCGTCAAGGTATGTGAGACCTAGGCAAGAACACAGGGACCCAGGCTCGGGGGGTGCTCCGGCGTGTTTCCTCTTTCCAGTGGGAAAACAAAACACCGAAACCTGCTGGCAAACACTTAATGGGAGAGAAAGAAGGGGAATTACCAAGAAACTCATTACCACCATGAGAATGACGCCGGTAAGAGCTAGCATTTACGTAATGAGGGCTTACTGGTGCCAGTCATCGAAGTCACTGTCTGCGTAAGCTCCTCTCTACCCGATGAAACACGCGTGAGCGCCACAGAGAGGCTAAGTCACTGGCCCCAAACCACACAGTCATTGCCAAAGCCCCAGCGGAGTCTGACAGGCTCAGTGTTTAAGCTCCGTATGCTGCAGTCAGGTGTGGTATTTGTTTTCCTGGGGAGGACCAGGCAACACACACCGCCAGGTCCCGTGGGGCAGCCAGGCAGCCGAAACCACTGCAGCACAAAAGCAACCGGAAAGCACAAGCGGATGCAGCCGTGTTCTGACAAAGCCCGATCGGCTGCGTTTGGGCCGCAGGCTGTGCAGTCCACCAACCTTTCGCGAGCCCCACGCTGCGCAAAGCCGCCTTCTCAGCTCTGTTAAAAACGAGCAAGTGCTGACCGACTGGAGCGGTCACAAAAAGTCTGGAAAAGTCACGAAATTCAAACCCGGGGGGGCGGGCGAGAGCTCAGGGGACTGGGTCCCTTTGAGTCCCTCGTTCCCACCGGCACACGCGTGGTCGATCTCCCCTTTGTGGATGGGGCTGGTGCAGCTCTTTCTTTCTTTTGCTTTTGGCCATGCCTGGACGTGCTCAGGGCTGACTCCTGGCTCTGTGCTCAGGGATCCTTCCTGATGGGGCTCAGGGGACCACAGGGGGTGCTGGGGACTGAACCTGGGTCAGCCACATGACAGGCAAGTGCCCGCTTCCTGTACTATCTCCCAACCCCAAGTTTTCCTTCTTTCAACTTTTCTAGTTTTCTATGCAGAACCCCCCACCAAAAAACCCCCCAAAAAACCACCTGTTTTATTTTATGTAAATAAACTAAATTTGGGGGCGTGCCAGGGAACTGAACCCAGGGCCTCATCTATGTGCTCGGCCACTCAGCGACACCTCCCTGGTCAAAGCAGCTTTTTCAAACGGCACCTCACTGTGAAAACCATCGCAAGTCAGAATGACCAGGAAATGGTCATGCCAGCCATGCCAGGGTGAACTGGAGCTGCCGAACTCACACGCGCCGATGCCTAAGAATGGCTCAAAAAACGCGGCTCTTTCCGATTTGGGCTCTGAGGGGAGTCCCTCGACCACAGCAGAGGGGGCGGCGGGAGAGAGGCCCGACCTGTGAGGATCTGCAGCCGGATCTGCGTGAGCGTGGTCAGCGAGGTCTGGTAGAGGACGCAGGTGCTGCACACCTTCTGCACCTCCGCGGAGTCCACGCGCCGGCCCCCCACGGGCCTGAGGATGTTGCGGACGGAGGCGGATCTCTGGAAGGCGCGTTTCAGGAGACCTGGCGCGGAGAGAAGAGGGCCAGAAGCACGGGCTGTGTCGCCGCCACGGTCCAGCCGGCACGGGACAGTGACGAAGCCCCACACCAGGGGCAGCCACTGCGGGGGCTGCCTTGACTCAAGTGGTCTTTGGGGGAAGAACTGACCGTGGGTTTTTATTCACCTCCCACCCAAAGACAGGTTCAGGCAATGGGGGCGAAAAACAACCTCTCAGGACAAGCCAGGCATCGTTCTTCTTGTTTTTGTTTTGTTTTGGGGCCACACCCGGTGATATCAGCCCAGGGCTTACTCCTGGCTACGCACTCAGGAATTGAATTACTCCTGCTGGTGCTCCGGGGACCATAAGAGATGCCAGGGATCCAACTCATGTCTGCTGCGTGCAAGGCAAATGCTCTTCCTGCCGTGCTACTACTCCAGCCCCGGCAGAACGCATTCTTAACTGGGATTCTTTTTCTGTCCCGCTGTTCTCTGAACCCACGAAAGTAAAACAAAAAACCTGATAAAAACAAAATAAAACGAAGACTAAAATGTAAATAAATCTGATGACTCTATTCTAGGAAAAGAGTAGCAAAGGTACTAGGCATGGCTGAACTCCAATGTTTTGTGTTTCTACACAGAAGCTGGGCACTAACTTTGTGTATTCTGAATGCATGGGCTGCATTCCTCTTCTGTTTTAAAATTTATAAAAGGGGGGCCAGACCAAACAGGTGAAAACAGAGTCAGATAAATGGGACTATCTTAAACTAAGAAGCTTCTGCACCTCCAAAGAAACAGTGACCAAAATACAAAGACAGTCTAAGGAATGGGAAAGAATATTCGGCAAATACACAAACGACAAGGGGTTGATATCAAGGATATACAAAGTACTGGTTGAACTCCACAAGAAGAAAACGTACAACCCCATCAAAAAATGGGGTGACGAACAAAAGGGAATGCCCTGCCACAGAGGCAGGGTGGGATGGGGGGTTGGAGGGTGGGACGGATACCTGGATCCGTGGTGGTGGGAAACGGGCACTGGTGGAGGGATGGGTATTTCATCATTGTATAATCGAAACCCAAGCACAAAAATTTGTAAGTCTACAACTGTACCTCATGATGTCTCACTAATAAAACTTTTAAAAAAAAGGGGGCGACGAAATGAACAGAAACTTTCCCAAAGAAGAAATCTGAATGGCTAAAAGGCACATGAGAAAATGCTCTACATCGCTAATCATCAAGAAGACACAAATCAAAACAACAATGAGATATCATCTCACACCACCGAGACTGGCCCACATCCAAAAGAACAAAAGCAACCAGTGCTGGCACAGATGTGGCGAGAAAGGGACCCTCCTTCACTGCTGGTGGGAATGCCGACTGGTTCACCCTTTTGGAAAACAGTATGGACGATTCTCAAAAAATTAGAAATTGAGCTCCCATTTGACCCAGCAATACCACTCCTGGGAATATACCCCAGAGAGGCAAAAATGTGTAGTCGAAGTGACATCTGCACTTGTTTGTTCATTGCAGCACTCTTTACAATAGCCAGAAACTGGAAGAAACCTGAATGCCCAAGAACAGATGACTGGTTAAAGAAACTTTGGTACATCTACACAATGGAGTACTATGTAGCTCTTAGAAAAGATGAAGTCATGAAATTTACATACAAGTGGTACTACATGGAAAGTATCATGCTAATTGAAATGAGTCAGAAAGAGCGGGATAGACACAGAAAGAGTGCATTTATCTGGGGAACATAAAGTAACAAAATAGGAGACTGACACCCAAGAATAGCTGAGATAAGTACCAGGAGGTTTACTCCATGGCTTGGAGGCCAGCCGCACACTAGGGGAAAAGGCAGCTCAGATAGAGAAGGGAGCACCAAATAAAGGGCGTCGGGAGGTTCCTCTCAGGATGGGAAATGCATGATGAGAGTAGATGATAGACCGAACATGATTGCCACTCAATGTTTCTTTTGCAAGCCACAACACCCAAAAGGAGAGAGAGAGAGAACAAAAGGGAATGCCCTGCCACAGAGGCAGGGTGGGATGGTGGGGATGGGGGGTAGGAGGGATACTGGGATTATTGGTGCTGGAAAATGGGCACTGGTGGAGGGATGGGTACTTGATCATTGTATAACTGAAACCCAAGCACAAAATTCTGTAAGTCTACAACTGTACCTCATGGTGTTTCACTAATAAAAATTTAAAAAAAAAGGGAGGGGGGAGGCCAGAGCAATAATACAGAGGGGAGGGCGGAGGGCGCTTGCCTGGCACGCAGCCAAGCCAGGTTCTGTCCCGGGCATCACATACGGTCCAGAGAACTCCACCAGGAGTGATCCCCAAGTGCAGAAGAAGCCCTGAACATAGCCGGGTGTGGCCCCCAAACAAAACCAAACGAAAATTTTATTTTATTGTTTTTTGGGTCACACCCGGCAATGCCCAGGGGCTACTCCGGCTCTGCTCTCAGGAATGATCCCAGGTGGTGCTTGGGGACCATATCAAACGCAAGGGATCGAACTCGGGTCAGCTGTGTCAAGGCAAATGCCCTTCCCATGGACTATCACTCTGGCTCCAGCATATAAAACTAAAAAAAAAAAGTGAGTGTGCGTGTTTTTGGGGCACACCCAGTGGTACTCAGGGAACACTCCTGACAGTGCTCAGGGAAGCACCCGTGGTTCTGGGGCTCAGATCCAAGCCAGCCACAAGCAGAGCAGGAGCCTTTCCTGCCATCCTGTCTCTCCGCCCCCCCCCCCGCTCCAAGCCTCCCCGTTTATGTGCTGCCGCGGGCTCTGAGCCCACCCTGGTGACAGCTCCGATATGGAGCTGGTGACCCACCAGGAAGGAGGCGGAGGCAAAGGCCAGTGATTCTGTGCCCCCTTAGTCAGAGTCCCTCTGGGAGCGTGACCAGGAGCTCAGAGAAGATCCGCTTCCTTTAAGGAAGCAGTTTTCCCGGAAAGGAGGAGAAGGCTCCCGCAAGTCCTTTGGCGTACCGGTGACTAGACCGTTCGGAGATAGCAACAGTGGCCCCCGGGGGCACCTACAGGACGCTGTCCCCATCTCTCCACAACCTCGTCCCAGTCCCCGTCCTTGTCCATTCCCCCAGGATTTATTTCCTGCCAGCATGGTTGTTAAGTGGCGTCAGGGGCGTCCCCCGGGAAGAACCCCTGCGCTGGGCCACTCACTCTTCACAGGCAGCACATTCTGGGGGGAGGCCGGCGGCACCGGCGCTGGCTCCTGGCTCTCCTGCAGCTTCTTGCTCAGGATGTCACAGAAGAGGGTCCGAATCAGGGGCACCCCCCACAGGAACTGCAGCTGTTTGGTGATCAAGGGCATAGACTCGTTGAGGCTGGGGGAAGGAGAACAGGCACGTGAGTCCTGACTTAACGCACGGCCAGGGGAGCCCACGAGGGACAGAGGGCCAGAACAACAGGAAGAACACGGAGAACCATCCTCCCACCACTGACCTCTCTCCTCCTCCTTCTCCTCCTCCTCCTCCTGGGTTGCTCCACACCTCCCATGCTGCCAACAGCACGGCTGCCCTGCCCAGGCACCTGGCCCCGCACGTCAGGCCTCCACCACCCAGATGCCGCCTGCGCTCCCTCCTACTTCCATCCTGTTTACCGCTCAGCTGACCAACGCCGTCTCGGCTGCCAGGCTGCCCACTCCCTCCCGGCCACCCTGCCTGCTCCTGCGTTTCCCTGCCTTGAAGTGCTCCTCTTCCTCAACACCGCAGCCCAGTCCCAAGCGTGCCCCACATGAGGTCTCCTCCGTCCCCTCCTGGCTCAGGACATGCCTCCTGGCCTCTCCCTGGCTCCGCCCTCTGCGGCCACCTCCACATTTCTGACCCGGGCAAAGGGAGGTGAAGGGGCTCCTGCACGTTCCCTCAGAGATGGGCAGGCTGCCCCGTGTCTCTGGCAGGGAGGCATTTGAGCTGATGCCATTCTCTGCCCCCAGGCCCCCGGAGGACTCCGAAGAGAAAGCCAGCTGGTCGGCACCTCCGCCTGCGCTGCCCAGACCCGCCATCTCTCGGGCCGCCCCCGCATACATTCTGTCTCCAAATCTGTGATACTGCCTTGAAATCTCCTACTCTCATGTTTTCTGTCTCCGAAGTCACGTTCAACGGTGTTGACTTGTTCCCCACAGCCTGAAGAGGCCCCGGGCTGATTCCTGTTTTCTTGGAGGCACTAGCTGCACCGAGCATCTCCACACTATGGTTGTCTGGGAGATTCTCAGAAGTGATCTTGAAGACAAGACCATATCGAGAGAGAGGGTTCCTTTCACTGTGTTTTGTGTGGGGTTTTGTACCACACCCAGCAGTGCTCAGGGGTCGCTCCTGGCTCTGTGCTCAGGAATCACTCCTGGCAGCGCTGCAGGGACCATGTGGGACGGCCGGGGATCAGGCCCCGGTCAGTTGCATGCAAGGCAAACGTCCTCCCCACTGTACTATCACTCTGGCTCTAGGAGACTCGGTTCCTAATCTGACAACTGCAAAGAACAAAATACCAAATATTATGATCTTATTTCTGTAGGGGAACAAAACGAAACAAAACACTGATACTGATAGGCAGAAAAAAAAACAAAACAGAAGTTATTCATGCTGCTTTTCTCAGTAGGAGTCTAGAATGAATTTCCGTCTCCTTTCATGTCAACTGTATTGTATACAACATCTGTGCTACTTTTAGAAGAAACAACAGACACTGCAGTAGCGGAAGAGGTGTGGGCAGGGGGGCAGCGGGGCAGCGGGGCAGGAAAGGCGGTGGGAAGGACAGGCTGTGGGCAGGGGCAGGAGAGGCAGCACTCAGTCCTGGGTACTCACCCGTAGTCTACGGATTGGGAGAACCAGCCGAGGACGGGGTGCCAGTGGGTCAGGTTGGACTTCTTCTGGGACACGTACCTCTGGCAGTAGCACAGCATCTGGGTGAGCAGACGCACGAACCCATCCGTCTCCTCCTCCAGCACTCGGGGGCTGAGGGAGCCCAGGTGCAGGAGGTTGCCTGCGAGGAGAGAAGGCCGAGTGTGCCGGGGGCAGGCGGGCTGACCCGGGCTTGAGCAACCTTGTCTGAGCGAGAGGAGGAAGCCCCCATCCCCCCCCCGGCCCTGCGTGCTACTGGGAGGCACGGGGTGAGGAAACAGACCCCCCCGCTTTCACAGCGCCTCAGACGAGCTGTGGGGCTCAGGGGTGGGGGCGACAGCACAGTGAGGAGGGTGCTCGCCTCGCACGTGGCTAACCCGGGTTCAAATCCCTGGCATCGGGGCTGGAGCGATAGCACAGCGGGTAGGGCGTTTGCCTTGCACATGGCCGACCTGGGTTTGATTCCCAGCAACCCATATGGTCCCCTGAGCACCGCCAGGAGTAATTCCTGAGTGCATGAGCCAGGAGGAACCCCTGTGCATCGCCGGGTATGACCCAAAAAGCAAAAAAAAAAAAAAAAAAAAAAAAAAAAAAAAAAACCAAAAAACAAATCCCTGGCATCTCATATGGTTCCCTGAGCACTGCCAGGGGTAATTTCTCAGTGCAGAGCCAGGAAGAAGCCCTGAGCGCTGCTGGGCATGAAGCCCGCCCCCTGGCACCCCCCCCCACACCAAAATGAAAATGAAAAAGAAAAACACAAGCTGTGCAAAGGACCCTTCTCTTCAATCTGCCGGAGAGCAGTGGGCCCATGTGCCCCATCTGCCAGGAAAGACCTTCCCGGAAATCGACCTTCAAGCACACAGAGAGTAACGCTCCCCCTCTGGGGTACCTGAGGTTACTATGACTCCTTGGATCGTTCTAGAACCCCCAGCCCCAGGGGCCAGCAGCACGAAACTGCTTATCTGTATGAGACTAAAATAACGATCTCTACTTTTCCCTCTTCACCTGTTTTTGTTTGGGGGCCACACTTCCTGTGCTCAGTGCTCACTCCTAGAGGGGCTCAGGGGCCCCTACGTGGTGCCAGGCAGCCTGGGTCGGCCACACGCAAGGCAGACACCTGCCTGCCCTGCTGTGCTCCCTCTCGGCCCCATGTCCCTGCTCGTCAGGAGAGCTGTTGGGCTCAGGGGTCACCTCTGAGGTACTCAGGGGACCTTTTGTGATGCCAGGACTCAAACCAGGACCTTTCGTCATCAACATGGACCGTCTCTCGGCCCCTACATTAGGATTTTTAAATCAAGGGTTAACAGAAGAAATAACACTGGTGTGTGTATACGTGTGTGTGTGTGTGTGTGTGTGTGTGTGTGTGTGATGTATGCCAGTGACTTAATTTAAGGCCTCAACAACGCAAGGCACCTGCTCTACCACTGAGCTATATTCTATTTCTGGCCCAGAAATGACTTTTTGAAGAATAATTATTTTGGGAAACTAGTATTTAGGGTTATAACTAAAGTTATACGATTTGCACGAGAGCTTTTTTTTAAAAACCTTTTGCGGGAGTCACACCCAGTGAAGTTCAGGGGTTACTCCTGGCTTTGCACTCAGGAATTACTCCTGGTGCTGCTTGGAGGGGCATAAGGGATGCCAGGGATCGAACCTGGGTTGGCCGTGTGCAAGGCAAATGCCTGCCTTGATGCACTACTGTTTTGACCCAAGACACTTCTCTTAATTTCCCTTGAATATTTATCTCCAAGAATATTTCTCGTTTCAAGGTTAACCTCTTATTTGGCTGTAAGAATTATGTCTGCTGTTTTCAAATACTTCTAACCAGAACCCCTTTCTTCACCTCCAGGAACAACACTGCATAACCTAGGAGGTAGAACTTGGCCTGACCTCAGCCCCCACAAATCCCCCTTTTGCTCCAGACAAGAATTTTCTAGGCAACTTGCCAGGTTTTTCATTTTCCTTTAACGGCCAGGCTAAGGGTTGGTATTTAATACTGATTTACAGTCACTCAACGAGTTTGCCAGGTTGGCATATTTTCCAGATGATTCTGAGATTTTTGTGCATCTTTTAACTGCCCCTCTAAATCCATGGCTTTCACTGTTAACACTTCCAAGTTTTCCTAAAAACAACTCGTGATCTCCACCCTGGCGAACCGAGAGCCAAACCCTGGACTTCTCCCGACTTCCCAAATGTGGACTTGTTCCTGTCCCACTCACCCATCAGGCAAAGAGTGTGGCATCCCTCCAGACTTTCACACACGTCAGAGCATCGATGTTCATCTCTTAAATAGTGAATGAATTTACGGAGCATGTCATGAGATTCTAAGATGCCAAGGCGCTGCGAACAAGGGCGCAGAGTCAGAGCAGGGGGCGGGGAGAATTCCCCACAGAGCAGAAACGCCACCACCCAAACCCCCCGCAGGCAAAGGGGCTATTCACTGCCAAGAGGGAAACGGGCCGCGCTGGGGACCTGGTGCTTGGGCTCTCCTGGATGAGAGCAGGCGGCTCAGGACTGAGAGGGAAACCAGGAGTGGACAGGAAAGAACTAGACAGAACCTCTGCTTTTCTCGTTCTGAGTCTTACGCTTGCTCTGTGCGGTGTGTGAGGCCGGAGCCTCCTTACCTCAGGGGTCACGGTGCTGAGGTGAGTCACAAGGGCAGGCACGGACATGATGTAGATGAGAAACGGTCGAAGCAGATTGTCTGAGAACTGCGCTGCGACCACAGGGCTAGACACAGACAGATGGCCCCGTTCAAGCAGGCAAGCGGGGGAGCCCCGAGGAAAGGGTCAGCCCACCCATGCCCCCCCGCAAGATCCCTGGAAGGGTGCTTCCAGGAAAACGGAAAAGGACTCTCCAGGGCTGGAGTCACAGTGCAGTGGGGAGGGCGCTTGCCTTTCACGTGGCCGGCCCAGGTTCAGTCCCCAGAGTTCCACATTGTCCCCCGGCATTGCCAGGAGCGATTCCTGAGTGCATAGCTGGGAGTGACCCTGAGCATCACCAAGTATGGCCCCCCAAAAATGCAAAAGAAAAGAAAAACCTAGTTTCAAGGAAAAAGGGGATATCCACCAGAGAATGGCTGTTTCGATGACAATATGATCGTATGATGCCGTCATGACAACATCACTTTGGAAGTTTGATTGCTGAGCGATGTGCACACTCTAGTAGCACTGTGGCACTGTCCTCCCGTTGTTCATCGATTTGCTCGAGCGGGCACCAGTAACGTCTCACATCAAATAGTGAGACTCATTGTTCCTGTGTTTGGCATATCGAATACGCCACGGGTGGCTTGCCAGGCTCTGCCGTGCGGGCGAGATCCTCTCGGTAGCTTGCCGGGCTCTCCGAGAGGGGTGGAGGAATCGAACCCGGGCCGGCCAGGTCGGCCTCGTGCAAGGCAAACGCCCTCCCCTCTGTGCTATCACTCAGCCCATCACTTAGGCATCAGGTGCAAAACTACAAAGATGCGACCACAGGGGGACAGAGATGACTAGGTGGGCTAGGTGTGTTCTTTGCATGCAGGCCTCGGTTTGACTGCCAGCTCTCAAGCACCACTGGGTGAGACCCCAAACAGAAAAAGGCAACCTCCCGAGATATATAAGGCAAAGCAGCTGAGGTCTGAACAGTCCATAAAGTGTGCCGTTCCATCCTTCCAAATTAACATTTGGGTTCATTGAGAATATTGGAAATCGAAAATATTTTTCAAATGTGTATTAACTTCAAGTAATTTCTGTAAGCTCTGCCATATGCCACGTATTTTCAAACCATGAAATTAATAATAACACACTAATAGATCACTGTCATTACTGGCAATTTGCAAGATTTATAAGATAAGCATATTTGCAAAATGCCCATTTCGTTTTTTAAATCCTCAGAAGCAAAAACTACTTCTAGCTCGTCTTTGTTCATAATAGAGGGATGATTTAAAAAATCATCATTAGTGATTTATGGACGTTCAACATTAACTATTGGAAATACACCATTTTCCACCTTTCAATCTATATCAAAACACTTTGCTTTCAACGTCTACATCTACAGGCACAACTCAGACCTTTATCCCCTCAAACTGGGCGACAGCAAGAGCTTTGACCAAACTTTTCCTTCAACTAACCTTCATGCTGACATCACTCCTTACTGCCGCCCTGGCATTCCTCAGGACCAACGGATCACATCCCTTTGTCTAAGATTCCTCAAGGGCTGCCGCTCTTTACCAGATGGAATTCAAATTGCTCAGCATGACATGCAGGGCCCTCTACAACTGAAGGGCCTTTGCGAGGTGCACATCACTCGAGTAAACTTTGTTATTTATTTGGGGGCTTTCGCCCTACGATGCTCAGGGACCACGTGGGATGCTGAGGAACAAAGCCGGGTCGACCGCATGCAAGGCAAGCACCTTCCCCGCTATTCTACTGCTCCAGCCCCATCGAGTAAACTTTTTAAAATTTTTGCTTTTGTTTATGGGCCACACCCAGCAACGCTCACGACTTACTCCCGCCTCTATACTCAGGGATCACTAGCTCGGGGACCGTATGGGATGCCAGGGACTGAACTCAAGTCGCCTGTGTGTGAGGCAGACGCCCTACCTGCTGTGCTATTGTTCCGGCCCCATGTAAAATAACCATTTTTTAAGCAGGCGCATTAAGGAACCATGTGTCTGGCGGGAGAGAGGCTGGGAGGGAGGGCAAGGGCCTCCCCAGCGCTGGCCGCACTGTTCCGTCCCGATCAGGGAAGGTACTCACAGATCTACCATGTGAGACGCACGGTTTCAGCGTTCTCCTGCTGTATTAGCATTTTCAGACGCTACTACAGCACGGCAGCACTGTCCTCCCGCTGTTCATCGATTTGCTCGAGTGGGCACCAGTAACATCTCACAACAAATGGTGAGACTTGCTGTTACTGTGTTTGGCATGTTGAATACGCCACGGGGAGCTTGCCAGGCTTTGCCGTGCGGGCGAGATACTAACACACTAAAATCAATGTACAGAAAAAAAAGACTCAGGAGACAGATGGGCAAAGTTTGGCTGACAGCCATCCAAGTTAGAGAATGAGAATTTTTCTCCCTTACATTTTCCTGTTTACCCAGATGTTCCACAAAAACAATACAGCAAAACAACAATCCTTACCTCACACCTGTATTCAAAAACTTAACTCAAAGTGGAACACAGGCCTAAGTGCTAGTTTCATAACTAACACTACAAAACACTTAGCAAAAACACAAAGGTTTATCTTGGACATTGGGTCAGGCAGCAACTTCTTAGATTTGACACCAAAATCAAAATAAAATTTAAAAAAATTCTGTTGTTGTTTTTGGACCATACCCAGCAGTGCTCAGGGTTATGCTATGCTCCTGGCAGTGCCTGGGGGACCCTCAGGGGTGCCAAGGATGGAACCCAGGTGGGCCAGGTGCTGTACTCCGCTCAGGAGCCCCAAATTAAAAACTTGTGCTTCAAAAGACACCACCGAGAAAAGAAAAAGACGACTCACAGAATGAGAGGGAATATCTGAAACTTACCTATCCAATAATGGACTTACAGCCAAAACAAATAAAAAATTCTTACAATTTAACAATAACAGAATAGAATCCAATTTAAAAATAGGCAAAGAGGGGGCTGGCCACTTGCCCTGCACACGCCTGCCCCAGGTTCAATCTCTGGCACCCCAGATGTCCACTGAGCCCCACCAGGAGTTGGCCCTGAGCACAGAGCCAAGTGTAAGCCCTGAGCACCGCTGAGTGTAGCCCCCAAACCAAAGTATCTAAAAACAGGCAAAGGAACAAAGAGCATCTGGAGACAAATGCAGACACCCCAGAGAAACAGACTAGGGCTAAGAAGTCATGGAAGAGGGAGGGGGGTTACGAAGCCTCACGGTGTTTCCAAAAGCCAGTACGCTGCCACTCTGCGCCCAGGACACTGGGCTAACAAGACAAGCAACAAAGGTGGACGGGGACGTGGTGAATCGCACAGCACCGGCGGGAATGTCCAGCGGGGCAGCTGCTTTGGAAACCAGCTCTTCAGAGAGTTAAGTGCGGGGAGAGCACAGTGGGTAGATGCAGGCCTTGCATGCCGCATCACTGGATTCAGGAACCGCATCCCATATGGTCCCCCAAGCGCCACCAGGAGTGACTCCCGAGCAGAGCCAGGAGTGCGTGCTGAGTACAGCTGGGTTTGTCCCCCAAACAGACCAACAAAAACAAACCCAGAAGTTAAGCACAAAGATCTCACTTGACCCGGCAGTTCTACTCCGAGGACGGCAGCCAAGAAAAACGGAAACACAAAAGCGTGACATCGACGTTCTGTCGTGACCCTGCTCCTAACAGCCTCCAAGCGGAAAGAACCCGAAGTGGTGGCTGTCCCTGGCTTCCGACAGGCGACCTCCCGAGCGTGCCTCAGGGGCTGCGTCTGGCTGGTCGGCCCTGGGTGCGGGAGCCCTGCTGGCTGAGGGTCCTACGGACACAAGTCACTCGCATGTTTAACAGGGCACACGTCACACGGGTCTCAGAGTGCGGCAGGCCGGGGCAGGCAGGGACGAGACAGGTGCTGCCAAGAGCTCGGCCAACAGACAGCGCCGCGCGCAACCAGGGAAGGCCCTTGGGGAAAGAGCAACCAGGCCTGGGCACTCCGGAGGCCCAGAGGGAGGACGACGCGGCGCCAGCATGAAGGGTTCCCCAGGGCAGGCACCCGACATGTGCTCCATTCCCCCAATAGGTAAAAAGGTGCCCGGAATTCAAGGCAAGTACAGAGAGAGGAAGCGTGAGTGGGGCGTCAGGTAGCGGAGCGCCTGCCGGGGTTGATTCCCGGGCCTGCCACTCCCAGCGGGTGGCCAAGGGCCAGTGGCTCCATGGCTCAGCCTCAGGGTCAGGTCGTCATCTGACGTGAGAGGAAGTAGTGAGGTGTCAACCAGTGCCCGTGGGAGTCAGGAAAACACACGGCCCATGAACGGAGTGCTCTCTGACTCAGGAGCTGCTGGCCGTGTATCCACAGGCTGGGGATTTGACTGACTCTCAGTCTACCCGGCATGGCGAGCCCACTGAGTATCTTAGTTTGAATGTTTCCGGAGGGGAGGGGGCCACACCTGACGGTGCTCATTCCTGATGGGACTCGAGACCCAGTGAGGTCTGAGTCCAGGGAAACCCATCAGCTTGCTGGAGAGCAACCCTAGGCCAGCTGCATGCAAGCCAACGCTCTACCCACTGTGCTATCACTCCCCCACCCCAGGGTCTTACTTCAAAGAGTTCCTGGTCATGTTCCATTTCACAGAACGTACCGCGAGAATTTCATAGACCTGCGGGCTGGAGCGACAGCACAGCAGGTAGGGCGATCGCTTTGCATGCGGCCGACCTGGTCGGCCCAGGTTCGATTCCTCCGCCCCTCTTGGAGAGCCCGGCAAGCTCCCCGTGACGTATTTGATATGCCAAACACAGCAACAACAAGTCTCACAACGAGCCGTTACTGGGCCCGCTCGAGCAAATGGAGGAATGGGAGGACAGTGACAGTGACAGTATTGCAAGAAAAAGGCTTTTGAGCAGTCTGCCCTTCCCAAGCAAGTCCATGTTTCCTACCACACAGACAGGGAAAGCTGTAACAAAACCATGGGTATTGTTAAGGTTCTCTTGGGGGGAGTTTGATGGTGCTGGGGGACCATACGTGGCACTGGGATTCGAGCCCAAGTCAGTGGCAGGCGAGGCGAGCACCTAACCTCCTGAAACCATGCCTCGCATATTTTCGTGGTGGTTGTTTGGGGCCACGCCTGGCAGAGCTCAGGGCTTACTCCTGGCTCTGCACTTAGGGTCAATCCTAGCGGGTTCAGGGGACCCCACGGGACACCAGGGATCAAAGCCAAGTCTGCCGCGTGCCAGGCGAGCGCCCTCCCTGCTGTCCCGTCACTCTGCCCTCCCCCTTGGTGTCCCCCAGTCACATTTTAAAGGGGAAGCAATCTGGAGGACACGGGGCGGAACTCTCGGTGATTCACCCCTGGAATCACAGGCACGCTGGAGCAGGAGCGGCTGCCAGGCAGGGCGGCAAGATCTGTGCTCTCGGGAGATGGAGGAGGGGCCAGCTCCAGCCCAGGGCCCGGGGCAGACCCAGGAGAGTCGCGGTGGCTGCTGGAACCAGATGCTCCAACAGGTGATTCAGCAGTGGGAGTTGTGGCAAACCAGCTTCCAGGGAAACCTGTTTGTACCAGGACGGCTCAGTGCCCGAATATGACACGGCGTCCCCTCCCTCAAGGCAGGAAACAAGCGTGTGATGCTTGCTAGAGGTCGCGCTCTCTCCTGCTTCCCGTCTGGTGGTGCTCACAGGTGAGCCCTGGCTCTGCCTGGGGGTAGCAGGTGGCGCCCGGCGTGCACCACAGTCCGGAGCCCTGAGCACAGCCGGGTGGGGGGCCAAAGCCCCCCCGCACACCCCCCACAAGACAGAACTCCTTAAACTTGGTCGTGCTCAGAGGCACTGGCAGAGCTTCTGCGAAGAAACCTCGCGTCCTTTCTGGGGCACAGAAAGACGTCCGCAGGGTGTCTGGTAGACCCTTGCCGCTAACCCGTGCCCTTCATCCTTCACTCTGGCCCGTCGAGGGCTCTTCCACCACTCAGATTTCCTTGATCTTAACCAGGAAGCTCTCCAAAGGCAAAAAGGCAGTGTGGGACATGGAAAAGCTCCCCTAATCATGGTGATGAAGACTGGAAACAGAGACAGAGACAGACAGAATGAAAGAAGAGAGAAGAGAGGAGGGAGAGACGAGAAACTGAGAGGAGAGACAGAGACAGATTAGAGAGGGAGGGAGGGAGGGAGACAGAAAGAGAGAGGGGAGGAGACAGAGACAGAGAGATAAAAAGGAAGAGATAGAGATATAGAGACAGAAGGGGGGGGGAGAGAGAGAGAGAGAGAGAGAGAGAGAGAGAGAGAACAGCAGGGGGCCAAGGTGACGGCTCACAGGGCTGGAGCGCAGGCTGAGACGGGGAGCCCTGGGCTCCTCCAGCACCACTGGGACCAAACTCCAAGCACCAAGTTGGGAGCACCCCGTGGGCACTGCCTGGTGTGGACCCAAAAGAAAAGAGGAAAACCAAAGCTACAAAAAAAAAAAAAGAAGAAAAAGAAAAGTGAAAATGCTCAGGATTTCTGGTGATTTCTGATGGGAACTCAGGGTAAATAAGGTGCCCGCCTTGCCGCTGTGAAGCCGGGATTCGATGCCCAGGACCACCCACAGCCACCACACCTGGCCCTGGCGACTCTGCCATCTGGGACCCTTGGCACCGCAGGCATGTGTCACCTCCAGAGCATCACACCCCAGTGTATGTGAGCAGAGTCACTGAGGGCTGCAGTACCCAGAGAGCCCTGACAGCACTGACCCAGAGAGACACAGAGAGAGAGGAGAGAGGAGGGACCGAGAGAGGAGGAGGGAAGAGGGAGGGGGAGGAGGGAGGAGGATGAGGAGAAGGGGGGGAAGCGGTGCTGAGCAGTGCTCTGGTGAGCGCAACAAGCAGATTGTTGTGAGAGCACTGTGACCGGAGAGACGCCATGCCCCGCCATCACCTAGGCAAGCACCCTGTCCAGATGAGCCGTCCCCGCAGGCAACGCATGCACGTGTGTGACCCCAGCGTGGCAACCGTGGGAGCAAGGAAAGGGACGAGAAAGACGGAGCCGGGCCGGAGTGAGAGTAAACTGCGGAGGGAGCCGGCCTTGCGCACGGCTGACTCGGGTTCGATCCCCAGCATCCCGTCAGGTTCTCCCAGTCCTGCCAGGAGGGATCCCGAGCGCGCGCAGAGCCAGGAGTAAGACTTACGCGAACCTGGTAAGCCACATCACCGGGCGTGGCCCCAAAACAAAAAAGGAAAAGCGCCAACCCGACGGGCCACTCTCACCAAGACCAACACTTCCTGTCACTTCTCACCCAGAGGACGCCTGCGGGGAAGGCCGACAGCCTCACCCCGACTTACCGCAAGGCGAGGGAAAAGACGGCCGTCAGCGGGCCTTTGGACAGGCAAGGTCGGGATCTCGCCAGGCCACGGGTCAACAGGGTCTGAAAGAGACATTTTGACTGGTCAGGGGAGGACGCAGACTTCGGAGTTATTTTCACTTCTGGTTTTTGGTTTTGTTTCGGGGCCATATCCAGTGGTGCTCGGGGGTCACTCCTAACCGCACTCGGGAATTACTCCTGGCGGTGCTTGGGGGACCACAAGGGAAGCTGAGGATCGAGAATGGGCTGGCCGCGTGCAAGGCAAACGCCCTACGGCCCTACCCGCTGTACGATCTTCAGGCCCCGGAGTTAACTTTACATTAAAAAAGAGACTCTGGACAGGGGCGAGGGGGAAGGGCAGTGGGCAAGATGGAAACTGGGGACACTGGGGGTGGGAAATGTGCACTGGTGAGGGGACAGTGTTGTATGACTGAGACTGAGATAGGGAACAATTTTGTGGCTGCCTATCTCAGGGTGATTTAATTAAAAAAAAAAAGGTACACTGAAAGAATATGGAGAAGGATAATGCTAAAAGCTGGTAAAGGGGGCCGGAGCAATAGCACAGCGGGGAGGGCGTTTGCCTTGCACGCAGCCGACCCGGGTTCGATTCCCAGCATCCCATAGGGTCCCCCGAGCACTGCCAGGAGTAATTCCTGAGTGCAAAGCTAGGAATAACCCGTGCATCGCCAGGTGTGACCCAAAAAGCAAAAAAAAAAAAATTGATAAAGGGTACGGATGAAACCCTATGAGTGAGTATCGCAAAGCAGTGTTGGGAGTCGCATATACGAAAGTACCTCTCACAGAGGCTGACTGGTGGGGGAGGCGGAGGCAGGAGGCAGAATTGGTGGAGGGAAGTGGACACTGGTGAAAAGACTGGGGTTGAAACAATGTATGCCTGAAACCCAAATAAAGGAATAAAGAATTTTGCAATTTCACAACGACCAAAAAAAATTTAAAAAGAAAACCCTAAAGTAAAAGGAGTGTTTAAGAATTTAAAAAAAAAAAGCATATACATGGGAATGTCTACAAGAAAATGAAGGAAAGGGCTGGAGAGAGTAGGAGCTCCAGAGAGGAGCCTTGCCCTGCACGTGGCCAACCCACATCCTATGCCCAGTATCCCCGACGGTCCCCTGAGCACTGCCAGAAGTAACTCCTGAGACCCATACGGGGTGCCAGGGATCAAACCCGGGCCAGCCGCATGGAAGGCAAATGCCTTCTCCGCTGGAACACCGCTCCAGCCCCCAAATAACAAACGTGCAAAAGGACAGGTGGCAAAATGAGGAGATCAGACAAAATTCCAAGACCCTCTGGTTCTGGAGGGCAACTCGGAGTCCCAGTATCACAGAGAAGCCCACTAAGATGAGCTGCGGGTCGGACCCTCTCTGCTCTTACCCACCAGGGGAGGCCCTCCGAGGGAGAGGGAGGAGGCGCTCAGCCGGCGGAACTTCTAGACCAGAGTTCCAAGGACCAGCCTTTCTTTAGTTTACCTTCGGGTGCTGGGGTCACAATTGCCGGTGCTTGGGGGTCGCTCTCAGCGGAGCTTAGAGGACGATGGGGCGTCAGGGATGGACCTGAGCCCACAGGGGAAGTGGCCTCCAGCCCTCTGAGCCCCGCCCCCAGCCCCGTGGCCTTTAGACTGCTAGCAATCTGGCTGCTGGAGGGCTCGGTGTATGATGAGGCGGTTTGTGGGCACAGAGCTAGCAAGACCATTCCAGATGCCATCCAGATGTCACTTGCCACAAGGAGCCTGAAAGTGACCAGGCTAGTCCTGCAGCCCAAGTGTACTGACAAAATGGGGTCCCAGAGTTGCTGGCCTCCGAAACACAGGGCACCCAGGCCGGAGGAAGGGAGGAGAGGAGAGTGCGGTAGAAACGCCCAAGGCAGGCCGGAAATCCAGCGGGAGGGCGCGGGTGTGGGAGCGGAGCCTGGGGTCCCGGGGGAAGGCCGGGCACGGACCTGGAGCACAGGATAAAAGCCACGCTGGTTGAGGTGTCCCATTATATTCGCACAGATGTGGTTCATGGCGGGCCGAAGGCTCTCCCCTAAATCAAGAAAAGCGCGTGAGAGGAAAATCCCCGGAGACCAAGAGGGGCGGAGACCGGCGGGAGCAAAGGTACAGCCAGGCACACAGCTGATCCGGATCTGATCCCCAGCGTCCCTTACGGTCCCCCAAGCACCCGCCAGAAGTGATTCCTGAATGCAGGCCAGGAAGAAGCCCTGAGCATCACTAGGTGTGTCCCCAAAACCCAAAAAAAGTCTCTCCAACATCGGCCAAGATTTCCAGGCTCGCTATGGAAATGCTACCCAGGGAAGGGTTTGTTTTTGTGGCACCAGGGACCCTGGGAGTCTCCGCACCCAGGGCCACAGCCCCGGCCCGAGGAAAGATCCAGAAACAAACCGCACCTACCTTTGCCCCGGAGAATATTCCAGGTGGAAGTGTCTGTGAAGGTGACAAGCACTGTGAGGTACAGCGTCACAAGTCTGGAGTCATGTAAAATTTCAGGCTGGCAACAAGAGAAAGAGCAAGGTTAAGAGACGCGGCCTCCAGAGCCAGAGAGAAAGCGTTTGCCTTGCACGCAGCCGACCAGGGCTCAGTCCCTTGCACCCCATAGTGTCCGCCAAGCACTGCCAGGTGTGACCCTGAGCGCAGAGCCAGGTGTGACCCATAACAACGACAACAAAAAAAGAGACCTGCCCTCCTCCCCAGTACTGCATGCTCCCCCCCTCCGAAAGCACAGAGCCTGGGACAGCCCCTGAACACTGCCAGGTGTGGCCAAACCATCCCCCCACAAGAAGGAGAGGGCCCCCAGTCCCAGAGAGGGGGATATTATTCACCTCACAACTTCTCTGAGAGTGACTCAGGCTCAAGTCAGTGAGTCGCGATTCTCAGTGGGACTCTGTCTCCTGCGGAAGTATCACTTCCAGAACTCAACAAGGACTTCAGCCCATGGGTACCTGAACACAGAATCTGAACTACTGGGAACGGAGACCCATGAGCTCCTGGAATACGAGTACGATCAGGGCTGGCCTGACGGCTTCAAAAGCATGTGTGCATGTGTGTACGTGTGTGTATGTTGTGTGTGTGTGTAGGGTTAGGTCTGTGGACAGAGCCAAAGAACAGAAACACAACTGAGGTCCCAGGGGCTTTGGCTTCCTTGCTGCACGGCCCCAGGCAAGTTTCTTTAATCCCTCTGCACCCGTTTCCTGGTATGCTGATTGGGCAAGACAAGCTCCCTTCCCAGGCTGGTTGTGAGGAGTGAGCTGAGCCCTGGGAGCCCTGCTCCACTCCCGGCCTGCTGAAGAGGCCTCTGGGCCCTGGCGAAGAGACAGCGATGATGCGATGTCAGAACGAACAGCAGGCGCTGAAGCAGCAGGTGACAGTAAGTCACTCCAGAGGTCCCTCCCTCCACTCATCCTCCGAGGCCAGAGTACAGACTAGATCCTACAGCCCAACGCTCTCCTTCAGCTTAGCTAGCATGTGCTGCCAGCTATGCCCAGGCTGGGTCTCTGTCCGGGCTCGCTTTGTAACAGACTATAAAATGTCCTTTACATCAAACAGGTGAGGGGGCCGGAGCGATAGGGCAGTGGGGAGGGCATCTGTCTTGCATGCGGCTGACACAGGTTCGATCCCTGGCATCCCATATGGTCCCCCAAGCAACACCAGGAGTATTTCCTGAGTGCAAGGCCAGGAGTAACCCCTGAGCATCACCAGGTATGACCCAAAAAGCAAGCAAACAAACAAAAAACCCCAAAAACATCAAATGGGTGAGAAGGAAGACGAAGGAGCCCCTGGGGTCCAGACCACGGTGGCAGACACCCACCGTCTGGAAGACACCTTCCAAACTGGCTCATGTTAGAGGACTCTGTCTAATCACACTCCTCCAACGGGACGCGTGGCCAGGGGCTGACAAGTTTCTCCAAAGGTCTCGCCGTTCGGGAACCATGAGGACTCTGGGAATGCCCGCAAGGCCCACGGTGGGAAGGATTTACTCGTGCGATTTTCTTCGTTTCGTTTGCTCTTACCTTGAGCTGCTGAAGAAACTCACAGCAATACCACAGGATGTCCTTGATCTGTTTAATCCACAGGAGGGTCAGGTCCTTGCAGAGGGCAAGGGACTCGTACGACATCTACCAACAGGGAAGAGAAACGCAACAGGCAGTCAGGGGCTGCGGCTGCTCTGCCGCAGCTCCCGGGCAGGGGCCCGTGAGGAAGGACGGGGAGTTAGGGTGGACGGATGAGCAAGTAGCCAATGGGACCTATTTAAAGGCTAAAACTGAGACGAAAGGGCAGAATAAGGGGACTGACCACCCCAATCAGAAGGTCAGAGCAGAACTCTGCTTCTTGGATAATGCACATTTGAAGGAGTCAGTTGTACGTGGTGGAAGTTTTCAGTCCATTGGCTATTTGCTTGTGCGTGTGTCCTGACAAAGTCCTCCTCCTCCTATTACTATTATTACTTTTGGTTTTGGGGCCACACCTAGCAGTGCTCAGGGGTCACTCCTGTCGGGCTCAGGGGACCCTGTGGGGTGCCAGGGATCGAATCTCGGGCGGCGGCACGGAAGGCGAATGCCTTACCCGCCTTGCTGTCCTCTGGCCCCACAGTGGCACAGTCCCGCCACCCCACAGGAACGTGCAGAGCCAGGCAGGCTGGCTGTGGACCGCGCGGGAGACTGCCCCAGGCCACCTACCTTCGGCTCGTTCTCGGCGTCCATGCTGCTCAGGATGCAGCGACACAACTTCTCAAATCTCTGCGGAGGAGCAGGACAGGGGCTGTAAGCAGCTTCCCAGAGAGACATGGGCACAAGAGGGGGGCCAGGGGTGGTGGCACCTGGCGGGCACAGGCACTCTGCCAGGCAGCAGATCTTCGAATAACGCCAGGTACCTGGTGTCCAGGCTGAGAACTCTGGTGTTTGGCTTTTTCCACCCCCCAGAGTCTGGTGGGTAGCTCCCCCCAGCCCCCCAGAGTCCCAGCAGCCCTGGCAGCCACCCGGATGTCCACTTCCCACAGCCTCCACCACGGGCATGCACTGGCCTCGACCACAGATCCTGGAGTCTCTGGACTGCGCGGCCGCATATGCAGCCATGCAGCACCTTCTGGGTTTTTGTTTGTTTGCTTTTCGGATCACACCCGGCGATGCACAGGGGTCCCTCCTGGCTCTGCACTCAGGAATCACTCCTGGCAGTGCAGCACCTTCTAAGGCAGCAAACAGCTTAATAAAGTCTTAGACGAGGACCTAACAGCCCTGCGATCAGATACGATGATGCTCCCGTCAACTGATTTCCTATAGCTACTGATTTGCAGACTGCAGCTTTGTGAGCTAGTCGAATTCTAGAATTGCAAAAAACGATTTTGTTTTAATCTACGTGGAAAAAAATAAGAAGGGCCAAGTTAGGCACCGAGTCCAAGTTTTACAGATTAGAAAGTAAGTACAAAGCTTCCCCAGCACCGTGGTGAAAACTCAAGAGTACTGGTCCTCCACTGGCTGGGGGCCAGCAGCACCTGTCCCCTTCACGTAGGAAATGCCCCCCCCGCCCCCCGCCACCACAGCGGCTGGTGCCGTTTATCGCGGCCGGCACTCGGCTTCCCTCTCAGAAATGGCTTCCTTCGCTCATTTCCACGACCAGCCCAGCTCCCCGTGCATCTGAGACCCGCAACAGTCAGCGTGGAACAAGCACAGCAATTGCGGAGAGCGCTGCTCCCAGTCCCAGCAAGACATGCGAGGAAAGCCAGCTGAGAGCTGCCGTGGAGGCAGAACGAGCGGGTCTGTAGAAAATGCTGAGAAATGACGCCTGGCAGAGAGCGGGCGTGGTGGAAGTTTTCGACCATTATCTTACCTCATTGTCCTTTTTAAATCTGAACACAAATAGCAGCTTCCTGGCAATCTTAAAAACACCAAGAGCACTTCTTCTATTGGACCCAGAGTCTTCGTCTTCGAAATAGTCATCAATCTCTCTCCTAGGAAAGGTTTAAAAATTTAGCATTACTTTTGTTTGGGGGAGAGGGCCACACCCAGCAGTGTTCAGCCGCTTCGCCCTGCAGGCTGTTCAGACCTGCTCCTGGCAGTGCTCAGAAAGTCACGCGACCCTGGAATTGAACCCTGGCCTCTCACGTGCAAAGCAAGCGTTCCAGCCCACTGAACTCCACTTTTCCCCCCACCCCAGCCCCCCAGTGACGACAACACTTTCAACGAGGAGCTCGCAGAGCTGGAAGGCTGCTCAAGCGTGTAAAAGAAACTGCCACCTTCCCTTGTCGTCGACTGGGAGCAAGGAAAACCAGGCCGAGGAGCACAAGGGGACCCACCTGATCGATCTCTGCAGTCGAGTCCGACAGAGGAAACCCCGGACGTGGGCCTGGATTCCCACGGCCGCCCGCTCCCGCTCCTTCTGCACGAGCCGCCCCTCTCGAGCCTGGCGGGCTCTGTCGATGAACCACGCTCTTGAGGTCTGAGAAACGGTGAACATGTTTGCAGACTTGCACGAACCCTGCGAGGGAAAACGGCGAGAAGCTGGGGTTCGGTCATCGGTCTGAACACGCCCCGGAGGGGTCTCTGGAGCGACCGACGGGCAGGGACGCAGGCGGCAGCAGAGCAGCACTCAGGACCCTCAGCAGCCGGCCAAGTGCTAACAGCTCTCCTGGCACGCGTCCCGGTTTCCTGCTGGCTCCCATCATGCACCTCCCCAAGACCAGGCCGGTGCCCTTCCTTATGCGGTAACTGCATTTCTCTCAAGGAAGCGCCGAGTCCCTGGCACAGGCCTGGGCTAATGACTGAAAACAAAACACAACCGTGAACTGAGCCCATCTAGAAACTTCCAATCCAAACCAGACACCCTGTCGGTCAGCGGCTCTCAGGTAACTTGGTTTCCCTAGGGCTGTCCAAGGTACTGGGAAAGCCACCACCGATGAGTTTGACAGTGACAGTCCAAGAGGGCCGGAGTGGCATCGGTGCCGGCAGGAGCCCTGGTGCCAGCCCCAGCACCACATGCCCCTTCTTCGATCCCCTCCCCCCCATCACCAGCCGACCAAAGACACCTTTCCACTGCCCGGAGAAACCACACTGTGGGCAGGGCACTTGCCTTGCAGCGGCTCACCTGGGTTCAACCTCCATATCCGATATGATCCTCTTAGCACTACGAGGAGTGACCCCTGAAAACTGACTTAGCTCTGAGCACCGCCAAGTGTGACCCCAAAATCAAAGCGGGGGGAGGGGCGGGATACGAAAACAAGACGGCTTTTATTTTACCAAAACCTGAGAGGAGGGCTGGAGCGACAGCACAGCGGGGAGGGTGTCTGCCTTGCACATGGCCGGCCTGGGCTCAATCCCCAGCATCCCATAGGGTCCCCCAGGCAGTGCCAGGAGTAACTCCCGAGTGCAGTGCCAGAGTAAGCCCTGAGCATGGCTGGGTGTGATCCAAAAAGCAAAACACAAAAACAAAAACAAACAAACAAAAAAACTTGAGAGAAAAAAATGAACATGATTATCACCAGCATATCTTTACTCATTCGCTCAACAGTATTGCTACTTGCACTTAGCACAGAAAAAAGACATCGCCCCCATAAAAATGTATATCTTAATGCTAAATAAGCAGATATTTGATTATGGAATCAAGACAAAACATTCAGCTAAGTTTGACTTATGTGTAACGTACTGGGCTGGAGCGATAGCACAGCGGTAGGGCGTTTGCCTTGCACGCAACCAACACGGCCAACCTGAGTTCGATTCTTCTGCCCCTCTCGGAGAGCCCAGCAAGCTACCGAGAATATCTTGCCCGCACGGCAAAGCCTGGCAAGCTCCCCATGACGTATTCGATATGCCAACCACAATAACAACAATCACACAATGGAGACGTTACGGGGCCCACTCGAGAAAATCGATGAACAACGGGAGGACAGTGACAGTGTAACTACTGTCCGTGCCTCACTGTCCATCCTCCCTGGGCCTACTTCGGAGCGGGACGGCTCCCATCCACGGACAGGGCCTTCCCTGGCAGAGGTTCTAAATTGCATCCGCATTTCTTTTTTCCCTAATTCACAAGCGGCCGTCTTTCCCCAAGGCTGGCGGCCTGGGCCCACCGCACTGGCGCACTCTTTCACTGGGGATGTTTTCCTTGTCTTTCCTTCTGTTTTTCCTAGGGGCCGCTGAGAGGGCTGCTTGGCCAGGCTGAGCGTGGCCCGGGGGCTGGCTCTCCGGAAACAAAGGAACTGCAGCCCCTGGCCTCAGAGGGAGGGAGAGTGAGGCCGGAGCATGGGGGTGCAGAGAGGGGCCTCGCCACCGGCCCCAGGTTCCCGCCACGCACTCACCTGAATGGCTGCCCGAGTCACAGCGAAGTCTGGGCACCATCAGGGGTCTCGCACTGTGCACGCGGAGGGCTGCCTCTCGCCTCGGAGGGGCTTGTCTGGGGGGAAGAAAACCAACATGGATTTCAGGTTGAGTCTCGGAGGGCAGACATCACTTATGGGGGTGGAGGGACGTTCATGCCTCACGGTACTCAGGGGTCGCTCCTAGCTCTGCACTCAGCGATTACCCCTGGCAGCGTGTCGGGGCAGGGGGCGGGGAGGTTGCTGGGACGCTGGGGACTGAACCCGGGTCGGCCACGCGCAAGGCAAGTTCCCTACTGCTATGCTATTGCTCCAGCCTCTAGGCATCAAAGATCTCACTGAGTGAATGCATTATGGTTGTTCAAAATACATTCTTGGGGCTGGAGCGATAGTATAGCAGGTAGGACGTTTGCCTTGCATGCGGCCGACCCGGGTTCGATTCCCAGCATCCCATAGGGTCCCCTGAGCACCGCCAGGAGTAACTCCTGAGTGCAGCGCCAGGAGTAAACCCTGTGCATTGCCAGGTGACCCAAAAAGCAAAAAAAAAAAAAAAAAAAAAAAAAAAAAAAATACATTCTTGTTCTCCTTAGTTAACGTGTCTGGGGTGTTTTTCTTTGGGGGGGAGGAGCTTCCCAGGAGTGCTGGGGACCACCAGGGCTACATCCTGCAATGCGTGGAGGCTACGTGGTACAGAGGAGCAACTCGGGGCCCCACGCATGCCAGATCCAGTTAAGGGCTTTGGTTAACATCCGATCCAGAGGTTCCCAAACTTATTTGGCCTGCCTCCCCCTTTGGCGGGTGGGGGGGAGAAAATTCATTCAATGCCCCCCTTGGAAATCTTCAAGCACACAAACAATAGTGCCCCCACCCACCAAATGCACCTGTGGGTACTTCCCACCCCCACTCCATTCCAGTGCCCCCCGGCAAGGGTTATCATCTACCTTGAGAACCTTATCTAAAGGTCAAACTGTACCTCCCAAGGAAAAATGTTTATATCCTAGGAAAGTGGGGGGCTGGGGGGAGACTGGCTAGCAACCCGCCTGGATCCCAATGACATCCTGGAAAAGGGCCAAGAACAGGCACACTGGGATGGGAAAGGGGGGAAGACGGCCGCTTGGCAGGGTGCTGGCCGGAGGAATCAGCGCCCACAGGGAGGGCGTCTCACAGAGGGGCGCGCGGGGTACCACTGAGTCCCCTCTACGGCCCCACTCAGTCCATTTTGCATTTATCTCCCACACACAACACGCAGAGGGGTGGGGTCGCCTGGCCCACACACCGTGGGGTCACCCAGAGCTGGGGCCAGCCCGAGCTCTGCCACTTCATGCAGGGGGTGAACTGAACCTTTGCTGACGGGCCCTGAGGCCCACCCAGAAGGACCCAGGGGCTGGCGAACAGGGAGCCTCGCAGGGTCTGCCAGGCCAGGGGCCGTTTTCTGAGATGCACCGACACTCTTCCTCTCCGCTCCCTTCAGCCTGGGCACTCGCGAAGTTCCTTTTGGGTAGGACATGCGGGTGGACACCTGACGGCCTATGGACATTCCTTCGGCGCCCCCGTGGCCTGGGAGCTGCTCAGACAGAGCAGCGGCCTCAAGCTTCTAAGAACGGCCAGGGAGCAGGGCCCAGGCCAGGAGCAAGGGGACGCGTCCCTTTACGTGCAATCTCTCCCTGAGCGGGGCCAGAAGGAGGGAAACGCTTCCAACGGCACCGACCGTCACTATCTGCCAACCTACTGCAGTTCGCTTACGGCTTATAGAGCTCCACGACGGAGCACATGCACAAGCGGAAAGCCTTCCGCTTGGTCCCCAGACTAGGCCTTGGAAGAGAAAGAAGCTTCCTGGAGTCCGTCCGTCATCTCCCAGCAATGCCCCACGTTAGTCTCTGCGGACACCTGGCAGTAGAGCACTACTTCTCGATATGAACCGGGGTCTGTCTGAGCCCTGGCCCTCGTCGGGTCGGCAGCTGACAACCAGACCTGTTGTTTCTTGGCAGATCCATGGTTTGCCGCCGTCTGCCTGGAGAGCACTGTGACAAACTAAGTACAGTTTCCTTGGGTTTTTTTTTCCCCTTTGGCCATACTCAACTGCGCTTAGGGCTTACTCCTAGCTCAGTGTTCATACTCCCTGTTCGCCAGCCCCTGGGTCCTTCTGGGTGGGCCTCAGGGCCCGTCAGCAAAGGCTCAGTTCACCCCCTGCATGAAGTGGCAGAGCTCGGGCTGGCCCCAGCTCTGGGTGACCCCACGGTGTGTGGGCCAGGCGACCCCACCCCTCTGCGTGTTGTGTGTGGGAGATAATGCAAACCATGGACCATGGGCAAGGCAAGTATCTTGCCCACCATACTCTAGTTCTGGGCCCCAAAGCTTCTGTTTTTCTAAGTCCTTCTCCTTCCCTCCTGCAGTGTTGACTACAGCCCGGCCATGATACCAAACACATAAAAATCAAAACAAGCCTTGGATTTGAGGAGTCTCTCTTTTTCCCTCTTTTCTTAGTTTTTGGGTCATACCCATCAATGCTCAGGCTTACTCCTGGTTCTGCATTAAGGGGTTACGCCTGGAGGTGCCTGGGGGACCCTGCGGGGATGCTGGAGGTTGAGCCCGGGTTGGCTACATGCAAGGGAGATCGCTACACCCTCTCTCCAGGCCCACTCCTTCGCTCTTTCTAATCCAGATCCTACTTTTTTGGCCGAGTTACTCCTCCTTCCTGGGCCTGGACTTTCTTATCTATAAACTGAAGGACGAGAGCAGTGCAGTCTCTGCCCCCGCGCCTCGGTGTTCCTTCCCGGAGTCCCTTGGAGGGGAGCGGGTTGAGCTTTCCTCCCTGCCCCGGCCAGGGCTACGGCAGCCGGAGACCTCCAGGACCAGCCACCACCATGCTGAGACCACTCTCCGCACCCATGAAGGTACTGGCAGAGGGACAAAGCCACGCGGGTTCCGGGGCCGAGACCTCCAAGCCTACTCGGATTGGAGTCGAGCATCTTCCACCCAGATCCTCCAAATTCCATAGGCGGGGGTCACACCCACCACCTGGCCCCCTGGCGCCGTGTAATCCCATCAGCGGCCAAGACTCAGAGACTATAAAATCCAGATCCCGGACGAGACCAGTGCAGTCTCTGCCCCCGCGCCTCGGTGTTCCTTCCCGGAGTCCCTTGGAGGGGAGCGGGTTGAGCTTTCCTCCCCGCCCCGGCCAGGGCTACGGCAGCCGGAGACCTCCAGGACCAGCCACCACCATGCTGAGACCACTCTCCGCACACCTGAAGGTACTGGCAGAGGGACAAAGCCACGCGGGTTCCGGGGCCGAGACCTCCAAGCCTACTCGGACTGGAGTCGAGCATCTTCCACCCAGATCCTCCAAATTCCAGTAGGCGGGGGTCACACCCACCACCTGGCCCCCTGGCGCCGTGTAATCCCATCAGCGGCCAAGACTCAGAGACTATAAAATCCAGATCCCGGAACCGCGCGGCCGCATCTTATTATCTCATTCCTACTTTGGACAAACTTGCAGGCTGTCGAATGTAGCCTGCCCACAGGGCAGAGTCTGGCAAACTCCCCGTGGCGCACCAAATATGCCAAATACCAGTAACAATGATGGGTCTCATTCTCCTAAAGAGCCCTGAATATAATCTCAGGGCTAGGATGAAAGAGACGTTACTGGGGCCTGCTCGAGGCAATCGACGATTAACAGGATGATGAAATGAAAAATGAAAAAAAACTGAAGGCAATAACAGCACCTTCTTCCTCCCTGGAATGACATGAAACAATCACTTCTCTTTTTTTGAGGGGAAGGGGGCGAGGGGGAGCGAAGGGATACAACGCAGGGCTAGAACCCAGGGCTTCTCGGGGTGGTGTGGACTCGACCGCTGGGCCTCAGACCCAGCCCACCTTTGTCCTTCCAAGATCTCAACCTAGCCTCACTAGGCATGAGGGATCGCCGACAACCACGAAGGTTGCAGAAGCCAAAGGAAAACGGCGTTGACGGAGTCTGTGCTCTGGGTCAAGTTGCTTCTGTGCGACCTCATCTGCTAAGCACTGGGGCCGATCACTGAGCACGATCGGCCGCGGCCCAGGCTGAGAACCATTACTTGGTGCAGAGCCAAGAATTTCCCTCCTGGGAGTCAGGACTTCCCCTCAAGCCCCCTGCATTTCTAGAAAACTAGCAAAAAAACAAAAAAAAGTTGTTTTTTTTTCTTTTTGGGGTCATACGTGGAGACGCTCGGGGGTTACTCCTGGTTCTGCACTCAGGAATCACCCCTGGCGGTGCTCAGAGGACCATATGGGATGCTGGGAATCGAACCCGGGTCGCCTTCATGCAAGGCAAATGCCCTACCCCCTGTGCTATTGCTCCAGCCCCCCAGAAAAAGTTTTTACGGGATGAGGAGGCCAGCTTCATGGAGAATGAATGAGAAGGGCATGGCAATCCGGAGAGTACTGTCCAAAGGTGAGACCCCCCACCCCCTGCCACCCAGGTGCCGGCTGCACCCTACAAGACTCTCCTGCTGTTGGTGGGAGGCACGGGCCGCCAAGACCCTGGACCACCCCCTCCTGGCGTCCAGGATGCGATGGGATGCTGGGCAGAGGCTCAGCCCGGGAGCCGAGGTCCAGGGGTCCCAGACGGGGCTCCGAGCACCAGAGCAGGCAAGGGGGGCTGCAGGTCGGCCCGGCTCCGGGTCTGGCCCCCCTCCCCCCCAGGATGGTCCCTGAGCATCCCTGACTGGGGTGCGACCCCCAAAGAGGACCCAAAGGCGGCCACCGCACTTTGGGGGCCTCTGACAGCCGTCGGCACCGAGGGCAGCCCCGGAGTCTCGACCCCAGTGCGACGAGGGTGGGGTGGGGGTGGGGTGGGGGTCCCCGGACCGTGAACCCACGTCGAGCTCCAGAGCGGCGGCGGGGCGGGCAGGGGCCGCACCACGACGAGACCCCCGGACCCCTGGATCGCGGACGCCGGCGGCCGAGCGTCCCTTGGGGGTCGGGGCTGGAGTCTGGGGGCGGCGGGGGGGGGGGGTCTCCACGTGGCGGAACCAACGACAGAGCTGGGGGGGCGAGGGGCCGCCCCCGGGGCCGCGCGGCGACCACCGGCGTCCGACTCCGCCTCGAGGGTCGCGGGGTCTCGCCCTCCCCCCCCCCCCCCCCGCCGAGTTCCACCCCGCCCCCCGCCCCGCCCCCCCCCCGCGCCCCCGGCGACCGCCCGGCCCGGGCGACGCGCGACCCCGCCCCGCCCCCATCGCCCCCGCAGGCCCGAGACCTGGATCCGCGCGAGGCCCCTGCGCTCGGGTGGGCGCCGCGGCCGGCGCCGCCTCAGCCCGACGCCCCCGAGCTCCGCCGGACCCGGGGCCGCGGCCGCCCGCCGCCCGCCATCTTGCCCCGGTGCGCCTGCGCGGGCGCCCGCCGCGACGGGTCCGCGCCGCCACGGTTCCGCGCCGCCACGGTTCCGCGCGCGCCCGCCGCGCGTGTGCGTGTCGGGGGGCGCGCCCAGCACCCCGGGGGCCGCCCCGCACCTCCGGGGCCCCCGGGAGCGGCGGCGAGGGCGGCCCGCCCCCCAGCCCCGGCTTCGGGTCGCCGGGCCGGGCTGCCGCGAGGCCGGCCCGCGCGCGCGCACGGACGCTTTAGGCGGGCGCGCCGGGCCTCTGCGGGGCGGAAGCCGGAAGCGGCGGGCGGCACTTCCGGGCCCGCCCCCCGGGCTCGCGCGAGCCGCCCGCTTCCGGCCCGCTCAGTCCGCGTCTGCAGCCTCCGGAGTCCCCCGGCCGTTCATGGTGAGGAGGGGGCGGCGGCCGGGGCGAGGCCGGGGGGCGCCGAGCCGGACCCCCGCGGCGGGGGGCGCGTCCGCTCGGGGCTGGAACTCGGCGCTGGGCGGCGGGGGTGGGGTGGGGGGTCCCTGTCCGGGCGCTTCCGTTGGGGGCGTCTCGGGCCGGGGTCGGCCCTGCGTGGGCGCGCGCCGACCCTCCCTGGGGGTCGCTCTGGCCCGCGCCGCCTCGGGGTGGGGGGTGGGGGGTGGGGGGAGGAGACCCCCACCCCCCCGAGTCCGAAAGTGGCCCCCCACCCACCCACCCACCCACGTCGTGTCGAAGTAGGGACCCCCGCCCCCTTCTCCAGGGGCGTGGCGATGGGACGGGGTCCGAGGGGCGCGCTCGGGACCCTCGGCTCACACCCACCTCCTCATGCGGCCCCCAAGTGCCGCCAGGAGCGATGACCGAGCACGGGGTGGCCCCTGAGTGTGGCCCCAGCGCCGCCCCCCCCAAAAAAAAATCAGAAAAATCAGAAGTGGCCAATTTTTTTTTTTTTTTTTTGCTTTTTTTGGGTCCCTCCCGGCTCTGCACTCAGGAATCCCTCCTGGCGGTGCTCGGGGTCCCTCTGGGATCGAACCCGGGTCGCCGCTGCCAGGCCAACGCCCTCCCGCGGGGCTCCGCTCCAGCCCCCAGAAGCGACCAGATCTCAAGGTGCTTCTCCCTCAAATGGGACTGCGGGAGTTGGGGGCAGTGTTTTACTTCTTGTTTGTTTTCTGGGGTTCTGATAAGTGAGCCAGGCACAGGGTCATCCCAAGTCTTGGTTTCCTCCCCGGGAAAGGGGGTTGGGGGCGCTGGCCTGGCACACAGCTAGGTTCGGGTCCCAGCGCCCCATATGGGCCCCCAGGCATCGCCAGGACCGAGCCTTGCTTGGCCACTGCAGGGTGTGTCCCCCTCCCCACCCCACCCCAAAAAAGTGGGATGGGTAACATTTCCCCCACTAGACTCTTGGAGAAATAGGCTGATCGTCAATCAAAGGAAGCCCCGTCAGCAAGTACCGCCCCGCTGTCTGCCTGGTGGAATTTAGTTAAGTCGTCGGACAAACGGACCCGCCAGATTTTTCTGAGCTGCAGGAAGAAGGCCTTTGGGTTTGGCCGCTTTGTGATCGGCCTCAAGGCGGCGGGTCTTGGCAAAAGAGCTGAGCTGTGGGACCCTCTGCGGTGGCCAGACATGAGATGGCCCGGAGGAGTCTTCGACCCGCTAGTCGCCTAAGCCCGCCTTCCCCACCCAGCACCCCGATTCTGATCAACCAGTTGGTCTGGGGAGCAGCCCAGCGTCTGTCCTTTTCGAGCATTGCCCTGGCGAGTCCGGCCCTGCCGGCGTCGGGAACCCCCATCTTCTGGAAAGCCTGGGGGTGGCAGGAGGGAGACAAGGCTGAGGACCCGGGGGCCGAGCACCCGAACCGTCGTTCTCTGAGGGTTGCCGGGAAGGTCGTGGCTTGCCGGGTTAACGAGCATCTTGGCCTCCGAGTCGGGGAGCAGGGACGAGGGTGAGTCACCTGAAGAGCACACAGGAAGTGGTGGCGCTGGGTCTGCCGTTGTCCCCGGCCACAGCACCAGCCCTGCCCACGCTGCCAGCGGCTCTGCAGAGGTGAAGGGAGAAGAGCCAGAGCAGAGGAAGTCGCTGCCTGTTTCTCCTCGTGTTTGTCTGGGTTTCTTTGAGGCAAACCCCTTTGGGCCGATGTTTATTTTTCAGCCGGGTAAAGCGACTTCCTGTCTCTGTTTCTGAAAGTGTCAGGTCGGCCCAGCTTTTGTCTCTGATGCTTCTGCTCTCAGGCACGGGCAGGCATTGGCTGATCTGATAGGGCAGGAAACCAAGCGCGTCTCCGAGACCATGCAGTTAATTGTCACCTAATTAAAGCTGCCAGAACTCTCTAGGTTGCAATTTTGGCTGCCCCTGGAAATGACTTCAAGGCTGTTGTTGCCTGTGAGGCTGGGGAGCTGGGACAAGGGTTACGACGCTCACCTTTGCCCCCCCCCCCCCTTTCATCCCCAGCATATTAGCGCCCCGCCACGAGCAACCCAGGAGTGGTCCTTGAGAGCCAGGAGTAAGCCCTGAGCGTCGCTGGGTGTGGCCCCAAAATTGTTCATAAATAAGTAAATAAGAATTTACATGGTTAGGACAGGGGGTCGGGAGCTTGCCTTACATGCGGCAGACCCGGGTTCAGTCCCTGGCGCCCCATCTGGTCCCCGGAGCACCTCTCGGAGTGCTCCCTGAGCACAGAGCTAGGAGTAAGCCTCGAGCATCTCCGAGTGTGGCCCCAAACCAAAAAAGGTAAAAAGAATTTACATGCTAAGACCCAGGCATCAATGGCGGGGCGGGGCGGGGCTCAAGTGGGACAGACAGCACGTGTTTCACGTGTCTGCAGCCCTGGGTTCCACCTTCCATGCCACAGAACAAAAAACGCGTGTACTCACGCCACTCCTTTCTCCCCGCAACCCCCTGGTAACAACAGTATATCAGGGAGAGGGGAAACAGTCCTCTGGACTTATCCATCTGGCGGAAATAAATTTGTTGGGTCTTGAGCATGCCCCTAGGTGCTGGGGCCTCTTCCTGGCTCTGTGCTCCAGAGTAACCCCTGGCATGGCTGGAGCGGGGCGGGATTTGGGGCCGGGACAGCTGAATGTGAGGCAGGCACCTTCACCCCTGTACTATCTCTCTGGGCCTCATTGAAATGACTTTGATTTTTTTTGAATTTTTGGGTCACACCCGGTGATGCTCAGGGGTTCCTCCTGGCTCTGCACTTAGGAATCACCCCTGGCGGTGCTCAGGGGACCCTATGGGATACTGGGAATCGAACCCGGGTCGGCCGCGTACAAGACAAACTCCCTGCCCACTGTGCTATCACTCCAGCCCCAGTAACATTTATTTAAAAAAAAAAAAAAGAATGTTGTTGGGCAGGGGCGGGTGGGGGCCTTTGGGGCAGGGAGTAAGGTGCCCGAAATGGAACCCGGGGCCTCACCCTTGAAGGCTGTGTCCTCCCCTGGAGTCCCATTCCTGGCCCGGAATCAGTAAGCAGGACCTCTGGATCTTGGTACCTGTTTCTAGAGCCTCTTACGGTCTTTCTGCCCCGCCTCCATCCTCCTTCGTAATATTTCATCCTTCATTCGAGAATGTGGCAGGAAATTAAGCCCCCCAGGAGGGCCGACTCGGGAGGCTCTGCGGAGAGGTGAGAGGCTTCCTGTGCGCCCCGCATGTCCTCAGCTCACCGGCACTCGGCCCCAGGAGCCTCCCCGGTTAGATGACTGACCCTCGGAGGGTGGACTCCCAAGGCCTCAGAGCTGGCTTTGTCTGCAGACCGTGTCTGCGTCGGTGTCCTGGGCTAGCTCAGGAGATTTCGGCCCAAGTCTCGGAAGGCAAAGGGGATCGAGTGTCGCCAGCTTTCTCAGATGTCATCGTTTGAACGGTTGCTGGGGATGGGACCCATGCTGAGTGCTCTCTGGTGCGGCCCTCGTGGATGGATTTCAGCAGGCGGCCCCGTCTGCCGCAGAGGACTAGCTGGAGGGGCCCGGGCTCCCACGGCCGGGTGAGGCGTGGTCTGGAGGCTCAGACCCAGGTCCGGCTCCCACCTCCAAACCCTTTGCCTTGTGTTACCTCCCAGCTCTTCTCCGAGATTTGGGGTTCTTAGTAAAGAAGGAGGTGTGGCCCTTTGCTCACTTAACGCCCAAGCACTCTAAGTCGAGCACGGCCACCGTCCTGGACTCGGGCCAGCAGGACTGCTCACCTCAGCGTCAGCCCGCTTCCCTGCACCAAGGCCTATGAATCCACAGGACGGAAATCAGAGAAATAACAATTTCCCCTAGCATTCCCCAGCACCTGCCTCCCACCCCCAGTACCGTTGGCATTTCAGGTGGTTCTCTGTGGTGGCAAAAGTAAAAACCGGTATTTGTTCGGGCTGAAGGGGCGGCGGTTGGCTGAGCCACACCCAGTGGTGCGCAGGCCTTATGGTGTTGGGGGTAGAACCCAGCTCAGCTGTGTGCAAAGCAAGCGCCCTCTCTCTCTCTCTCTCTCTCTCTCTCTCTCTCTCTCTCTCTCTCTCTCTCGCCCCAGAACTGGTAATTCTGGAAGGGTGTCTTAGGAAGGGTTTCTCCTTTGGGTTGTGGAACAAGAGACACAATGCTTGTATCAGCCCAAGCCTTGCCTGATAAGAAGCGAATTGTCTGCGTGTTATCTTGAAGAAGGTACTACAAACCAAAAACGCAGTCTGACTCGGTTTCGTATTAGTATGAAAACAGCACGAAAGCCAAAACGGCAAGATCTGACTTGTTTGTTTTACGCTAGCACTTTATGATCTGCTGCCCAGTCTCCGTACTTTGATTTTTGTGTGGATTAAGATGTCAGGGGGTGCCTTAAAAAGCATTTCCTGGGGCCAGAGAGTAGCACAGCAGGGAGGGGGCTTGCCTGGAGTGCTGCTGGCCCGGGTTCTCATCCCTGGCACCATATATGGTTCCCTGAGCACCGCCAGGAGGGATTCCTGAGCCCAGAGCCAGGAGTAAGCCCTGAGCACCACTGGGTGTGGCCCAAACTCCCCCCCCCCCCCCCAAAGAAAAAGCATTTCCTGGGGCCCAGGCAGTGGCTTTAAGGATTGGCGCCTTCTGGGCACGTGGGAGCCCTGGGTTCAGTTGTGGTTTGCCAGCACCCCTGGAAACGACCCCAAAGCACTGCTGGGTGTGCCCCTCACCAAGAAAAGAGCTCGTTGTATAAATAAATACCTCCAACCAGATAAAAAGTTTTCCGTTCTGGGCAAATTTCCCTCCTCCCCCTTCAAGGGGAAAAAAAAAGCCTGCACAAGTTTAAGCCTTTTTACCTTCTCCTTTAGGTCTTTAAATTCATTTTTAGAAGCTTTCTTCCTACAAGCTCCTGTGGCCAGGATTTCAAGGGCGGGTAGGAGAACTGTCAGCATAGGACTCGGGGGGCTGGTTTCAAATGGAGGAGGGTCCCGCCTTCCTTGGGGCTCTCTGGGTCACAGAGACCCCAGGTGAGCCAGGCCCGAGCTTTGAAAACATCCCTTCTGCCCTGTGCCTTGGTGAAGCAGGAACAGCTCCTGGGGGAAGGCTTTGTCTCCAGGCCGCCGCCTTCCTGTTTCACCCTGCAGGGCCCTGACCGCTGTCCCCAGCTGGTGTTTCCTGGCTTGGGGGGGGGGGGGGGATTAACGGAGGCCGAGGTCGGCCACAGCCTCTGCTGTTCGAGGTGGGTGGCAAGTCGCCTGCCACTGGTCTCTCGTCCCCTTCGACAAAACAGTATGGGGAGGTACAGGGGCTAAGGGACATGCCTTGCGTGTGACCAACCCTGGTTCTCTTCCTGGAAACACCTGGTCCCCCACGCAGTGCCCGGGGTGGCCCCCACGCCTTGGAGGCTGCAGAGCTCGCATTGACTCTCCAGTCCACGTTGCCAAGTAGCGCGGGACGAGGCCTCCTGAGGCTGCTTGGCTGCCTCCCCCCACGCCACCCTGCCCCTACTGCTTTTCTCCAGTGACACGCTTTCTTTGTGGGAAACTTGGAAAAGGCCATGAGACATAAGGCATTATTTGAGACTCCCTTTTTGGTGTGGGGGATAGCTCGGGAACGCTGCGTGCCATCTGCTCCCAGCCAGCCAGCCCACAGGAACATACCTCGGGCGTGTCTGTCTCCTGTTGCCCTGTGGGAGAACTTGTGGGGTGTCTCAGGAAGAGGGTTCGGCTACGTGGAGATTGGGGCACACGGAGGACTGGGGGAGGCGGGACTTTTCCCCGCATTGGGTGCTCGGGTCCCACTGAGGCCTCCGTGGCAGGCAGGATGGAACGGGGCTCAAGGTTAGGTTGGTGAAGCTGGCATGAGCCAGGCTAGGGGGATCTGGCTCTGTTGGCGTTTTGGGCAGTGGTCTTGGCTGTGCCTTGATCCGTCCATCCTCGTGGCCCTGCCGAGCGGGCGAGCATCTGGGAGCGCCAGGCCAGCCCCGTGGCCCAGATTTCGTAGCGCGGCCCCCTGTTCTTGGGCCTCGTCTCCCGTAGAGTCTTCCTTCTCCAGGACGCAGTGGCGTCTTGGAGCCGTGTGTGGCCCACGTCTTCTCTCCCAGCACTGCGTGCCCCGGGCACCGCAGCCGTCTTTGAGCTGTGCCTGCCACCGGCCGTGCTGATCCGGCTGTCAGTCTCGTGTTTCAGGCAATGCAGTGCTAGGTAGGAAGTTCCTCTGATGCTGCTCTAACTCGCTTCCCGGAGCCTTCATGTTTAGTTCTCAGAAAACCCCTTTTCCGGGGGGAGAGTGCGCCAAGGGGGCTGGGCATTTGGGTTCTGCCCCCGGTCCCACCTGGCCGGGAAACCAAGCTTAAGAAAAGGAAAGGCCGCTCGTCTTCCCTGTAGAGGGGAAGGAGTGCAGGCAGGAGTTGGGGTTCCACTGACTCCCTCTTGGTTTGCTTCCTCTGGGAACCTGCCGAAAGGTAGCTGGGTCTTCAGCTGGTCAGTGGCGTGTGGCATTAGGGACGAGGGGGAGTGGGCAGTGCTGGGGGCTGTGGCGGCCGGGGCGCTCCTGTGGAGCTGTGGGTAGAACAGAAGTCCTGGTGAGTGGCCTCCGTGGCCAGCTTGTGCCCGCGGGGTGAGGTGAGGTCACTGTGGAAGACCGTGGATTGGGCCACAGGCCTCTCTCCAGGGCCAGCCCGGTTCCACCCTCCCCTTGAGAGAAGTTCCGATTTTCCTGGGAACTCTCTTGACTTGTCAAGACCAGGAAATGGGGAAGCTTTGTTTTGCTTATAGGGCCACATGGGGCGGGGCGGGGCAGGGCGGTGCTCAGGGGTCACCGGCTCTGTGCTCGGGGCCTGGTGGTGCCTGGGCTGGAACCAGGGCCCCCTCCGTGCCGTTCCCTTTGGCCCACACTTGAAGTTCCCGACACCATTTTTGGTCCGGGTGGTTCAGGTCAAGCGTGGCGAGAAGCTGGACTCATCCACCGACAGCCTGGTGACCGTTGTGTCTTCTGTCTGCCCCTGCAGGAAGAGATGTCAGGAGAGAGTGTGGTGAGCTCAGCGGTGCCAGCGGCTGCCACCCGCACCACTTCCTTCAAAGGTGCCAGCCCCAGCTCCAAGTACGTGAAGCTGAATGTGGGCGGGGCGCTCTACTACACCACCATGCAGACGCTGACCAAGCAGGACACCATGCTGAAGGCCATGTTCAGCGGGCGCATGGAGGTGCTCACCGACAGTGAAGGTGAGCCCCCTCCCCGCCCCGGCCCGGGGGTGCCCCCGATTCCTCGCCATCTGCCGTGCTCCCTCGCGCTCACTCTAACTGAGCACGGGGGCGGAGGGGACTGGCGTCTCGGGGCTGCTTGTAATCAAGGGAGACTTCTCCCGGGAAGTGGCATCACCACCAAGGCCCCCAGAAGCAGAGCCGGCTTGCCAGGGGCTCGGCATCTTGGTTTAGGCGCTAGGGGACGCCCCTTGGGTCGCTGTTCTGTTCCCTCGCGGAGGCGGAGGTGTGTGCTCTGACTCCTTGACCTCCTTCCACGGGCTTCTGGTGGGGGTGTGCTTGGTCGCTCGCGAGGCTGGTTCCCCAGCTGGTAAGATGAGGCGGTCGCCCAGAGGCACCCCTGCCCGCCCCCAGGGTGGGTGTCTTCTGTGTCCTTCCCCGTTCGTGTCGGCAGAGGACGTGGGAAGAAACCTCCACCACGGAGGGGCCTGAGCTGCTGGGATTGGGGGCTGCGGACAGGAGGGCCCTCTTTTCCCCGCCTGCCTCCATCTTCCTTGCCTCTTTCCCAGAGGGTCCTCTACTGACGCCCTTTTGGGGGAGCGCATCCCAGGCGACTGGGAGTGTCTTCATTTCAGCCAGGGTTTGGGACCCAGAGCCTGCGTGGGGGGTTCTCAGACGGGAGGAGCGCGGGTTTTCCTTCTGCCTCCTGGAGAAGCCAGACTGCGGTGCTGGGGGCCCCAAGTCCAGGTTTCAGGGGCGGGGGGGGGGGGGTGAGTGATGTCAGAGCCCCAGAGCCAGCCGCCTGCTGGGGAGGGCCCGCAAACCACTCTCCGACCCGTGGAGGTGGCCCTAGGATCCGTAGGTGCAGGGAAGGACCGACCGAGTGAACACAAGACACAAGAGACAGAGTATAGTTCAGAAATAGAGAGAAAAAGGGACAGACCTTATTGAGGGCTACAGGCTGTTTATATAGGGTCCGGGCAGCTCAGTCAGGAGCAGAAGCAGTATAACCATACATGGTAAGGTCAGCAACAAGAGCTTTACCTAACGTTCAAGGTAGACATTTGCACATCAAAGGGTCTTGTGGCAGTAGGTGCCTCCTGAGCTTTACATTTGTATATCAAAGGGTCTTAGGGAGTAGATGCATCCTGGAGGTTACTATAGATAAGGCCAGCTAAGCTGTCAGCCTGATGTTGCTTGCTATAGATCAGGCATCCACTGAGATCAGGAAGTCCTGGGAGACTGTCACCAATGTCTGTCCCAAGCAGTTCCTAGCATGGGAACCATGGTCAGGGTCTATGAGAGGGCTCTTGGCTTCCCACAGCCTGCAGTCTCGGCCGGAGAACACCCTGCCTTGTCAGGAGTGGGAGGCCCCTGTGAGCGGGTCACACCCTGATCCTCCGCGGAGGGGGGGGGGGTGTGGAAGCACAGACAATAGGGTCCCCCGCTAAAGGAAGCGGCCTTATCGGAGAAGCAGGGTTGGCGCGGCTTCTCTTCCGTCCTGCCCGGTCTCCCTGCCGGCGCTTGGGGAAAGCGGCCAAGGGGAAGCCTTGGCTGTGGTGGCCCCAGTGGCAGGCTGCTGAAGGGACAGAGCCCCCAATCTCCCTGTGACCCCCGGCTCAGAGGGGCTGTGCCTGGGCCGCCACTCCAGGGCGCGCAGAGGTGGCGATCGATTGGGAGCCCCGACCTCTGGGCTTTTCCGGGGGTGGGATGGGCCAGCGCCCGGGCCTGGCTGCCCGAGGCTCGTGGCCGTTGGCTCCCACGACAGCCTCTGGGGACTCTGGAGAAGGCCAGGCTCGTGAGTCTTGGGTCAGTGCACTGCCCAGGGTGGCCTCACAGCATGACCCCCAGGCTTCACCCCAGATACCACACAGAAGCCGGTCAGCGGCCACCAACAGGCCCAAATGCCAAGTCGGGCTCAAGCAGGCGCGTGGGTGCCGCAGAGCAGCCTCTCAGTCTGGACGCAGCAGGGGCTGGCGGCAGGACAGCAGCTGTGCGGTGCGAGCCGGGACCTCTGAGGGTGCCTGAGAAGTGGCCTGGGGGCGAGGCGGGGCTAGCCCGAGTCCCTGGCCCTGGTCCGTCTGCCTCGACGGTGTGTCTGGGCCGTGTGTGAACGGCGTTCTGTGGCTCTGACCTCTGGGCTTGGGCCTGCCTTGGCATCCCCCTGGCGAGGGGAGGAGGGATCACGAAGTTGACCTGCCCTTCTCGGACTCTGCTGCAGGCCCTGTGTTCTGCCCATGGAGATTGCGTCCCGGCGCAAGAGCCTCATTCTGGAGCGCTCCCCCAGTTCTGGGTGGGTCTCTCGAGGGTGGTGCCTCGCCCAGCCCACCCAGAAGGACCCTATCGTTGTACTTGGTCCGTGCAGAGACTCTGGACTCCCCGACTCCCCCACCAGCCGCCCTCAAGGCTGCTGCCCTAAAATCTTTTCCACCTCCTGGAAACTCTCCTAGAATTTATTCCCAGGAGACGGAGTGGGGCCAGGGACCCAAAACCCACTGATAGCTTGGCTTGCCGGGTCTTAGTGCCCGTGTCAGATTGAGCGGTGGGCGCCCTGGGACCCTGTCAGATACGACAGCAATGACATGGCCCGCTCCCGCCCTGACAGTCACCGATTACCAGTGGATGGAGCATCTTTCTGTGTTCGTTGTCCGTGTCTCACTTGGAGCTGCCTCGGACACAGAGCCCCCTCTCTCCCCTCTCTCTCTCTTACTCGTTCGTTTTGCCTCTTGGGCCACACCTGGTGCTGAGCTTCGTCCTGGCTCCGCCCTCAGGAATCATTCCTAGTGGTGCTGGGGGACCATAAGGGATGCCGGGGTCGAGCCCTGCCGGCCGAGTGCGAGTGCGAGGCGGACGTCCTCCCTGCTGTCCTGTCACCCCTGTTGTGTCTGATGTGGCGGCATCTTCTCCTGGTCTGACTTCTCTTGTCTCTTTTTCCTTGCCCGTGTCCTCGGTCAGGGGTGCTGGGAGGGAGAGTGGAGCCCGTGTCTTGCTCCGCTGTGTGGCACCAGGAGTGCACGGCGCGTGCTCCGCCCCAGCCCTATTTTAGGCTGTTTGTTTGTTTGTTTGTCTTAAAGGGTGTCCTTTGTTCTGAACAGCTCCGTTGGGTTTCTGATGGCCTGGATGCTCTTCGACCACAGTGATTTTTGACCCTGGGGAATTTGGCACTAGTGAGAGAGCTTTCTACCCATCACGCTTCAGGGGTGAGGGTGGGAGTGTGTTAGCATCGAGGAGGCCAGTGTCAGGGGTGCTGCACAGGAGAGCCCCTTCCTCAGTCAGATTCAGGATTGGGAACCGGCAGCTACTCTCTGGGGACTTAATTTTTTGTTTTGCTTTGTAGATGGGGGAGACTTGGGGGGCCACACCTGGAGATACTCAGCGTTTACTCCTGGCTCTGTGCTCAGGGATCACTCTAGCGGGGCTTGGGGGACCCCGTGGGGTGTCGGGGATCTAAACCTGGCAGGCACCCTCCCTGCTGTACTGTCGCTCCAGCCTCTCCCTGTCTTGGGGCAGGCTGAATCTCTCCATGGAGACAGAGGTAGGGGCCAGGACTGGAGGGAAAGGAGAGAAACGGCCCAGGGCTTGGGACCTGTGCTTGGGAGCCACAGAGTCCGCAGTAGGCTGAATTTGACCACTTCTTTTTTTGGGGGGGTGGGGGAGAGGGTCACGCCCAGCTGTGCTCAGCGTTCGCTTCTGGTGGGGAGACCGAATGGGACACAGGAGATCCGACCCAGGTCAGCTACGTGCAAGGCAGGCGCCCCACCCGCTCTTCTGTCGCTCTGGCCCTGGACTGTGCTGGTTCTGACCCAGTTGCTGCTCTGTCCTCGGCAGAGACCGTGGGGCCGAGAGACTCGGGCGTGGAGGCCCTTGGCTGTCTCTGCATCGGGCACGGGCTTCCTGCGCGCGCTCTCTGGCCCCGATGCCCACCCTGCAGGGCAGTTGTAGAACAGGAAGCTGCCAGGCAGAGTGGTTAGTGAGACCCCGCATCTCCCTACATGTGGGCACAGTGCTGGGTCCCTCCCAGGCAGCCGTGTTCCCACAGTTCCCGCGCATGCCTCCTCTGACACCCGCCTGCGCTCAGCCCGCCTTCTGCTCCAGCCTTGCCCGGCGGGCCTCGGACCCCCAGCGCCCCGTGGCTGCAGGACCGTCCCCCACATCAGGACCTGCGTGGCTCCTGCGTGCTTTTCTCTGTACGGGGCCTTTGTGTGGCCTGTGTCAAGGGGATAGATTCCTGCTTTGAAAGCAACCAAAATATTTTAGAGTCGGCTGCTGATTGAGACCTCACGGAGAGCGCCTGGCCCCTTTGTCCTTATTTGTCCAAAGTACGATTCCTTGGCCGCAAGCATTTCCTGGCGGCATTCTTGAGCTGACGCCCAGCATCACGGTCCGCCTGCTCGTTTATGGAAACGGGGATAATTGATCCCGGCCCTTGCTCCTTGCAGCGGCCGGGGGGCCGGGCTCCGAGGGCGGGTCTCGTCTCCCGCGCTGTGTCTCCGGGACGGAAGTGCTCCGTCAGTCCTGGTGAAAGGCCTTTCTTGTGCTTTGTGGTCCTCCCTTTCCCCAGCCCCCGACACACATGCACACACACAAGGGAGTGTCACTGAACTTCTCTTTGCTGCTGTGGAATGAGTCCTCTCCCCCCCCCCCCCGCCACACACACACATACACACACTCCCCAAGAGTGTGGTGGGGAGACTGACCTTACTCCTGTTGATGCTGAAAGAAAAGCCCTTTGGTGTCGCAGAGGGGGTGGGAGTCAAGGCACTTGCCCCCCTGGCACTGCATAGGCTCCCCCGAGAACTGCCGGCAATGACCCCTGAGCACTACCAGATAGTACCTCAAACTTCTCCCGCCAGAAGAGCACTCGTTCTAGAGCTTTTTCCCCAAGTGAGTCCTATGGTGCCAGAGGAGGTGCTTTCTGGACGCCGAGTGATTTCCTTCCCCAAAGGGGGTTGGTCGGCCAGAAGAGCTTGGGTTCTCAGGTAACAGAGACCGAGCGGGCAGCCTGCGGAGACGGGCGTGTTTGCCCGAAGGTGGTTGTAGGGCGGTTGTCTCTTAATAAACAACACGAGGGGCAGAACTCAGCCCTCTTAGAAAGGGGCGCCCGGCTACACTCCCGGGGCTGTGCGGCCGCCTACGTAGGGGGCATTTGGGGCCCATATGGGGCTAGTAAACTCAGGGCCTGGGCCTGCTGGACATGCACCCTGCTGCTGGGCACCTCCCGGGCTCTGTAACTATCCTTTGAAAAATCAGAGGTCACAGAGGAGCCTGGGTCTCTGCTGTGCACAACGGCAGTGGCTGCCGCCTGGACATCGGCCCGAACACGCAGCCCTCCTGGGCCGCATTGGTGAGAGTGGGACGCAGCCGCTCCCCGGAACCCCACGGGCACCTCCGCCAACAGATCCTGCTTTGCTGTCTGTGGGTGGAGGCGGAAGTCGGGGTCAGCAGGGCACCCTGGTGTCTGCGGCTCACCTCGCTGCGGGTGGCAGAGAGGCCTGTGCTGGTTAACGCGTGCCTCCCTTTGTCCCCCGCAGGCTGGATCCTGATCGACCGCTGCGGGAAGCACTTTGGGACCATACTCAACTACCTGCGTGACGGCGCGGTCCCCCTGCCTGAGAGCCGCCGGGAGATCGAGGAAATGCTGGCAGAAGCCAAGTACTACCTGGTGCAGGGCTTGGTGGAAGAGTGCCAGGCAGCCCTCCAAGTAGGCATCGCCCGGCCCCTCCCATGGGCTGGGGACGCACCAGCCCTCCGTTCCCTGCCTCGTCACTTTCCCCACGGCAAACAGGGCCAGATTCCCCCCACTGGGATGCTCAGAGATCTCCCCTGCGTAAGCTTGGGGGACCCGGGGGTCCATCCCAGGTCAGCTGTGTGCCGGACAAGCACTTTCCCCTCCGTGCCCCCTCTCCTCCCAGCGCTGACTCTCGGCTGCCTCTCCCTTGGGAGCCTGTCAACCCACAGAAGCTCCCGGGGATCCGTGGACCTGACCCCACTGTCCTCCGGATGCTGGCGTGCTAAGTGCCCGGGCAGAGCCCTGAAGATGCAGTGTGGTGCCGCACGGTTGGGTCAGAACCCCCGTCACGTGCCCTCCACTAGGCCACACCAGCCCCTCCCCATCCTCCACCCACCGCCTCTTCACTCCTTGGGGTCCCGGCCCTGTCCCCTGCCTCTGCCTCCGCCGCCTCCTTCCTGGCATCCCCCTTTGCCACATTATCTCTTGGCACTGTCTAGAGCCAAGCGCTGCTCCCCAGTCTGAAACACATCCTCCTCCTCCCAGCGCAGTGCATCCCCGCTGGAGTGAAGAGAAACCAGCACGCCTCTCCCCTCCCCTCCCCCGCCCTGCTGGCCTCAGCACTGCCCAGCCTAAGTGCCCTGCTGGCCTGCACTGGGCGTATCCCTCACCCCTAGTATTCCCGGGTGTGGCCCGTCTGAAGTTTTTGCGATCGATACTGAAGTTGACCCTGTGTGCGGTGCTGGGCGTGTCTCTGCAGTTGCGCTTGGAGCAGGCAGCGCGCTGCTTTTGTTAGCTCTGCAGTTGGCGGGGGGTTAGTGCCTTTTTATTTTTTCAGCTGTCAGGCAAGCCCAGGGTCCCACACGTTGGCAGGCCTGCGTGTGCCCGCCGAGCCCGCTCCCACACTGGTGCTCCATTGTCTCGCTGCCTGGCTTTTCTAAGTCCCGGCCCCTCGTTCAGCCCGCAGGGTCTCAGAGCTCGCCTTGGTCTCTGTGGTCCCTGTGTGGCTGAGGTTAAGCCCTGGCGCTGACCTCTGGCTTTCAGCCCTGCTTTCTCGGGCTGGTTGTTTTTTTTTTTTCCTAGCTTGGTTTCTTTCTATCCCATTTTCGCGGGCCCACACCCCTCCTCAGGGCACTGCTTTTCCACGTCACGCACTGCTCGCGCCCAGAGATGCCGCGCCGGCTCAGCTGTGACAGTCTGCGGGTTTTTCCGGCTCCTTCTTCATCCTTCCCTGTCTGGGCGTCTGAGGGACTCAGTGCATCAGCTGTGGCTCCCTGTTGCGATTTGCGTCGGGCTCTGAGGAGCTTGAGGCCCAAGGCCTTCAGGGACTGGGGGTGAGGGCTGAGAGGGCAAATGTTTTTATATGGAGACCGCCAGGCCAGGGCTCAGCTCTGCGCCCTGGAGCGGCTCCCTCTGCTCTCCTTCCTGTCGAGGATAAGCCGGGCCGGCTGTGTTCAGGGAGGCGAAGAGAAGAGGCCAGGGCCTGGGGGAGCCTTGGCGGTCGGTGTATAGCGCCATCGCTCAGTCCCTGTTTCCCAAACCGCAGCTCAGCCCTGTCCTCGACGGTGCCAGCTGCTCCAGGAGGTCGCCTTCCTCCTGCCCGTGGGGGTCCCGTGTGCTGCTGCGGCAGCAGACCCCCTCTGCGTGGGCACCGCGCCTGGCCTTCAAGCTGTTTCTGGAGAGTTCTCCGCAGTCTTCGCCGTCTGCCACTGGCGTGTGTTTCCGCGGCCTCCTCCTGGCTGTCCTCCTGGCTCAGCACTCAGCAGCGGTCTGCTCGGCTTGGGCCTTCACGCCTCTTTCACCTCCTGACCTTGCTCCTCTCCTGTCTCTTACGGTCTTGAGATTTTTTTTTTAATTCTCTGTGCTCCTGGCGTGGTGACTTAGGTCCGTGGAAGAGCTCCTTCCCGTGCGAAGTGAGCGCTGAGCCCCAGCCCGACGGAGGAGCAGAGTGAGTGGGGGGCTCTGCTCTTGCTCTTCTCCCACCTTCAGTGCCCGGTGTGAGAACCTGCCTCCTCGGCCAGCCCTGAGTGTCCGCCAGCACCCCCAGGCCGGCGTCTGTGATCCCTGCTGCGCGGCCTCCAGGGCTGACATCCTGTTTTGTTCCGGCAGAACAAAGATACTTACGAGCCTTTCTGCAAAGTCCCTGTGATCACCTCGTCCAAAGAAGAGCAGAAGCTCATAGCCACGTCCAATAAGGTAGGCTCGGGGGCCCGGCGCCTTTTTGGTTTTCTGCTGCCAGAGGTGAAAGATGTTCTGGAAGCGCCTGGAAAGACACCTGGGGTCGTGTCCCGAGCTGGACCGGGAGGGGGTTTGTGGGCTCCTGCGCCTTGCCCGTATTCCCCCTCGTGGGGCTGGGGGGCCGGGCGTGGGTCTCCCTGTCCGGCCTGGGCCCCTGGGAAGCCGGAGCTTCGTTGCACCCCACCCCCAGCTAACTCTCTTCTTTCCTCCAAACCCCGTAGCCGGCTGTGAAGCTGCTGTACAACAGAAGTAACAACAAGTACTCCTACACCAGGTAAGGGCCGGCCGGGAAAGACCTCTCCGTCCGCCCAGAAAGACCTCTGTCCTCCAGCTGGGCCCGGCCCCTCGTGTCCCTCCCAGGCTGGTCTCTGCGTGCCCTGGGGATGCTCAGGGATGAGGGCGGGCCACGGGCTGTCCGGCTTTGAGAAGCTGCGCGCCCTAAGGGGCAGATCTCTCGTCCCCCACGCAGTGCCATGTCGTCGGCACGTGCAGGGTGGTGCCGCCGGCCCACTAGCCACTCCCCCTTGCCCCCACCGCCTTGGGATTTTCTTCTTTGGTTTACGGGTCGTGATCCGGGGCTGACTTCGGGACGAGCTTCCCTTCTTTCCGGTGGGGGGTCATCACGCTGTGGCATGTTTCCATTGCCCGTTCCCTCTGGCCAGCAACAAAGAACCCTCAAATGACTGGGCTGCAGGTCGTCCTTTTCCTCGGCTGCTGTGCAGTGAGGGTCGATCCGTCTTTGTGTGTCATAGGTTTTCCTTTCTGCTGGGCGATACCGAGTGGAATTACTGGGTCGTATGTGACTCTTGGTCTAGTCTGGTCAACGTGGAGGAATTGCCCGTTTGTTTCCTAAAGTGGCTTTGTCTTTTGGAGGGTGGGGGTCACACTGAGTGATGCCCAGTGGTTCCTCCTGGCTCTGCACTCAGGAATCACTCCTGGTGGGACTCGGGACCATATGGGATGCTGGGGATTGAACCCGAGTCAGGCACGTGCAGGGCAAGCGCCCTCCTCGCTGTCCCATCACTGCAGCCCAGAGTGGCCTTACCATTTCACATTCCCACCGACAATGTGGATTCCGGCTCTGCTCTTTGGCCCTCGAGAATTTGCTGTTTTCGGGAATGTGAGCAGGGGAAAGGGCATTTCGTGATTTCACTTATGACCCCCAAAACCTGGGGACGGAATGATGGCACAGCGGGTAAGGTGTTTGCCTTGCATGCAGCCACCCTGGGTTTGATCCCCAGCACCCCATGTGGTCCCCTGAGCATCGCCAGGAGTAACTCCTGAGTATTGCCAGGTATGACCCAAAAAAAGCGGGGGAAAAAGGGGGGACCCCCCCCCAAAGCACCAGAGAAAGGCAAGTTTCCCGTGGTTGGTTCTAGTCCCATGCTTTGGCTCAGTGGGGCTCGGTTTCACGCACCCCCTCCTGTGCCCTGTGCCCGCGGGCAACTTAGGATCACAGGCATCGAGGCCAGGGCTGCCTTCCCTGGGCCTCCGGTTAGTTTGGCCCGGGCACCCGGCTGGTTTCCCGTCCCTCCCCTGCTCTGTGCTCTGGGACCGCAGTGCCTTCCTCTTGCCATGGTTGTGGGGCTGCGAGCGGAGAGTGGCAAGAGCGACCTGCCGGTGGAAGCCACGTGACAGAGTGGCTGTCAGTTCCCCCACGCGATCACGGTCACTGTCACTGTCCTCTGTTGTTCATCGATTTGCTCGAGCGGGCCCAGTGACGTTTTGAGACGTGTTACTGTGTTTGGCATCTTGAATAAGTCACGGGAGCTTGCCGTGCGGACAAGATCCTCTCGGTAGCTTGCCGGGCTCCCCGAGAGGGGCGGAGGAATCAAACTCGGTTTGGCCATGTCGACCGGTTTGGCCATGTCGACCGCGTGCAAGGCAGACGCCCTCCCCGCTGTGCTACGGCTCCAGCCCGCCGCATGATCGCCCCCTCGAATGTTCTTTGCAGCAACTCTGATGACAACATGTTGAAGAACATCGAGCTGTTCGACAAGCTGTCCCTGCGCTTCAACGGGCGGGTCCTGTTCATCAAGGACGTCATCGGGGATGAGATCTGCTGCTGGTCCTTTTACGGCCAGGGCCGCAAGATCTCTGAGGTCTGCTGCACGTCTATCGTCTACGCCACCGAGAAGAAGCAGACCAAGGTGAGGCCCACAGACGGGCCGGGGTGAATGGCCGCGGGGAGGTAGGGCATTCCACCTTCCCGCTCTACAGAAGGGAAGGCAGCTGGGAGGGCACGCTGGTGCCTCCCTCTCCTGGACATCCTCATCGTCCTTTTGGGCCCTGGACAACTCGGGAAAGAGACGGGTGGTTCTCTTCCGGTGCTTAGCTCTGTGACAGTCGTCCGGACCCTTTGCCGTCAATGCAGATTCTGGTGTACTCTGTACCCAAGGTGCCTTCTCCCTGCCTGTACTTCTCCCATGCGCCAGAAACATCGGTGGAGTTTATCAGCACGGCCTGTGCCAGCCTCACCGCCCTGCATGTTTCCCATCTGCCTGGCCCCGTCACTTTCTTCAGGGCATGCGCCATGGGCACCTGCAAGCTCTTTGTCTTCTTACCCTCTGACCTGGACTGGCCCTCCATCCTTGGGAGGCCTCCTGGGTTCCTCCGTGAACCTCTCTGGCTTCCTTCCCCGCCTGAGCAGGACTCTTGCTTTTTGCTTTTGGTCTTGGGGGCCACACCCAGTGTTGTTAAGTGGTCACTCCTAGCTCTGCACTCGGGAATCACCCCTGGCAGTGCTTGGGGGACCACGTGGGATGCCAGGGATCGAACCCAAGTCGGCTGTGTTTCAGGCAAGTGCCCTTGCTGTGCTATCACTCCAGCCACCTGGGTTGTCGTTTTTTAGAGAGATTTCATATGGGTCCCTCTGCCCTTGGTCGTGCTGCTTCGCTTTTAAAGTACTGAGCTCAGAAAGGACTGGCTGGGTTTTGATGGGGCTCCGAGGGTTCAAGACCACATGGTCTGATCACAGCCCTTTAGAGGCCCACAGGAAGGATCCAGAAAGCCTGTCCTTGTGTGCAGAGCTGGTTAGCAGCGACCAGGTGCCACGGCCCCTTGGCTCCACCGCCTCCCCGGCAGGCTTTTCGTTCCCACTGGGTGCCAGGTGGCTGGGGCTCTCCGGGGCTGTTGGGGATGGCAGCCCCACACCCGCAGGCGTCCTCAGGGCTGCAATTGGAACCCGCAGACTCGGAGCTGTCCCAGGCAGCTTCGGGTGCTTCCTTTGTTGTTGCGTAATTGGCATCTTCTCCTCTGTATGGCTTGCTGAGTGCCCTGGTGATTCTTTGTTTTGTTTTTGATTTGGGGGCACACCCGGAGGTGCTCAGAGCTTACTCTTGGCTCTGCGCTCTAGAATCACTCCTGGTGGTGCTGGGGGCCGGGGAGGTGGAACGGACCCTGTGGGATGCTGGGGATCGAACTCGGGTTGGCTGCTTGCAAGGCAAATGCCTCAGTCCCTTTCCTTTCTGACCTAGCCTCGTAACTCTTTGACTTATCCAGCTGTCTTTTGTAGAAGGGGTGTGGCTTGCAGAAATGACACATTAGCCATTTGACCCTTCTTTAATCTGATTTCCTGAGCAGCATATAATAAGGAGGTTCAGGTATATAAGTACACAAGTGACATTTAAGTCTTATTGCGTGTGCGTGTGTGTGTGTATGCTCATACTGCATGTTTCAGGTACCACACCCGGCTCTATACTCAGGGCTACTCCAGGTAGTGCTTGGGGAACTGTGTGGGTGCAGGGGGTTGAACCTGGTCACCCACATGCAAGGCAAGCGCCCTCCCCATTGTGCTGCCACTGCAGCCCTCACATCGTATGTCTCTGTTGATCGGCCTCTTGACTCTTCCTTGTTGTCCTGTGTCTCTGTGTCCTTCCAGTGAGTTCAGTTTTCAGATCAACTGATTTTTGTCTTCCCTGCTTCTTGTCGTTCTCATGTGGCACCAGAGTGACAGTGCAGCGGCAGGGCTGGCCTTGTTCATGGCCAGCTCGGGGTTGATCCCCTGCAGGTGTGGTCCCCAGACCAAATAAGAACCCAAAGTTTTGGTGTGGTTTGTCCCGTCTCCCCTCTCCTTGCTGAGACTTTGCTCGCGTTCGCCTTAAGGACATCTGCCCTTGTGAGAGCATTTCTGTCACTGCTGCCCTGTGTTTGGTCAGATTGCTCCGGCCTCCTTTGTCACTCAGGCTTTGGCAGCGCCCCCAGTCTGCTGAACGGTCCAGAGAGCAGGCACTTGCCTTGCAGGTAGCCACGTCAGCGGTGACCCTGGCTTGATCCCCAGCACCACCTTGTGGCCCCGTGAGCACCGTTCAGGGGACACTTCGTAGCAGAGTCAGGAATAGAACCTGAGCGCCCCCGGGTGTAGCCCAGCCCCCCTGCCCCAGGAGTTCCGGTGGGCTCGCTGCTGTCCCGGGGGCCTGCTGAGTGCAGGTGCCTGTCGCGTGTGCGTGCCAGTGCGCCTGCTCACTTCCTCCCCCGGTCTCCTGCAGGTTGAGTTCCCCGAAGCCCGGATCTACGAGGAGACCCTGAACATCCTGCTGTACGAGGCCCAGGACGGCCGGGGACCCGACAACGCACTGCTGGAGGCCACCGGCGGGGCAGCTGGGCGCTCCCACCACCTGGACGAGGACGAGGAGCGCGAGCGCGAGCGCATCGAGCGGGTCCGGAGAATCCACATCAAACGCCCCGACGACCGAGCCCACCTCCACCAGTGAGCCCGACGGGGCTGCCCCGCCTCCGCTCGCCCGCCGTGCTCCTCTCGGTTCCTGCGCAGGCTCTGTGGAGCCCCGAGAGACCGTTAACAAGCCAAACAACTCTTATACTTCCCGACAAGGTAGACGGATTGTCTGTAGGCAGGTGGACACACCCCTGGTGGCGGCCAAGCGTGTCCTGGTCTCTCCTTCCCGGGAGGGTGCCAGGATCCCGGCTTCCGCCCTTCTCGGAGGACAGGCATGTGTGGATGGGACGTGCACGTGAGAGCCTTTGTTTGCAGTATTTATTTCTGTGAGTGGTGACTACCTGTTTGAAATGGTTGGATGACGAGCCCTTTGGGGTTCGGGTCGAGAGCTCCCCGGGGGACCCTTCCCGCCCATTGATGGGCACCAGCGGTGTCTTCAGCCCCTCCCTCTCCCACTGTTGGCCAGCCCCACGGCCTTGCTCCAAGTCTTCTGCAGCAGGACATCGCCCGGGCACGCTGCCCAGTCATCACCGCCAAGGTGGCCACTCGGGCACTTGGTGCCTCAGAGCTCTTGCCTGCCCGGCCCCACTGAAGGCGCAGGTTTGTGGCCACCGTGGCTGTGCTTTGGTCTGGTGCTGGCCAGGACTCCAGGCCAGACCGGGGCAGAGCTGCCCCTGGCGGTGTGTGCCCGCTGCACTCCGGGAGGGCCTGCTGGCTCCAGGCTCTACTTCCGCCTTGGCCCTGTCCTGCTGGACTTGCTGCTGCAAGTGGATGTCCCCAACCCCCCAGAGACCCCCCGAGGAAGGCCACCATGGGGGTAGCTTCATGGCTGTCAGTGTGGCCATCACCCAGGGGTCCCTCTCGTTTCTTTGATTTTGACGGTGTGGAGCGAGCATCTGTGAGCGGGTTGAGCGTGGGTATGGGCCCCGACGGGGGCTGTGTGTGACGCAGATGGGACCGTGGGCTCGTGGGCCGCTGGAGTCCGGCTGTCTGCCGGGGGCTCGTGTCGTGCAGACGCTCCTGGTTACCTACCTCCCGGGCTGCGGGCGGCAGCGAGCGGAGACTCGACTGTGGAGCGGTGATGACGGGGTGTGAGTGTGAGTGAGTCGGGGAGGGGAGGGGCTCTGCCTGCCTGAGGCGGCTGTGACCGGTTTATACCAAAGGGACTCCTAGGGGCAGCCTTTGACATTTTGTATTCCCAAAATGGAGTTTATATTTTGAAAGGATTTTTACGGTTTGGACCCTGTTTGCCGGCCCAGCGGCAGCTCGAAGACTTTATCTTGTCCCCTGCAGGGCTGCCTGCGCTAACGCAATCGGTGAGTGACCCTGAGGAACACACCCTGGGCAGATGCTTTTAAAACTGCCCTCCAGGGAACTCCGGATTCCCCTAGGTGAAAGCTGACCGGATAACGTTTTCATAGCTATTTTATACTGTTCACAACCAACCCTTGGGTCGAACTTTTTTTTTCTAGAAAAGTAAAAAGAATGTTTTGCTGTTTTCTGTAGGAATGGAAAAGCCATCATAATTTGTTTGTAAAAATGTTTACCAAGGAATACTTTGTGGAACAATCGGCTGTCAATCTGATGTGTTTTGGCTTCTGCATCCTGTGACCCAGTGTTTCGGGCTGTCTCTCGACATTTCCTTTTCTTGCAACTTTGAAGTTTCTGTAGTTTCGCGTTTTGACTTCCCGGGGATAGGAAAAGACTCAGAAAACATTCCATGTCCGTCGCCTGTCGCCGTGAGGTGACAGAGGGATGTCTTGTCCGGCTCTGTCACCAAATGCGGTCTCCAGGGAACTGAGTCTTTGTGAGTTGGCCTGAAGGGCAAACGAGTCTAAGCAAAATGCTGTCACTGGGCAATGAGTCAGGTTTACTTCACTCGAAAATCGTGAGCCATTTCATGTAACAAGTTCGGTTCGTTCCCATCAGCGCTCTGTCACCGTGACTAGGGGCCCCTGCCCAGGTGATTATCCTGGCACAGCCGCTCCCTCAGGGTACCCCCCACCCCCACCCCCCAGCTGTGTGTCTCCGTATGAAAAAAAGTGCTCTAAGCTTCAGAAGTAGTGGCTGCATTGTGCAAGCATTTGTGGGCGTATGTACAATAAAAGTTCCACTTCCATTCAAATCTGTTTTCTGGGTCTTTTCAGAAATAATCTGCTTTCCCTCCATTCAGCAGGCGCAGGGTGGCAGCGGCGTGGTCACCGCTGCCCCGGGTGGGGAATGAGGTGGAACTTACCAGCTGGAACTGCAGACAGCGCTCAGAAACAAAGGTCAAAGAATGGGTAAAGCTGCATTTATTGAAAGCAAACATCCCCTTTTGCAGGGCCCTGAAGTGTCGTGTACCTGCGGGCCGTTTGCTCCAAGCTGCTGCGAGTTTGGAAAGGGAGAAACTTGCTTGTCCCAGAGTAGCGGGGCCCAGTTCCCCCTGGGTGGGGGGCCCGTCGGGGATCTTTGTGCCAGCCCTTCCGGTGACTTGAGGCTGGATCCCTCACAGACACCACGACCAGCGCCACACCCACAGGGCCCAGCTGTGTCTCCGGGCTCGCCCCTTCCCCTGGGCTGTGGAATCAGCCTTGAAGGCGCAGCTCCCTGGTGCCAGTTCGTCGGTCAGTCGGTCAGCAGCGGCGGCAGGAGCGGGGACGTCCTCCTCTGTCAGGACCCCATGTGGACCGACACCTACGAGAGTCAGCGCTTGGGTCAGGACTCTCCCGCCAGGGCTCCCTGGGAAGGGAGCGATTTTCACCGACTGTCACCTGAGGAATTCGGTCCCACCCACCACCAGACAAGCCACATTCGGTAACGGGCTCCGAGCCCCAGGCCCGTTGGCATCTTCAGCCAGAGTAGTCAGGAAGAGGCGATGTCAGCGCAGAGGGAGTCGAAATCAGAGGCTGATGTGCTGGTACCGTGGGTGGCGTGCTTCCCTCGGACGTAGCCAACCCGGTGTGTAATCCCCAGCACCCCACGTGGTCCCCCATGCTCTTTCTAGGAGTGATCCCTGAGCACCGCCGGGTGTAACCAAAAACCAAAAACGAAACAGTCGGTTGAAGACAGCATGTAAACTAAAAAATATGCTTATATTGGGTTATAAAACGATGCTGACATTTTGTTTGGTGGGGGGTAGGTGTTGGGGCCACACCCAGTGGTACTTGGATCACTGCTGGCAGAGTTCAGGGAACTGACCACATGTGGTATTGGGGTCGAATCAGGTTGACTGCAGGCAAGGCAAGCCCCTTCCTTGCTGTCTCTCTCTCCGGCTTAAATGTTTTCATTTGTCCCTCAAGAATTCATAGTATTTCAGGGGCTGGAACAATAGCACAGCGGGTAGGGCGTTTGCCTTGCACGCGGCCAGCATGGGTTCGATTCCTAGCATCCCATGTGGTCCCCTGAGCACCTCCAGGAGTGATTCCTGAGTGCATGAGCCAGAAGGAACCCCTGAGCATTGCGGGCATGACCCTAAAAGAAAAAAAATAGTATTTCAGGTTTATTCTCGGATAGAAGACGGCTGTACTCGAGCCACGTATATAAAGATCCGTAGTTAAATGTGAATTTGAAATGTGGGCAGGCATCTGGCACAGAGAGAGTACATACTTTGCATGGATGAGGTCCCCAGAAGAAAAATGTGGAACTCGAGCAATAGTACAGCAGGTAGGGCACTTGCCTCGCACACGGCAGACCGGGGTTCGATCCCCAGTGTCCCAAATGGTCCCCTAAGCACTGCCAGGAGTGATTCCTGAGTGCAGAGCCAGGAGTAACCCCTGAGCATTATCAGATGTGGTCCCCAAACCAAACAAAACATGTCTGAGGTTCTTAATTATTGGCAGAGTGAATACTTTCCGGTGGGGCGGGTCCTCGCAGGGTGGGAGATCAAACCCAGAGCCTCGATTCCACAGCCTGTAAGATGCATCAGCCTTGGCTTTTGAGTCCGTGTCCTCCCTTGGACACGTGTCTCGCTTGCTGGTATCTGTGTTTGCTTTTTCCATTCAGGAGAAGCCCCGTATTCTCTCTTGAACCTGTACTTCCCTTTCTCTTCCCCACAGCTACGTTGAATTAAAACATTTGCTTCCCCAAAAAGGGGGTGGGATGGGGAATTCAGCCTCTTGGCTTTTGATACGTCATTTCCGGCCATGACTGAGTCAAGAGTCAGCTCCTCATATCACCTGTGGTGAGGGTTCTGGGCCTGTCAGCCTGGTACGAGGCTCCAGGTGCGAGTCTCAGATGACAGATTCCCAGCCCCCGGCCTGACACCCTCATGTCCCCCAAGGAAACCCGTTTAGTGTCGGCCTTGCTCGCTGGCAGATAAAGCTTCCCACCCCCACCCCCTCAGGGTTTGAAACAATAACATCCCCCCCCAAAAAAAAACTTAAAAGCTTCCTTTTTCTCCGGTTTTGAGCCACGGATCCAGCAGAGCTCAGGAGCTGTTCCCAGCTCCGTGCTGAGGAGGGACCCCTGGTGGTGGTCCAGGGCTATATGAGATGGACTGGGTTGCCAGCTGTGGGCAGGGCAAGGGCCTTCATCCCCGTGCACTGTGTTCTTCAGATGTAGATGTGAAAACAGGGTGACAGCGAATGCAGTTACCATGGTGAGGCTTGGGATTCTCTCGTGCATTCTCTCCCCAAAACGGTTTCCCTCCCTCCCCCACTCCTCCGCCACTCACCACTGTTAATTGTCCTTTTTTGTCTTTATAGATTTGTTCTTCCGGTCCAGTGTCGAAAACAATTGTACCTTCTCTCCCAGGACTTATATAAAACTGCAAACTTAAAATGCACAAAGCGTTAAGTGACTGCTCCCCCTCGCCTCAGGGCAGCCAAGGAGAAAGCTGGACCAAGCTCAGGATTGAATTCAGGGTCCTTCGCTTGCCTCTGATGGCACCAGTAAACTACCCATTTCTGGCATCATTTGACCCTCATTCAGCTGGGCTGTGTCTCTGGCTTTTGGGACCACTCTGGGATCACTCCTGGGCGTTGTCAGGAGACCCTAGGACGTGTTGGGGTACAGGCCCAGCCACGTGTAAGGCAAACGCCTTCGCCACTGCACTATCTCACCGGCACCCATCAGTTGAGGATCTGAAAAGCCCTGTCTGAAAGTCAGGGGCGTAGAGTGGTCGTGGGGCTCTCCTGGGCCCACAGAACAGATCATCCCACTCTCCCTGACCCGTGGGGACTTTCTCCTCTGGCCACAGAACTGGACCCCTGGGATGGTGTGGGTACCGGCAGTCCTGGGGCTGTGCGTGGCACCTCCCTGGGCTGCTGAAAGACCTATGGAGCCTCAGGGTGGCCTCGCGGTGTGTGAGCACTCGGGAATCACTCCTGGTAGTGCCAGGGGCGACGGGAGGGGATATATGGGGTTCTGGGGACTAAACCCGGGTTGACTGCAAGCGATAGCACAGTGGTAGGGCGTTTGCCTTACAAGTGGCCAACATGGCCAACCCGAGTTCGATTCCTCTGCCCCTCTTGGAGAGCCCAGCAAGCTACCGAGAGTATTTCACCCGCACGGCAGAGCCTGGCAAGCTAACCGTGATGTACTCGATATGCCAAACATAGTAACAAGTCTCACGATGGAGATGTTACTGGGCCCGCTCGAGCAAATCGATGAACAACAGGAGGACCGTGACCCGTGACGCAGGCAAGGCAAGCTCCAGCCCTGTGCACTCTGGCCCCTTCCTGGATGCCTTGAGGCATCATTTGCGGTAAGGGTATGTCCACGCACCATCTCCCCCACCCCTGCTGTGGCTCAGTTCCTAGCCCCCTCTCGGAGCGGGACAGACAGAGCCACCCACCTGCCCTGAACGACGTGGACGAGGTTCTCCTTCTTAACCAGCAAGACGAGCTTGGTGACGACCTCAAAGATATATTCGCACTGCAGGATGGCATCCCCCTGGGCGGAGAGGAGAGCGCAGGGGCTCACCAGCACCCCGAGGCCTGTCCGCGCCGCCTGAGGGTGGGGGTTCCCGTGTTTTCTCTGGGGACTTTGTTTTCTCATTTACCTTTTGCTTGTGGACCTCGGGCGAAACGTGGATGACCAAGAGCCCGTCCCGCAGGTTGCTCGTGGAGACCCCTTGAGACAGACCCTCAGTTAGACTAAGCCCAGGAATGGTGGGCACAAGAAAGGGCTGGAGGGAGACCTGCACGCGCATGGCCTGCGGGGAGCCAAGCTGGACCCCTGACACTGTGGGGTCCCCCAGCACAGCTCCTGTGTAGCCCCCAGGGCAGAAAGATGAGGGAGATCGGGGTCCCCCCCTCCCCGCCCCAGCCCTGAGCCACTTCTCCTAACTGGGTGCAGTGGGAGGAGCGCTCACACCAGAACGCGGGGTGCTGTGGGCTCACAGGTGTGTGTGTAGGACGGGGTCTACGCATCCTGGGTGCCACCAGCGTGGCGCCCGGCTTCCGCTCACCCCGGAGTGCCGCGTACTCGATTTTCTGCTTGATTATGGCCTCTTCAACCACGTAGGCGGCTTTCTGCGTGAGGAGCAGCTGCCGTGGGCGCGCCTTGGAGCTGGTCCTGTCGTATTTGATCACTGGGACGCCGTACTGCCAGGAGGGGACCGGGGGCATCGCTCAGCCCTGGCGAGGGCACAGGGAGCAGGCGGGGACTCCGGCAGGCTGGGAGCACGTGGGAAGCAGACTGGGAATATACGGGAACCCAGCAGGCCAGGAGCACACGGGGGACCCCAGTAGAATGGGAGGATGCAGGCTTTCGGTGGGCGCACTCCTGGTTCCCCACGTGCCCTACCTGGCCCAAGGAAGGCAGGGCTTGGCACTGGCCACCCGGGGCCTCCAGAGAGGCCAGCAGAGGCGCGTGTGGGCACTCAGCCCCCCACTGTGGGGCCCAGAGGATTCCGAGCAGCCACTAAGGACCACCTGCCCCCTTCCCCCGCCTGCCGTCAACCTCACAGCTACTAAACTGGAAAGCCCACTGGGGCTCCCGGGGCATCCTGCTCCCCACTAAGGCTGCTTCCTCCTCTGGGGGCTGCAGGACCCTGCACCCCACAGAGAACTCCCCTGTCCCCTCCAGATCCCCCATCTCACCAGCCTGTCCCGGCCGAGGCAGGACCCCACCTTCTCACCTGGATCTGGTCACTGCCGAGCAGCTGGAGCACCTTGGGGTTAATGTCGCCTTCATCTGGGAGGGAGGCAGAACTCAGTGGCCGCGAGACCCTCGGTAACACTCCAGTCGCCCTGGCAGCTGTGGCCGTGGCCGTGACCAAGGCCCTCGGTAGCTGGGAAATGCTGGGGTGTCCGACCTCTGTGGCTTGTTTAAGGGGGTTGGGAACCCTCCCGAGTGGGGCTTCGCGGGTCTGGGGGCCACTCCTGGTGATACCCGGCCAACTGGACTGGAGAGCTGAATTTGGAGGCCCCAGCAGGAGGGGTGGGACGGGCAGCCCTCCCGCGCCGTCTCTCCCGTCCCTAACGGCGAGCCGACTCACCGATGCGGCTGTGGGCGAAGGGTTGATTCAGACTCTCTGCGTAACCCTCTTTCTTGCCCCTGAAGACCGCGCTGGCTACCACCTTTTGCTGCATCTGGAAACACATTCGTCCCACGCACAGACACAGGGCCGGGCCCCACGGCAATCCCGGCTTTCCTGGCTGACCCTTGGTCCTGCTTCGTGGGCAGGCTGGACCCAGCTGGGTGTGGCCCTGTGGTCTCCATGGAGACTGAGGCTGACACTTCCCGTCATTGTTGGTCCCCCCAGAGGCGTCCTGGGCTCAGTCTGGGTCCAAGGGGCTGCCTGCTGGTGTGTGTGTGTGTGTGTGTGTGTGTGTGTGTGTGTGTGGTCCTGCTTCGTGGGCAGAGCCCAGAGGCGTCCTGGACTCAGGCTGGGTCCAAGGGGCTGCCTGCCAGCGTGTGTGTGTGTGTGTGTGTGTGTGTGTGTGTGTCTTTGTGTATATATCTGTGTGTGTGTGTGTCTCTGTGTGTGTCTGTGTGTGCATTGGGTGTTCACTAAGGGCTGACCTTGAGCGAGGGCTCCACTGAGCCACCTACCCATGCCACCCCGGGCTTTCCCTGCCACTGAGGATGAGGACGAGGCCCAGTGGGTCCAGCTGCCGCCCCTGCCCGCCCCCGCCCCTGCCTACCAGTGCTCTCCGCTCGGCTGTGATCCCGCAGCAGTACTTCCGCACCAGGTTCCTGGTGCACATGGTCCGGAGCAGCGCCGACGCCTGTGCGGAGGACACGGCCCTGCGTCCAGCTGCCCCGCCCGCACTTCCCACCTCCCCCCTGCGGGCTGGACAGTGCCTCCGGATTTCCAGTCCGGCTGCCTCTCTCTCATCCAAGAATGGCGCTCGCCCTCCAGATCTGCCCGCAGGCTTTTCTGCACTGCCCAGGGACTGAGATTCTTGGTTTGGTTTGGGGCCACACCTGACCATGCTCAGGGGGCCGTGAGGTGCCGAGGATCGAACCCTGGGCTTCCAGCACACACAGCCCATTGCCCTGTCTTCCTGACTTAAACTAGCACTTCTTTTCCGGCTTGGGGGTCCTACCTGGCGGTGCTCAGGGCTTACTCCTGGCTCCGCACTCAGGGATCAGGGCTGGTGGGCTCAGGGAAGCTTATGGGTGTTGGGGGTCGGACCTAGGTTGGTGCGTGCAAGGCAAACGCCCCTCCCACTCTGCTATGGCTCCGGCCCCAGCCAAGAGCTTCTTAAACTTGAACATGTGTGTGGAGCAGCGGACTCTTCATTCCGAGAGAGGCTGACTCAGGCTGGTGGGAGCCCAGGGGTTGACAGTGATTCTGCTCTCCAGACCCAGCGCCCTCAGACACCCCTCCCCGCTTCCTTGTTTGGTTGGTTTTGGGGTTAATTTCCCACATCCGGTAGTGCACAAGGCTTATTCCGCTGAGCACTTAGGAAGGAGTCACTCCTAGTGGTGCTTGGGGGACCATGTGGTAGATGAAACCAGGTTGGCTGCGTGCAAGGCAAACTCTCTCCCGGCTCTATTGCTGCAGCCCTGATCTGAGACCCCTGCCCCCCTTTTTTTGTTTCATATTGGGGCCACCACCAGCAGTGCTCCAGGCTTACTCCTGGCACTGTGCTCAGGGAATTACTCCTGACAGGGTTCAGGGAACCATGTGGGGTGCTGGGGATTAGACCCAGGTCAGGTGCATGAAAAGACAGGCTGCACTATTGCTTCGGCTCCGAGAACCCCACTTTGGAGTAACTGTTCCAGCTCGCGTGTCCACCTGGAAGGCGCTGTCCAGGAGAGAGGCCTTCCTCCGGGCTCCGGCCAGACCCACGCCAGCTCTTTGCATCCAGAAAGCAGCCCTCCAAGCCCACGCAGTCCATGCTCTCTTGCACACCTCTCAAAGAAGTGCTTGGCCGAGGGGGCACGAAGAGCGTGGGCAGCAGAGCCCTGCGCCAGGGGTCCCGGGCTAAGGCCTTACGTTTTCTAGGATGCCTGGCGGCCTCAGCCAACTCTTATCCAAGACGCTCTTTGGGACGTGATACCGCAGGTTCAAAATGTAATTCTTGCGCACCAGCAGGAGGAACTCCTCGTCATCGGGACTCAGGGGCTTGTCACGATGGATGAATCCCTTAATGAACCTAATGGAAAAGCGTTCTTTTAGTTTTCTTCTGCCTGGGGGCCACACCTGGCAGTGCTCAGGGTTTACTCCTGGCTCTGCTCTCAGGGTTCACTCCAGGCAGTGGGGGAGGGGGGGCATACAGAGCGCCGGGGATCAAACCTGGATCAGCTGCAGGCAAGACCAGTGTCCTACCCACTGTACTCTCACTTTGGCCCTTTGTTTTCTTTTTTAAAAAAATAATGGGGCCGGAGCGATAGCACAGCAGGTAGGGCGTTTGCCTTGCACGCGGCCGACCCGAGTTCGATCCTCGGCATCCCATATGGTCCCCCAAGCACCACCAGGAATAGTTCCTGATTGCAAAGCCAGGAGTAACCTCTGAGCATTGCTGGGTGTGACCCAAAAAGCAAATATATATATATATATATATATATATATATATTGGTGGGGTACCATATCCAGTGATGCTTAGGCAGAGAGTGGGAGTGTCACTCCTAGTGGTGTTAGGGGACCGTCAGGTGCCAGGGACGGACCCGGGCCTCCTGCATGCAAAGCCTGTGCTCTAGTCCTAAGATTTCTCTGACCGCATTTTCATTTTTGGATCTGTTTGTCCAGAGACCACCACCACTGAGATGATTTTGGTCACCGCTGAGAGCTCATGGCTCACATCTGCCTCCTAAGACACTCTGTGGCACCCGCCCCGTTTGCTCGGTTGGGTTCCAGTAATGTGGATTCATGGCCCTTCAGGGGAGCTATTCCATGCACTGCAGATTCCCAGCTTGCCCTGGAAGATGCAAAGGTCGGGCAGCTCGGACCCAGCCTCTCTCCAGCGAGGCCCCAGCGAACACGGGTGGGGACATCTTCTGCAGCCACCCGAGCTTTCCAGTTTGCTGCACTCCCCACCCTGCCTTAGTGTCCTCTCCCCGCTCATGCCTCTGACCTGTGCTGACCTCTGGGGTTACTGCATGCCGGGCCCTCTGCGCTAGGCTGAGCCACTGCAAACACGGGCCACTGTCAAGTTAGGGGGTGCAAAGGCCAGAGAGGGGGCTGCACGATTCAAGATAAAGGTGGCGCATAAACCCAAAAGGGTCAGCCCAGCCGTGGCGGTACCCTGAGGAGCCCCAGGACCCATAGCCGCGGGCCTCTCCTCCCCCCCTCCTGCCCACCCTCCCCGCCAAGAACTTACTTCCTGATGATCCACACGGCCCACTTCCTCTTTTCAGCCTCCTTCCGAGCCAGGACTCCACGCCAGTGGGCTTCAAGCCTGACAGCTGAAGGAGTCCACACAGTGTTAGGAGGGAACTGGGGCGCTGGGCAAAGGGTCTGTTTTTAGGGATTTTTTCTTTTTTGATTTTGGGGGTCATGCCCAGTGATGCACAGCGGTCACTCCTGGCTCTGCATTCAGGAATCACCCCGGCGGAGCTCAGGGGACCATATGGGATGCTGGGGATCGAACCCGGGTCGGCCGCATGTAAGGCAAATGCCCTCCCCGCTGTACTATCGCTCCAGCCCAAAGGGTCTGTTTTATACTGGAATGCAGAAGACTTTTTGCAGGACCTGCATTCTGCCCCAGGGGTCCTAGTCACCCACCCCACACCCCAGATGTGGCAAGCCCTAAGCCATACCTGTCCATCCTCGGCCAGGAGGGGCGGAAATGACCCAGACCACAGATATGAAAGGGGTGTGGGGTGGGACCCGTCACTTCTCTGGCTTGTCTCCGCCAGGGAACCCGCAGCGTGCTTAACCCTTTGCAGTCTCTGGAGATGGGGCTTGGCAAGTGTAGGGGCTAGCCCAAGGTTCTGCCCCCGGCACCACACACGTAAAATAGCATTTTTTAAAATGTAGGAGTACTGCTATTTATTCAGCCACTGATTAGCTGATTGAACTGTGCATGAACTCCATCTTTTTTTTGTTTTTTGCTTTTTGCGTCACACCTGGCGATGCACAGGGGTTGCTCCTGGCTCTGCACTCAGGAATTACCCCTGGCGGTGCTCAGGGGACCATATGGGATGCTGGGAATTGAACCCGGGTCAGCAAGGCAAATGCCCTACCTGCTGTTTTTTCATTTTTTATAATTTTATTTATTGAATCACCGTGAGAGCAGTTACAGAGTTTTCGGGTCTAAGTCTCAGTCATACAATGAAACACCCGTACCTTCACCAGTGCCCATTCTCCACCCCAACAACCCCAGTATGCCCCGATCCCACACCCTCCCCCTACCTGTGGGGGCAGATGATTTCCACATTACTTTCTCTTTACTTTGATCACATTCAATATTTTGACACCAGACCCACCATTATTATTTGAGACTTTACCCCAACACTCAGATCTGCTGAAAAGGCAACACTAGACAATTTGTGTTCTATTGCTGGTTATGAATAACATATGATGTCGCGTGGCTGCAGTAGTGGCCGCGTGATTTTGAAATTCTGAAACTTTAACACTTAAATCTGGAGGAATTTCTACCAAAACCTGCTGGGTTCCGAGATTTGCTCCTGAGTCTCTGGGATCATGGCCATTAAGCAGCTTGATCAGGAGCCAGAGAGGCGGTTCGTGGGCGATGATGACTTGGGGTCTTGTTGGGGTGGGGAGGAAAGGACCGGCTCCACCCCCATCCCATGAGGCCCAAAATGTCTCATCACTGCGGTCCCAAATCTGACTGTCCAGTGGCCTCTGGAGGGTGGTGGCCACCGGGCCGCCAGGGGGAACAGGCCAAAGCACGAAACCTATTTCCACCTGGGTTGGCCCAGCATTGGTAACCTACTGCAAGGACTGGATGCATTTCTGCCAAAAGCTGCTGGGTTTCGAGATTTGTTTCTGAGTCTCTGGGATCATGGACGTTAAGCAGTTCGATCAGGAACCAGAGAGGCCATGCCTCCAATGATATAGCTGATCCAGAGGTCATTTGTGGGGGTGTTTCCCACATACCTCACTTTTGGCCGTTTACTTTCTTGGTAAACTTTGCCCCAAGTTTTTGGGGTCTGGCCAAAGGCACAGCAGCAATTTTGGGGTATCTGGAAGTCTGAAGGCACCATCAGGCTGCTGATGCACTCGCCTCACAGGTATAGATTGACCTGCAGGTGGCACCATACCCCCAGCATTTAATTTTTTTGTTGGGGCCACAGCTGGCTGTGCGCAGACCCAACTCCTGGCTCTGTGCTCAGGGGGACTCTCAGGTGGCAGCTGAACTGGGGCGCCAGACACAGAGGGGGTCTTGGGGGGCATTATGAAGCCCCAGGAGGTACAAAGCTTTGTTGAGGGCCTCCCCCTGGTCTTTTGTCCCAGCAGAGGTGACAGTTATCGGTGAGTCTTGCTGGAGCGTGTGGGGCTGTGAGGCTTAGTATTCAGTATGAGCTGTCTTCCTTTTAAAACTGGGAGAGAGGCTCACTGGGCCGAGGGTGTGGTTTGCAGGCAGGAGACCCGGGTTCAAGCCCCAGCACTGCATGCTCCCCCAAACACTGCCTGGAGCCACCCCCAAGCATGGCGCTGGGAATAGCACCCAAGCCCTGCTGGGTGTGTCAAAAACCAAACCAAAACATCTGGGGTGAAACGGCTGCAGCTCACCGGCGGGGCACAAGCTTCTACACGGACAGGGCGCTGTACTCCTGCCCCGACACCACCAAAATCCAGGGCCGGAGGGATTGGATAACACAGTGGGGAGGGCGTTAGCCTTGTACACCACTAATCAGAGTTCGAACCCCAGCGCCCTATCGGGTCCCCCAAGTCCATCAGAAGTGATCTCTGACGTGGTCCCACATACACCACGAGGGTGATTCCTGAGCACAGAGCCAGGAGGGACCCCTGAACATCTCCGGGTGTGAGCCAAAATGGTCATGGTCACGGTTTTCCCGTTGTTCATCGATTTGCTCGAGCAGACCTAGTAACGTCTTCATCATGAGACTTGTTGTTACTGTGTCTGGCATCTCAAATACGTCACGGGGAGCTTGCCAGGCTCTGCCGTGCGGGCGAGATACTCTCGGTAGCTTGCTGGGCTCTCCGAGAGGGGCAGAGGAATCGAACTCGGGCTGGCCATGTTGGCTGCGTGCAGGGCAAACGCCCTACCCGCTGTGCTATCACTCCAGTGGAGCGATCAGTTAGCGTGCGGTACTTATACAGCAACATATGTGCAGGTGATGCCGAGGTTGTGAGCCAAAATCAAAGCCAAAAACATCTTATTTGGTTTATGTGTGAGGGCAATAGAAAAATCTTTCTCAGACACTTAAGAGCTAATGAAGCATTCCTTTCTTGAAGAAAAATTCCTTGAAGAAGCCCTAAATATGACAAGGAAATAAAAGTAAGTGAGTCCCATTAGAGGAATCTAGCGTCACAGAACATGTTCCAAGAAATGAAGCCAGTCGAGCTGTCTGCAGCAACAATTGCTTTCTAACATCACTAAACACTGACTGGAGAAATAGGGGGATAACCAAGAGCACGTATTTGACGTACCAGAGACGGGGAGGGGGTGGGAAGAAGTGACCCCGGGGAGGATGTCCTAAGCACGGCCCCGTGGCCCACCCCTTCCCTTCCTCCAACCCTGCCAAGAAAAGTAGGGTGGGGGCATGTTGGCTAACGCTGGGCTGTCCTTGCTCTGCCCACAGGGAGCTTAGGCTTATTGAACTACTCCCACAGCAGTGCCCCTGCGGCACACCCAGTTCCATCAGGCACTGTCAGACAAACAAACACTGTCCTCCCGTTGTTCATGGATTTGCTTGAGCGGGCCCAGTAACGTCTCCATTGTGAGACTTGTTGTTACTGCGTTTGGCACATCCAATACGTCACAGGGAGCTTGCCAGGCTCTGCCGCGCGGGCGAGATACTCTCAGTAGCTTGCCGGGCTCTCTGAGAGGGGCGGAAGAATCGAACCCGGCTCGGCCGGGCTGCCTGTGCACAAGGCAAACGCCCTACCGCTGTGCTATCGCTCCAGCCCCCATCAGGCACTAATTATCCTATACTGCTTTTCTCTTTCCTTGAGGTCATGTGCATGGTTTATTTAGCGATGTCCTTTTTGTATAGACACAGGAAGACAGTTCAAGCTATGCTCTGTAACATAGGAGCTAAATGCATTGTAGCACTGTCTGTAGCACCGTCCTCCCATTGTTCATCAGTGTGCTCAAGTGGGCACCAGTAACGCCTCCATTGTGAGACTTCTTGTTACTTTTTTTTTTGGCATATCGAATACGCTACAGGGAACTAGCCAGGCTCTGCCGTGTGGGCGGGATACTTTCGGTAGCTTGCCGGGCTCTCCGAGAGGGATGGAGGAATTGAACCTGGGTCGGCCACGTGCAAGGCAAACGCCCTACCTGCTGTGCTCCATCCCTGGAGCTAATTGACTCCAAAAAAATATTTACTCCTGGGCATCCATATTTACTTGACTTAAGCCTCAGTTGCCCTGAGTTCCTAGCACTCCAAAAGCAGGGTCCAAATGAAGGGACTGGATGGACCCAGGCCAAGCTGTGAGCTACCCTGGCATCAAAAGGAAACAAGCTAAGCATCATAAGTATAACAAGAGCCTGGTCATGGGACAAACTCTGTCATGACTCAAAAAGAAGTAACTGAATAGGGACCCTGCTGGGGTTAGGAAAGACTAACCTGGCCTGAGGACTGTGGTCTGGAATATATAGCGAGATGTCCCCAAGAAGAGTCTATCTTTAAGCTTCATACAGCTCTTACTGTGTTCACACAAAACTACTAGAACTATTATAAGAAATAAATATACTATGGTTGTTTAAGTGGATTACTAGCCGAGGAAAGGAGAAAGCAATACACCCTGGATGGAATCCCGCCCTTGAGTGGATCTCCGCTAGAGTGCTGAGCCCTCAGATGAGACTTTGTCCTTGAGTCCTAGGAATTCCCCTGCAGGAATGACTTCACCTCTGTTTGTTGTGACAATGTTTAACCCCACCTTTGTGTACCCCCACCCTTCATGGTTTCTATATAACTATGTTGTAAGGGGTAAGAGGGGACTAGACATTGAAGACTAGAAAGATGATGACTTTGGGAGCTTGGGACTTTGAGGTCTTTGAGGACCAGAAGGTCTATGAGGACCAGGAGGACTAGATAACACGACGAGACGAGGAAGGAGATAATGAAGGAGAGGACTTTGAAGTCTTCGGGGAGAATGGGATGATGGAACTAGGATGACCGGGACTGCGACCAAACTATGACTACGATTGGGCGATTGTGCTGTAAGGGGAGGGATCAGACTACGCTGGGGAAGAGAGAGAAATAAACCGACTACCGCGATGAGCCCGTAGTCCCTGTTTGGCCCCTGTGTGGCCCTTCGTCCATCCATCTCCGTCATCCAGCCTGGTGAGGCGGCTCTTGGCCACTGAACACTCGAGTCCCCCGTGCACCCACGACTTTTCTCTTGGAAACTCACAGGGGCAGGCCTCGCAGACTAGATTTCTGATTTCTGGCTTGTCTCCTGACTTATATGATTTTATTTTCTTCCTCGTGGCAATGCTCCTTCTGCTCTGAAACAATTCCGGACATTCATCCACAGAAGCAGGTTGAATTGCTGCCTATACTATCGGGTGCTATAGTTAGGGTTAGGGATAGGGTTAGGGTTAGGGTTAGGGTTAGGGTTTAGCGTTATGGTTATAGGGTTAGGGTTAGGGTTAGGGTTAGGGTTAAGGTTAGGGTTAGGGTTTAGGGTTAGGGTTTAGCGTTAGGGTTATAGGGTTAGGGTTAGGGTTAGGATTAGGGTTAGGGTTAGAGTTTAGTGTTAGGGTTAGAGTTTAGGGTTAGGGTTAGGGTTGTTACGGTTAGGGTTAGGATTAGGGTTAGGGTGCACGTGTAGGGTTATGGTTTAGGGTTAGGGTTATAGGGTTAGGGGTAGGGGTAGGGTAAGGGTTAGGGTTAGGGTTTAGGGTTAGTGTTATGGTTAGGGTTAGGGTTGTTAGGGCTATGGTTAGGGTTAGGGTTAGGATTTAGGGTTAGGGTTAGGGTTAGGGTTAAGGTTTAGGGGTAGGGGTAGGATTAGGGTTAGGGTGCGTGTGTAGGGTTAGGGTTAGGGTTTCGGGTTAGGGTTTTGGGTTAGGGTTTAGGTGTAGGTGTAGAGGTAGGGTTAGGGTAAGGGTTAGGGTTTAGGGTTAGGGTTAGGGTTAGGGTTGTTAGGGTTAGGGTTAGGGTTAGGGTTAGGGTTGGGTTAGGGTTAGGGTTAGGGTTAGGGTTAGGGTTAGGGTTAGGGTTGGGTTAGGGTTAGGGTTAGGGTTAGGGTTAGGGTTGTTAGGGTTAGGGTTACGGTTATAGTTATCTGCACAGGCCCACTGGTGGACTTTAAACAACTTAAATGCAAAATTTTAAAAAAAAAAACTCATCACTCCGACCAACAGAGTAGAGTACAAAACACTCATCACCACAGACCTACAGGGTCTGTGAGGTCCCTACAGCATGAGTTCTGCACAGCATGACACCTGTACAGCAGGAGGTCTATACAGCTGGGGGTCTCCCTTCCGAGAAGGCCATCCTTGGGCATTTCACTGCCACTAGAATGTTAGCTGGGTCAGTGCGGAAAGACCGTATCAGGAGGCTTGTTGTTCTTAAGCACACACATGGAAAGAGAAAGGTCGGCTGGACCCTAGGGGACCTGTCCATCCTTAACCAGGAGGGGCAGAAATGACCCAGACCATAGATGTGAAGGGGGGCGGTGGCACTTGTCTTCTGATGTTCCTGGCTTGTCTCTGCTGGGGGACACAGTCTCTGGGGATGAGCCTTGGCAAGTACAGGGGGTGGCCCAGGCTTCTGCCCCCGGCACCACACACACAAAAGTATCATTTAATTCATTTGTTGGGGCCACAGCTGGCTGTGCTCAGGGATCCCTCCTGGCGGTGCTCGGAGGACCGTATGGGATGCTGGCGATTGAACTCAGGTTGGCGACATGCAGGGCAAGCGCCCTCCCCCCACTGTCCTATTGCTCCATCCCACAAAAATATTATTTAACACGCACCAATAAAACACATCCAGGGCCCCAGTGAGCACCAGTGTGTCCTCACCTCCAATGTCCAGACGGGAAAGCAGCGGCCCCCAGGCCCCTCCCCCAGTTCCCCCGGGTCGGCCTGCTCTGGGCTCCGGGCCGGTTGCTCACCTGCTTGCCTCTTCAGCAGATACTCTCTCCGCTCCAGGCAGCCTCGGTACGTGGCTTGGATTCTTGCAACTGAGAAGACATCATGCAGATAAAGAACTTGGGGGCGTGGCTCCCACCTGTGTCTGTCTGTGGCCGCAGCCTTGAACCGGGAGGTGCAAAGTGGCCCTCCAGGCCGAAGGAGAGGACCCTGGCCCCCGGAAACGCCCAGAGCTTGCTCCCGTCACCCCTCGGTGCTCCAGGACCTGTCCTGGCACCTCACGCCTGACCCCGTCTGGCAGGAACGATGCGTTTCACACAGAGCACCGCAGGCCCCTGCCCACCTCTGCTCCCTGACAGGCTAAGGGGGGTCCACACCTGCCCTCTCCCCAACGGCCTGGTTTGGGGTGTTGCCACTCTTAGAGGTCAGCCATGAGACTGTCCTGCACAGTGCTTCGAAGACCCCAGGCCTATGGGTGGTCAGACGCTCTCTGCTCTCACAGAACACGCGGCAGGGACAGTGTCACTCTGCGGGCTGGCTCGGAGGCTGCCGAGACCCGGCAAGGAAAGAGCTTGGGTGCAGCTGCCCCCACCACGCTGGGCTTAGTGGCCAGAGTCCCTCCCGGCCAGCCAGCCCAGGTGCCCGAGACAGCCCCAGCCTCCTCCTCCCCCATTTTCTGCCCTCTTTGGTTTTGGGGTCACACCTGGCAGTGCTCAGGGATCACTCCTGGCGGTGCTCCGGGACCGTCTGGGAGGCCGGGGATCAAACCCAGGTTGGCTGTGTGCAAGGCTAGCACCCACCTGCTGCCCTGTTGCTCCAGCCCTGCTAACTTTCCTCAGCTGCCACTTACAAGCATCACCCCAACCCTGGGCTTTGTAGCAGCACCTGCAAACACTTACACTGCTCAAGGGCTCTGAGTGCACAGGGGGTCTGGACCAGAGCCAGGTAGCACGTTAGCCCCGAAGGCCTCATGCATCCACCTCACAGCCTCCAGTCACTCACAATAGGGGATTCTGATCACGCCTCAGAACCTGGCCTCCAATTGCCAAAGCAAAGGTGTCCGAGGTGTGCAATGTCTGGTGTGAGCCCACCCCTCACCCCAACCCCCAACTACGCCCCCCACTCCCCGGTTCTGGCATACCCTGAGCTAAATACTTTCATCTCCCGGGCAATGGGTAGAAAAAAAAATAAAACATACCTAATTGATGTTTGCTAAATTCAAAGGCATCTTCCGTGGCAAAGAGAGTTCTGGGGAATCGAATGAATATTTTGGTTCTAGAAGTACAGGGAAAGTTTGCGTTTACGTCAGTTTCCACCTGCGGTGGGCTGAATCCTCAACCCTCCCACGCGCACCCCAATCAACAACCATGCAGAGCCTTGAAAGCTGTGGTCTCATTCACAACGCTGGGAAGCGCCTGCAGAGGGTCCAGGTCAGGAGGGAGTGAGGTCAGCCTGCCCTCGGGGGACCCTGAGGCCAACTGAGGTGAGTGTCAAGGGGCAAGGGCAGAGAGGCAGCCGGGAGGCCTGGTCAGGGCAGGGCGTAGGCTGAGTGACGTGGCCATGAGCCAACGACCATCAGGAGCTGCTGGAGGCCCCACCCCCTGACCCCCCAGAGGGAGCAGGACCTTGCCCCACACGCTGATGCTGATGGTGGGTCCCAGAGCTAAAGGTGAGAGAACCTTCTAGAACATGTGAATGCTTTTTTTTTTTGCTTCGTTTCTGTTTGGGGGGCCACACTAGTTCTCAGGGATGACTCCTGGCTCTGTGCTTAGGGGTCACTCCTGCCTGGCAGGTTTGGGGGGACTATAAATACCAGGGAACCAGCCCAGGTCAGCCCCGTGCAAGGCAAGTGCCCTGCCCATTGTACTATCTCTCTGGCCCCCATTCTGGCCAGCTGGTGTTCATCTGTGATGCACACCTAGGGAACGAACACAGCGTCCTAACCTGGAGGTGCTTCTCTGGGCTCTAGACAGTGATGATGGGGACCAGGTTGACAGAACAGTAGAAAAGCCACTGGCCTTGCCGACGGCCGACCTTAGTTTGATCCCCGGCACCACAAGTAGGCCCCCGAGCACAGCCAGGAGGGATGCCTGAGCACAGAGCTAGGAGTCAGCCTTGAGCATCACCAGGTGTGACTCTAACCCCACCTCCCAAGAAGGCAGTTTGGGGACTGCAGTCCTGGCAAGACACGGGCACTCCCTGCACACCCCCATGTCTGGTCCCTCCCTGCTTCAGCCTTCGGAGAGGCAGCTCGACAGGGTGGCGACTTCTTCTTGGAGGGCCCGGGGAGCCTCACTCCCTCTGAGACACAGTTATGCTGGGACCTGAGGCTCACAGATGTGCCCACACGTGGTGGGGACGCTCAGCCTCTTGTATGCACTGAACTCGCTGAGGCCGGCGTATACCTTTCGTGGCTCACACGTGAAGGTGGCACCAATGTCGACGTACTCAAGAAAGTTTTGCTATGTGAACCCTAAGGGAGGGATGGCGGGAAACACACGTGCAGAGTCTGGTACCACTTGTGGGTTCGAGCGCCCCCTGGGGTGGGGGTGCCCAGAGCTGCTCCCTGGGAATAGGGGGGTGCGTACCCCAGCACTCTTCGCTGGTCCCTCCTCACTGGACGATCTCTCAGGTCCTCACGGTCCATCGGAGTCGTGGCAGAATCTCCCCCACACAGGTGTGACCTCGCCCATGCCCCTCCCATCTGTACGCCATGCCGCTCACCCAGCACCTCCCCCCCCGTTTAGAAGTGGGTGTCCCGTCCCCCGCAGTCCCCTCCCATGGGTGTGACTCTCGCCCTTCTCACTCCAGAGCTTGTCCTACGGTGGCTTCTGACAAGGACTATATACTGGGGTTTTGTCTGTCCCTGAGTCCCTGGTCCCCAAACCCGATGGCCGTTGATGCGACCAGGGTGGTCCGGCATCTTTGGCTAAGACGTCTGGGTTTTGTCCCAAATGATCTGTCCAGCTCCTGGCTTCTCAGTCAAAGCAATCAGCAGGAAATGGGCACCTTGGGTGACTCAGAACCAGCCTCTTCCCCAAATCTGTTAGTGGGGTGACATCTGGGGAGCCGCCAGGGTGACCCAAGGATAGGAACGGGGTGCCAGGGGACTCGGGGATTCGGGGGTTGGGACTCTCAACGCTTCTTCCACTTCCAGGGCGAGGTGGAGCCAGGTGTCACTGGGTCGTGATTTAATCTCTGCACCTGCAGCATCACATGTCCACGGGGCATAGAACTCGGGGCGTGGCCTGGGACCCTCTGGGGTGGCGGATAGCAGAGGTGCCAAGACAAGCCCCTCGAGAGGCCACCGAAGTGCCACTCCCTTCCCAGACGCCCAAGTGGACACCTGGGACACCCCCGGACGCTGATTCCCCGAGGCTCACCTCCCCAGCTTGTACTCCTCAGGGCTGTAGCCGATGTACTTGATCAGCCGCTCGACGCCCTCTGCTGGCGGCCCGCGCCAGTGCGGCCAGGTGTCCGGACACAGGGACTTGTACCTAGGAAGAAGCCAGGGGTTCAATCTGACACTCCTGACAAGAGGGAAAAGAGACGCTGACTTGGGACAGAGCGATAACACAGCAGGGAGGGTGCTTGCCTTACATGCAGCTGACCTGGGCTTGATCCCCGGCAACCCAGATGGCCCCCCAAGTACCACCAGGAGTGATTCCCGAGTGCAGAGCTAGGAGGAACCCCTGAGAATCACAGATGTAGACGAACAGCCACAAAAAGACATCCTACCAAGTAGGAGAAAATTATGTACACAGAACATCAGATACAGGGCGACTCTCCAGGCTCCATAAAGCACCACAAAAACCAACAGCCCAAACCCCAGGGACTCCAGCCAAAGATGGGCAGAGGGGACAAACACGTTCCCAAAGATGGCCAACAGGCATATGAGAAAGTGCTTGTTGTCACTCGTGGTTAGGGAAATGCAAATCAAAACGACGCTGAGATATCCTCTCATGCCTGAGAGGGGATCTCACGCCAGAGAGAATGGCACATCTCCAAAAGTCTGGAAACGACCAGTGTTGGCGGGGGTGGGGTGAGAAAGGAACCCTCATCCGCTGTTGGTGGGAACGTCATTGGGTCCAGCCTCTCTGGGAAGCAGTGGAGATTCATCGAAAAAAAGAATGACCCCAAAACAGGAAAAGAACCACCATACAATACAGCAACACCACTTCTTACATCTGTCTCATCCCAAACACAGAAACATGAATTTGAGAGTCTCATGCTCTACTGACTGAGCTAGCTGAATGCCACGAAACATTGATTTGAAAAGATGCACGCACACCTATGTTGGTCACAGCACAATAGCTGAGACATGGAAACAACCCAAATGCCCAATTATGGGTGAATGGATCAAGAAGTTGTTATATATATACATATATATATATATGGTGGACTACTATGCAGCACTAAAAAATTATGGAATCATGCAATTCGCAGCAATATGGCTGGAACTAGAGGATGTCACGCTGTGTGAAGACAGAAGGAAAGGGATAGATACAGAATGATCCTCTCTCACAGCTGGGACTCAGAGATACACAAGAAGGTAGCAACCAAGGGCCAAAGGCCCCACAGCAGGAGACCTGATCCACAGAACTGAGTTGGTGCAGGGGGGAGGCTGAGAGGCCGGGGAACCTGGAGGGAGGGAGGTGGCACCCTGGGGAATGGTGCAGTGTTGGAATTATGTGTATGGAAAACCATCATGAACAGTAGCGGAAACCACTGTACACCAATTAAAAACATTTTTTTAACATAAAGGTTTAAAATAAACCTCCACAAACAGAAAGGCCCTCCTGGCCCAGTCTGTGTGAGGAGAGGTTCCTCCACTCCTTCCCCTGCAGAGACCCTAACCCTAACCCCAACCCCACCCCATGACGTCCTGCAAAGCCCACTGTAGTCTCCCTCCTGAGGCCTGGCTGGGTCCATCTTGCACGCAGATATTTTCAGCACCTAGGACAGTGGTGGGGGGGGGGGAGCAGTGCTCAGTGGCATTTTAGAAAAAGTTAAAAGGTAAAAGGTAAAGGCCCTCCCGTTGATCATCGATTTGCTCGAGCGGGCCCAGTAACGTCTCCATTGGAGACTTTGTTGTTACTGTGTCTGGCATATCGAATACTCTCGGTAGCTTGCCGGGCTCTCCGAGAGGGGCGGAGGAATCGAACTCGGGTCGGTCATGTTGGCCGCTTGTAAGGCGAACGCCCTACAGCTGTGCTATCGCTATCTAAAAAAGAAAATGTTTTTAAAGCATGCATGGACAGTTAAGCCCTAAAATGGTGACATGGGGCTGGAGCAATAGCACAGCGGGTAGGTCATTTGCCTTGTACGCGGCTGACCTGGGTTCAATTCCCAGCATCCCATAAGGTCCCCCGAGCATCTCCAGGAATAATTCCTGAGTGTCTGAGCTAGAAGTAACCCCTGAGCATCGCCAGGTGTGACCCAAAAAGATAAAAAACCCTAAAATGGTGACAGACGGAGAAAAAAGGAGGGAGAGGGATAAAGAGGAAAGAGTGGGCCCAACTCTGCCGACCTGTCAGATTCCTACACGTGCTAAGGGCCTGGAAAGGGCTTCGGGTCCCGTGCATTGGGGTGGGGAGCAGTGGACTGTCCAGACGCCGCGCACAGGCCACCCAAGGGTGGCTTTGCCCCCATTCCCCCCTGGGAGGCAGCAAAGGCAGCATTTGGGGAGGAACTATGGCTCTTCCCACTGTTTCTCCATCTCACCAGCGCAGACGTGAGCGACCTGTGTAGGCCTATGTGTCTATGTGCACTGCCACTGAAATCGCTTCATCTCTGAGGGGGTTTCCCTCGGGGCGGGGGCATGTGGTGCTAGAGAGAAAACTGGGGGTCAGCTCCACGCAAGGGGCACAGCTTCATCCCGTTACTATCTTTCCAGCCATGTTTTTTTTTCTTTTTATATTTATTTATTGAATCACTGTGGGAAAAGTTACTAAGCTTTCAGGTTTAAGTCTCAGTCATATAATGATCAAACACCTCTCCCTTCACCCAGACTTAATTTTCACCACCAAGAACCCCAATATACCCCCCTCCCACCCCTCCCAATGCCTGTGAGGCAGATGATTTCTAGTTAACTCTTCTCTACGTTGATTACATTCATTATTTTGACAAAAGATGCGCCATTATTGTTTAGAATTCCCCCCCCCAACAATCAGAATTGCTGAAAAGGCATTGTGAAACACTTTGTTTTCTATAGCTGGTTATGAGAATCATATAATGTCTGAAAAGTCTCAGAAATCCAAATGATTTTGGATCTCTGCAAAGAGCCAGATAATTACGAGATTTCTCCAGCCGTGTTTTATCTCGAAGTTTAGCCCGATTCTGTCCATCAGAGGCTCAGGAACGGGAGCCAATGAATCGCTACGACAGCAACAGCTGCTGGGCTGGAGGGATGGTCCAACGGGGAGGGCGTTGGCCTGGCACACAGTTGACCTGGGTTCGATCCCTAGCATCTCATGGGGTTCCCCACGCACTGCCAGGAGTGATCCCTGAGTGCAGAGCCAGGAGTGACCGCTGAGCATCGCTGGCTTTGAGCCAAAGAAAGCCAAAAAGCGAAAAAAGCAAAGAGGAGGCAGGTTCACGCAGAGCGGGCTGAAATGTTTGGGTTCGCTGTCCAGTCACATCGGCAGCCGCAGAGAAGGGCCAGGGGGAGGCTCCTTCCTGCAGGTGGATACGCACATCGGAGGGGCGACAGGGCCAGCGTTACCTTTGCAGGAAGTGCTCGTACTTCCGCCGGTAGGCGAAGCCGGCCCGCCTCACACGCAGGTGCTCCATCAGCCCCAGGTACTTGACCTGGTGCCTTATGAGGAAGTCATCGAACTTGCCTGAGGACACGGAGAAGGGAGAGTAGGGCTGAGGGGGGCAGAGCCCGGGGTCACAGCTCACCCAGGACCGCGCGGCCACAGACATGCTGTTCTGGGCCCTAAGTAAGTGTGTGTGTGTGTAAGTGTGTGTCTGTGTGTGTGTCTGTGTGTAAGTGTGTGTGCCTGTGTGTAAGTGTGTGTGTGTCTGTGTGTAAGTGTGTGTCTGTGTGTCTGTGTGTGTCTGTGTGTAAGTGTGTGTCTGTGTGTGTCTGTGTGTGTGTGTGTGTGTTTGTATCTGTCTGTCTGGGAGAGTTCCATAGAAAAATACAGGTCTCGGGGTCCACTTGAAAAACCACCAGCTCCGACCATTCTGGGCCCAGGGCCCCCACGTGGCGGCAGCCAGCCGGGAACACGGCTGCCCGCTCCGTCTGGCTGTGCTTTCTGGGTTTGCCACAGTCCCTGCCTCGCCCTGTTGCCTCACTGCGCCACTCACTGCTCCTCCTGCCCCCTCTGTGGACATCCGCTGGTCTGATTTTCCTTACAGACCGTGGCACAAGCTCTCCCTCTCCCAGAGCCCCCACCCCATAGGCCACGCGGAGAAGCGGCACTGTACCTGCCCAGCGGATGAAACGCTGAGCGAGGCTCCTGCAGCACCGCCAGAGGGAAAACGCCCCCGCCCCAGTCTCGTACACGAGGTCACTGAAAGCGAGGGGCTGTCTCAGATGTTTCTTTCTAATGAACTGACCATTCCACTTACAAAATTCCGAAATGATCAACAGACCACAGAAAGATTTTTCTTTAGGGTCCCGCTTGAAACCAGCAGTTTCGGCAAACTGCAGGCCTTGACTCAGGGCCAAAGAGGGGGGGGCGGGGAGGGAAAAAACAAGTAACTGAGTTTAAGTGAGAGGGAACTGGATCTTCGCTGTCAGATTTGGGGCAGAGGTCTCGGCTCGTTCAAACAACCAATGGCTTGTTGAAGTAAACAAGAGTTACTAGTGCCCGCTTCAGCAGATGGATGAACAACGGGAGGACAGTTCTACGGTGCAACAGTGCTTTGTGATTGCAAAAAAAAAAGGAAAGAAAATGAAAATGAGGGGCTGGAGCGGTAGGAGAGCAGGTAGGGCCCTCGGCCCACCTGGGTTTAATCCCTGGCACCCCACACTATCCTCGGGGCCTTGCAGAAGTGATCTCTGAGGTGTGGCCCAATTCTCCCCGAACCAACCAAGTAAATAAAATTGAAATAAATTTGACACTGAGTAAGCTTGTGGTGGTCTTTAGAATTGGGGCAGGGGGTGCTCCTAGGCAGTGCTTGGAGACTCAGGCAATGCTTGGCCGGGTAATGCCAGCCCTGACTTGCTCAGTGCGGGGTCCCGGTGATGCCATGCAGATGGGGCACGGCTGTGCCGGGAGCCACCAGCATTGCAGCCAGTGGTGCTCAGGGGGCACTGTCGCAGTGCCAGGGGTGAAACTTGGGTCCTCTCGCCTGCTGGGCATGTGCACCGTCCTGGGAGCATCTCCCGGGGGTGTCTTAGGGAGACTGGGTGGTGGTTCCGCCCAGCCTCTCACTCACTGGGCTCCTTCCTCTCGTTGGGCTTGATGCAGCGGATATAGGAGGGTTCCTTTGAGATGAGGGTTTCCAGGAGGCTGCTGAGGCTGTTTTTAAACTGGGTTCCCACCTGCAGAGAGAGAAACAGCGACAGACAGAGGGGCTGGTTAGAGCGCGGGATGCCCCCTCCCCCCACCCTGGGACCCAAATTCTCCCGACGCTTTGTCTGTCGAGATGTGTTTGGTTGGTTGGGTTTGGACCACCCCAGCGATGCTCTGGGGTTCCTCCTGGCTCTGCACTCAGGAATCACTCCTGGCGGTGCTCGGGGGACCCTATGGGATGCCAGGGATCGAACCTGGGTCAGGTCGGCTGCATGCAAGGCCAACACCCTCCCTGCTGTCCTATTGCCCCATCTAGATGGTCAGTGACTGTCCTGCCTGTTGTGCTTCTACTGACCACTGAGGGGACACCTCAGCTATGATGGCCTGGGAAGTCCAGGCTGGTCCGCAGAGACAGGTCAGGCCTGCACCCCGGACGCTTCTCAGCCTCCTTGAGCTGGAGTGAGGTTGTGTGGGGACCGACATGGTCACGGTAAGGTCACCGGCAAGGTCCCGTCCCTGTTCCCATCCTGGCTCCCATCCCTGTGTCCCTGCGCCTCCTTTAGGACACTCACTATTCTAAGTTCTTCCTTTCTGCCCTTTTCCTGGCCCCTGCCCGCCCCCTGCCCCAGATTGAAAGTCTCCCCACTGCCCCCAGCTGGTCATTAGGCCAGGCCAGGCGCCGTTCAGCACAGCCTGTGAGGGAGGGACACACTGGACACGGGAGCAGGGGCTGCAGCGGCCTCGCAGTGGCCCTCACCGTGGGCGGCCGCCGGTGGTTCTCTAACTCGGCCACCAGGAAGCACTCCCGGAGGATGCGGTTCTGGGACTGGCACAGCACCTGGGGCGAGAGACGTGGGTGCCCACCAGAGAGATGCTCGTGCGCCATCCCCCACCCCCTGGGGCCACTGCCAAAGGGCCCCCGACACACACTCACACCCAGACACATACACACACAGTTCCCGGGCACACACTCGCAGTCACACCCAGACATATAAACTCACACACACCCACTACTCTCAACACACACACACACAGACACACCCAGACATACACACGGCTCTCGCACACACACAATCACACCCAGACATACACTCTCACAAACTCACACACTCACAGCTCTCTCACGGTCACACCCAGACATCTTCTCACAGATGCACACACACTCACCTATGCAACCACACACACAAATACACTCGTGCATACTCACCACCTTTGCATAAGTATGCACACATACACAATCACATATACTCACACACACACAGCTTCACACAAGTTCAGACACAGATACTCTCATCACTCACACATACGCACACACAAGCACTTACACACATGCACACATGTGTGCACACACATGCACACACATGCATACACACAGAGCAGTGCTTGCTCCCAGCCCAGCTGCTCTGTAAGACCCTCTCCAGGACATGGCACTCACCACACACAGCGACTCTGAGAAAAAGCCCCCCCACCCCCACCCACTCTGGCCCTGGGGCCCTCAGCTGGACACATCCCACTGGGAAGGGCTCGGTCCGAGACTCAGACCAAGAAGACTCGGCCGGGACCCAGACCCAAGGCCTCGCGTCTTCATCCCGAACCCCAGCAGCTGGGCCAGAGAAGCGGCAGGGAAGGGTCGGAAAGGGCAGTGGGCAGTGTCCCCCTGGCATGGCCTGACCTTCCCTCAACAACCCAACGAGAGAAACTGGCGCTTTGTACATAGCACAAGCATTTCAGCACCACGTCAAGGCACGGGCTTGGGGAATGGGCGGCACGGGGGTGGGGGCACTCCATGGCCACCCCCAGGATGTGATCTCGAGCCTGTATCCTGCCCTCGGACCTCAGCTGACTCCTCATCCTGGGGGCCCGCCCTGGGGTGCTCTCGGCCTTCTCTGCTCAGCGGCTCTGCCCGTGGGGACCCTCTTCCCCTGGGACCCCTGTGCTTGCCACGACCAAGTCTGCATTCGCCCAGGCTTTGGCCAGTCACTGCCACAAGGCGTTGGCTCCGAGCCCCTCAGCTGGAGACGCTGCCCCCACCATCACGTCTCCTGACTTTCTCCCCAGCACGCCCGACATGCACCTCGCGGGGTCCATTCCCCATGGCCCGCCCCCTCTCCCTCCTCACCAGCTGCGCAGGGCTGGCGCGGGAGGCCCCACGGGACAGGCTCTGCTGAGTGCAGGCTCATGCAAATGTCTGTTCCTGACAGGGGGGGCCGGAGAGGGGGCTCCCCAAGGCTGGTCTCCCCCACCCTCTGCTAGCACGGGGCCCCTCCCTCTTGCGCCCGCAGGAGCATGCAGGGTCCCAGTACCTCTTTCAAGTGCCGGTAGAGTAGGTCGTTGTTTTTCTCCAGGAAGCCTGCAGGAGGGGAGCGAGAGCCCCTGGCACCTGATTGCTGCGCTGAGCCGCCGCCCCCCTCGACTGAGTGCAAAACAGAACGCAGCGAGTCTCTCGTGGGATCTGACGGGAGCCAGCCTTGGCGTGACCCAGAGCTGGGCGGCTCCAGGATGTGGGGTCCCTCTTGAATGCAGGAGGACATCTGGTGGCATCCCAGGTCACTACCCACCAGCGGCAGCAACCAAGTGTGCCCACAGCGCTGGAGAGACAGTCCAGGGCATCATCTGTCTTCCATGAGGCGGGCACTACCGGGAGTGCTCCCTGAGCACAGAGCTGGGAGCTCTGAGAAAGTCTGGATGTGGCCCAAAACCTCCCACCAAAGAAAAATGTGTTGGACATGCCCCGGGGGAGGGGGGCGTGCTGCCAGGGCCACACACAGCAGCTCTGGGGCCCGGGCAGAGCCAGGGTCAGACTCAGGGCCTCCCAGCTGCAACACAGTGCTCCAGCCCCCGGAGCACTCCACCTGGACCCTCATTTCCAGTTTGGGGCCTGCCTCCCCACTGGTGCTCAGCAGCCCCCGAGGGTCCCTCCTGGTGATTCTCGGCCAGTCTGGCTGGTGGTTCAGTGCTAGGGCCTGAGAATGGCCAGGGACCATTGGGGTCACCCAGGCGATGCTTGGGGACAATGCCCGGACTGCCCCAAGGGACCTGGGGGGCCACATGGCACTGGGGATCAAACCAGGATCAGGTACATTCAGGAAGTTATTTTCATCCCTAAATAATCTCCTAGGATCCTCATTTCCAACCTTTAAAGTTTGTCTTTAAGTGCTCATATAAAAACCAGTAAGTGGTGCTGGAGAGATAGCACAGTGGGGAGGGCGTTTGCCTTGCATGCAGCTGACCTGGGTTTGATCCCCAGCATCCCATAGGGTCTCCCAAGTACTGCCAGGAGTAATTCCTGAGTGCAGAGCCAGGAGTAACCCCTGAGTGTCGCCTGATGTAACCCAAAAAGGAGAAATAAACTTCAGCTGGGGCTGGAGCAATAGTACAGGGGGGATGGCATTTGCCTTGCACGCAGACAAACTGGGTTTGATCCCTGGAATCCCAAATGAATCCCAGAACACTCCAGGAGTAATTCCTAAGCTCAGAGTCAGAAGTAACCCCTGAGCACTGCCAGGTGTGACCCAAAACCACAAACAAATAAAACAAACAAACAAACAAACAAAAAACCACCAAAAATCTACACAATGGAGTACTATGTAGCTGTTAGAAAGATGAAGTCATGAAATTTACATACAAGTGGTACTACATGGAAAGCATCATGTCAAGCGAAATGAGTCAGAAAGAGAGGGACAGACATAGAAAGATTGCATTCATCTGGGGAACATAAAGTAACAAAATAGGAGACTAACACCCAAGAGTGGCCGAGATTAGTACCAGGAGGTTCACTCTATGGCTTGGAGGCCAGCCGCACATGCTAGGAGAGAAGGCAGCTCAGATAGAGAGGGGAGCACCAACTAAAGGGTGTTGGGAGGATCCTCCCAGGATGGGAGAAGCATGCTGAAACTAGACTATGGACTGAACATGTTTGCCACTCAATGCCTCTTTTGCTGACCACAACACCCAAAAGAAAAGAGAGAACAAAAGGGAATGCCCTGCCACAGTGGCGGGGGGGATGCGGGAGGTGGGAGGTGGGAAGGATGTTGGGATCCGTGGTGGTGGGAAATGGGCACTGGTGGAGGGATGGGTATTCGATCACTATAATTGAAACCCAAGCACAAAAATTTGTAAGTCTACAACTGTACCTCATGGTGTTTCACTAATAAAAATTTTTAAAAAAACACCAAAACCAATAAGCTAATAGTTAAATGATGAGCTAAATGTCATCACTTGATCACTTGACTTCCCATTAATCATCAATTTGCTTGAGCGGGCGCCAGTAACGTCTCCATTCGTCCCTGTTGCGTGCTAGTGTAGCCCATGAGCTAAATGTCATGCTAAAGTCAAAAGCAGGGGCTGGCGCCATAGTACATCGGGTAGGGCATTTGCCTTGCATGCGGTCTGCCCAAGTTTGATCCCAAGTACCGTCAGGAGTGATCCTTGAGCACAGAGCCAGGAGTAAGCTCTGCTGGGCATGGTAAAAAAAAAATCACTTGCAACACCAGGAATGGCAGATAGCAAAGCTGTCAGTTTGGAGCACTGGGACTTGACGACCATATGCTTGCAAGGCCAGTGCTCTAAGATGTTGCACTATTTCACTGGGGACCTATTTTAAATGGGCAAAGGAGGGGCTGGAGCAATAGCACAGCGGGTGGGGCATTTGCCTTGCACGCGGCCAACCCGGGTTCGATTCCCAGCATCCCATGTGGTCCCCTGAGCACTGCCAGGGGTAGTTCCTGAGCGCAGAGCCAGGAGTAAGCCCTGTGCATCACCAGGTGTGACCCAAAAAGCAAAAATAAATAAATAAATAAATAGGCAAAGGACCTAAGCAGATATTTCTCCCAGGGAGCCACGGAAGTGGCCAATGATGCCCCACATCCTTGGTCACCATTGGAAACACCCTTCGCACCACCAGGAGACACCACCTCACACCCACAGGAAGCCGGCAAAGCAGGTGCTGACAGCGACAGGCACAGAGATGGAGGTGGGGGAACTGGATGGCCGCTGCCCTGATGCGGGGGCAGGAAACGGAGAAGCTGCCGTGGGAAGGGAGGGGGAAACGGGCATCTGGCACCCCTTCTGTTTCCTGTCTGGGCACGTACCCGGAGAAAGGGAGCCACAGCCAGACTCCACGAGCACAGGCCTCCGCGGAGCTGTGGTCCAAGCAGCCCGAGTCTAATCTGCCTCCCAGAGCCCTGTCGGAGCCTGAGAGGCAAAATGGGTCCAGCCACCCAATGGCATTCGCTTATTCTGGTTTCAGGAGTCACACCAGCTGTGCTCAGGGATCACTCCTGGCGGTGCTGATGGACCCCGTGGGATACCGCAGATCGAGTCTGCCTGAGTCTGCTGCATTTCAAGGCGGGCGCCTGACTATCTCTCTGGCCTTGTGATGGGATATTTGGTAACAAAAGGGAGAGACAGCATGAATGCAACTGGGAAACAGGACGAGTGAAAGGGGCCTGGGGGAAAGGTGGCATATGTGGGGTTCCACCCCTCAAGGCTATGTGGAGGCAGGAAGACGGCCCAAGGTCATGGAACATACTCGGGGCACAGCCCAAATGTGATCCAAGGGCTTAATGTGATACCACTGGCCCCGGGGACTAGGAAGTGCCACGCCCATACCACTAGGCTTAGGGGCACTGGGAGTGGCCCCAAGGTCTTCAAACACTTCTGGGGTGTGGGAAGCTGGCCCTTTAACTGACCAAGGGCCTACGTGCCTGTGCTATGTATGGTTATCTTGGCCTACGTGACCCTGAACAAGCGGGTCCTGACTTGCCCAAATCTGGTACTGTGTCTGCTCTGACCACAGCCTCTGCATATCCTGAGCCATGTATGGTTATCTAAAAGAAAACATTTGTCACAGCTAGCCCAAGAATAAGAAGTAACTGACACTGACTAACCAAGCATATGAAACGTGTAGACTTTGTAACTCTCCTAACCATATATGATATGACCTAGTGATGTAATTGCCTTCTGTGACGTAAGCATAGTTTCCTGCGTCGCAAGGTATATAATACCCCTGCTGCCCTAGAATAAAGTCCTGTCCTGTCCTATCCTGTCTTCTGTCCTGTCTGCTCTGTCCTGTCCCTTTTTCTCTGTTTCTAAACTGCATTATGTCTCTTGTGTCTTGTGTTCATTCGGTCGGTCCCTCCCTGCACCTACGGACCCTAGGGCCACCTCTGCGGGCCAGAGAGTGGTCTGGTGGGGCCCCCCGCACTGGGGAATACCCCAAACCCCAAAGAAGAAAGAAAAAATATCCAGAATCAGCAAATGTACTGAGAAAGGAAATAGATGGCTTTGTGACCTTGGGATGCAGGGAGTGGGGTGAATGGAAATGAGAAATAACTTCTAAGGCATAAAAGTTTTTCTTTGGGGCTGGAGCAATAGGAAGGTGGGTAGGGCGTTTTCCTTGCACGTGGCTGACCCGAGTTCGATTCCCAGCATCCCATATGGTCCCCCGAACACCGCCAGGAGTGATTCCTGAGTGTAGGAGCCAGAAGTAACCCCTGTGCATCGTCGGGTGTGACCCAAAAAGCAAAAAAAAAAGTTTTTCTTTTAGGGGGACTCACATTCAGTGGTGCTTGGGGCTACTCCCAGCTCTGTGCTTGGGGCTGGCTCCTAGTTTAACCCCCTAAACCTAGACTTTTAGTTTAATTTATTTTGGGGCCACACCCAGTGATGCTCAGGGCTTACTCCTGGCTCCGCCTTCAGGAATTAGTCCTGGTGGAGCTCAGGGGAGACCCTTAGGGGTTCTGGGGATTGAACTCCAGAAGATCGAGTGCCAGGCAAAAGCCCTCCCCACTGTCCAGGCATTCTGGCTCTACCTGGACCCTTGGGTGGTGCCAGGGATTAAACCAGGCTTGGCAGCCTGCAAAGCAGGTGCCTTAAATGCTACGTTTTTCTCTCCAGTCCTGCATGAAGGGGTTTTGTTTGCGGGAGGTGGGTCAGGAGACATTCTCCAGTGGACTGAAATGAGGGAAGTACAGAGCACCGGCTAGCGAGAACAGTTGTTCGTGAAGCATCTTCCCAGCTAGAGGAGAACGCACGCTGGCTGGATACCCTTCCTGGAGCCCCTGTCCATCTGCGACCTGGGAGCATGCCCTCACCTTTGGTGCAGTAGGTGACCTCTCCTGCATAGTGGAGGAGCTGGAAATCCAGCCAGCCAATCCGCTTCCGGCCCTTAGGACCCGCCAACTTCCGGCTACAGCAAGACAGGGACAGACACTAGCTGCTATGTCCACCTCCCTGCAGCCCGCAACACCCCCACCACAGCAAGTCCTTGGGGGGGGGCCTGGCCACCACCGAAGGCCCTGCGGGGAAGCCTGGCTCACTCTTCCCACAGATGCAAGCCAAGATCTACTCCCTAAAATTCCAGCTTTCATCCTCTCGGTGTTCCGGGAATTTCCACCAAAAGCCAGCAAAACAAACAGACAAAACCCCCAAACAACATGCCTTGAGAAGTGAAAAAACACTAATAAAAACAAATGACATGTTAGCGGGCCCAGCAGATTTTGTGCTCCAAGAAAACTGGGTGCCAGGGATTGAACCCGGGTCATATGCACGCAAGGCCAGTGCCCTACCCATTGGACTATCTCTCTGGCTCCTTAAACCTAGGCTTTTATTTAATTTTACTTTGGGGCCACACCCGGAAATGCTCAGGGCTTACTCCTGGCTTCGCCCTCAGGAATGGCCTCCTGGCAGTGCTCAGGGGATGCCAGGGATTGAGCCCCAGATGGTGAAGTACAAGGCAAAAGCCCCCCCTCCCCCACTGTTCTAGCACTTGGGCTCTACCTGGACTTTCAAAAAGAGAATTTCCCACACATGTCCAAAACGTAGAGGTCATTGATTGAAGAAAGCAAGAGGGAAAATCTTTGGAAAATTCGAGTCGGGGACGCCAGTTTGATTTCTTCCTGGGTGTGAGCGAGAGCACAAGGGTGCTCTTCCTATGCCAGGGCATCAGCGGTCCTTGGCAAGCACTCGCTGAAGTAATGACATCTCGGGCTAGAGCCATAGCACAGTGGGGAAGGCGTTTGCCTTGCATGCAGCCAGCCTGGGTTCGATCCCCGGCATCCCATAGGGTCCCCCGAGCACCGCCAGGAGTAATTTCTGAGTGCAGAGCCAGGAGCAATCCCTGAGCATCGCCAGAAGTGATCCCCCCGACCCCCCGAAAAAAGAAATGACATCCCAAGGATCCTCCCCTGGAAAGCGGGTCCAAAGAAGCACATACGTCTGGAAGTGTGCGTGGCGACCCACTTTCTCTTCCAGCTTCTCCAGGAAGCTCAAGTCTGTCGCAGGGCCAGGACGAATACACTCCTCATCCTGCGGGAGGAGAGAGGAGGAGAGAGGCCTTGTGGCCGAGCACCGCAGACCCGTGAGGATTCCAAGCTGAAATGCTTTCCCGGGGAACCGTTCAGAGGGCTGGAGCACAGGCTTTCCATGCCAAGTCCTGGGTCCCACAACAACTGCTCAGACACCGCTGGGAGCGACACCCCTCCAACCTGAACCCCACTTGGGGAGAAGCCCCCAAGCACCACCGGGCGTGGCCCCAAACAAAAACCAACCAAAAAAACAAACTTTCACAAGTCACGACAGAATGTCCTAGACTGAAATAATGTTATCTCGGGCCGAAGCACTAGTACAGCGGGGAGGGCACTGCCTTGCATGTGACCGACCCAGGGTTCAATTCTTAACACCCCATAGAGCCCCTCAAGCCCAGCCAGAAGAGATCCCTGAAAAAAAAAAGAGGATCCCTGAGCACAGAGCCAAGAATACGCCCCGAGCACAGCCAGGTATGACCCCAAACTCAAAATAACAAACAAAAATAATAACAATGTTATCTCAGACAGATGAGCAGGAAGTGTGCTTGCTGGTCTGTGTGTGTGTGTGTGTGTGTGTGTGTGTGTGTGTTGGGGGGGCAGGGGGTGGTGGACGGGGCTCCATTTCATGCTGCTTTGTGGGATCAGACATTCTAGAAATCCCCCTAACATGACGCATAGTTCTGAAGTTCCCCACAAAGGCACCCTCACCTTCCCTGGTTTTGGTTTTGTTTGAATTTTTTTAAGATCATATCAGTGGTGCTCAGGGGTTATTCCTGTCTCTGCCTGTCCGGGCAGTTCTCAGGGGACCCGGTGGGATCCTGGAGATTGAACCCGGGTCAGCCTCGTGCAAGGCCAATGCCCTCCCCACTATGTTATCGCTCCAGGCTCCTTCGTTTTCTCTTCTTCACGCGGCTCATAAAACAACTCCTTGAGAGGAACAGACACACAGCGACCTCTCTCAGAAGGGGCGTGTGAAGAAACAAAGCCAATAAATAACAAACACCCAGCGGTTGAGGACACGTTACCCCCCTGGGATTCACCGGGTCACAGACACACCCCAGGGAGACTGGGCTGAGTAAGTTCTTTCGAAGTCCTTCGTCCGCTTTGTCTTGTTCACCTGTCAGCGAGTAAGCAGCACCTCTGCCCCACCCACAGTGCACCCCAGTTCTCTCCTTGCTTTGTTTTTGGTTCTCTGGTTTGGGGTCCACACTCACTGATGCCCAGGGGCTAGAAACAGCTCAGTGCTGGCGCTGAATTCAGACCCTTCACGTGCGTGTGTCCATCCATAAGAGTCCACACCCCTCTAGCTTCTTACACCCGGCATCCCAGCCCCATAGGGTGTCGCTTCAATGAACCTGGGTCAGGATCCCCCAGACTGTCACTTTACTGTTGCAAAAAAAGTCAGCAACAGTGAACTGGTTCTACAGCCACTTGGTGGAAGGGCTTTCACCACTGACGGTTCCCAGGTCCCTTGAGTGCTACCCATGACGCCCGCACCCAACTCCAAAATGGAGAAAATAACAACCCAGGGGATTCACTCTCTCCCTCCAACCCAGGAGAAAGGTTCTTCCGCTTGCTGTCAACATCATCTAAACTCCTTTTTCTTACCAGGATGGAAATGATCCCTTTGTGTCTCTCTTCCACCAAATCGCAGATGATTTTGTTGTTAAAATACTGAATGGGCTCCCACTACAGGGCAAAGAGAGAAAAATTCTCCAAGAAGAATCCAGAAGAGCATTGAAGAGTGTTCCCTTCCATTCATTTTCGGAAACACACACACACACACACACACACACACACACACACACCTCTTTCGTGCAAAATCCGAATTTTATAATCAACATTCTAGAAACAAGATCCAAATAATTTCCCAGGAAATAAGCAGAGGAGGAGTGAGTGAAATCCCTCCTGAGGGCTGATCTGAGGACAAATCTCCATTGCCCCGAGAGGGCTCTCCTAGCGCCTCCCAAGCTGACGGCATGCGGCAGAGACAGGAGCGTTTGCTCACCTGGATCCCTTCCAGGTCGTACTCAGCCTGCTCCGCTTTCAACGTCCTCTCGATCAGCAGCTGCTGCAGTTTCTCATTGCAGTAATTTATGCAGAATTGCTCAAACCTAGAGATGTTTGGTTTGGGGCCACACCCGGCGGTGATCAGGGATCACTCCTGGCATAGAGCGATTGGGGACCATAGGTGGTGCCAAGGATGGAACCTGAGTCAGCGGCATCTGAAGCAAATGCCTTCGCCCTCGGTCTATCTCTCCAACAAGACCAATTTTAGTAAATTCTATTTGTTTAAAGCCTTGAAGGGGGGCTGGAGTGACAGCACAGCGGGTAGGGCATTTGGTTTGTACACGGCCAACCCAGGTTCAATTCCCAGACTCCCATATGGTCCCCTGAGCACTGCCAGGAGTAATTTCTGAGTGCAGAGCCAGGAGTAACCCCTGTGCATCGACAGGTGTGATCCCCCGCCAAAAAAAGCCTTAAGAATTGAATAAGTTACTAAATTGGTGGCAAGAGTCAAATTAAAAAGTGAGGGGCTGGAGTGATAGCACAGCGGGGAGGGCGTTTGCCTTGCATGCAGCCAAACTGGGTTCAATTTCCAGCATCCCATAGGGTCCCCTGAGCACCGCCAGGAGTAATTCCTGAGTGCAGAGCCAGGAGGAACCCCTGTGCATCGACAGGTGTGATCCCCCGCCAAAAAAAGCCTTGAAGAATTGAATAAGTTACTAAATTGGTGGCAAGAGTCAAATTAAAAAGTGAGGGGCTGGAGAGAGAGCACAGTGGGCAGGACGTTGGCCTGGCATGCGGCCGACCCGGGTTCAATTCCCAGCATCCCATATGGTCCCCTGAGCACCGCCAGGAGTAATTCCTGAGTGCAGAGCCAGGAGGAACCCCTGTGCATTGCCGGGTGTGACCCAAAAAGAAAAAAAAAGATCACGTGGGAGCTGGAGCAATAGGACAGTGGGGAGGGCATTTGCCTTGAACGCGGCCAACCCAAGTTTGTACCCCCCAATCCCACATGGTCTCCCGAGCCCACCAGGAGTGATTCCTGAGCATAGAGCCAGGAGTAATCCCTGAGCACAGCCAGGTACGGCCCCCAAACAAGAAAACAAACACACAGAAAGATGTTCACGTGCTTTGTGGCTGTTCCACTTGTAGAAACAGCCTAGAAATCAGGGGTCACACCAATCTGAAGAAATTCTGGGGGTGGGAATGTGGATTCCATAAAGCGGAGAGGCTGCAAATCCAACTGAGATCGAAAAGAACGAACTCACCCATTCTTGTCAAAGACCTCGAACCCGTAGATATCGAGCAACCCGATCACAGTCTTCTTGGTGAAATCCTAGGTGTTATGGGGCATCAGTAGCTCTTTCTCCAACCAGCCTTTGGAGCCTGGCGGCTCCGGGGGGAAGCTCTCTCCCAAGACACTTTACTCCTTTTTTCTCTCTGGCTTTCGGACCGCAAAACCACAGTGGTGCTCAGGGCTTACTCCTGGCTTTGTGCTCAGGGAGCACTCCTGGCAGGGGCTCAGGGAGCCATGTGTAGTGCCAGGTTGGCTGCATGCACAAGTGCATTAACCCCTGGCCTAGCTATCTGGCCCCATAGCGACCTCTTTTCTCCCCAAAATATTCCACCTCTCAGGGCCAAAGCGATAGTACAGCAGGAAGGGAGTTTGCCTTGCAAGCGGCTAACCCAGATTCCATCCCTGGCATGCCATAGGGTCCCCCAAGCACAGGCAGGAGTGATATTTTTTCCTTTTTGGGTCACACCCGGCAATGCACAGGAGATACTCCTGGCTCTGCATTCAGGAATCACTCCTGGTGGTGCGGTGGTGCTCCGGGAACCATATGGGATGCTGGGAACTGAACCAAGGTCGGCCGCGTGCAAGGCAAACACCCTCCCCGCTGTGCTATCACTCCAGCCCCAGGAGTGATTCTTGAATGCAGAGCCAGGAATAACTACTGAGCATCACTGAGTGTGGCCCCCTCAAAAAAAATTCCACTTCTCAAGGAAATGGGACCTTAGGACATCTTTGAAGAAGAGTAGGATTTTTTTTTAATTTTCACCTCTACCAATTAAAATACCCTGCTCTTAAAAACTTCCAAATGCTGGGATACCCTCTGCTCCCACCACCCCCGACATCTGAAGGGTTCAGCGTGGCCAAAAGCCTGTGGTGGGCATCCTTGTAAGCCCAAAGCCTGGCCCTGGGAAGGGGGGGCCGTCTGGCCTCGCCCCTCAGAGGGGCTCACGGCAGGTCCCCACTGCTCCTTCGGAGACCAACACGGCCACCCACAGGGACAGACCTTGTTCACGAGGGAGGAGTTGATTTTATTGACGAGCCACGTGAAGGTGCGCTCGTACACAGACTTCGCCACCGCATCTCGCGCGAACACGGAGAGTTCCAGCGTCAGAGGGCAGATCACCTGGGGAGGGCGGAGGGTTCAAACAAAACAAGGGGCACGCTGCCCCGAGCTCCCAAGGGAGGCTTGGAGGAGAGTTTGAGGAGGACATGGTAAGGGGGGCAGATGGGCGCATGTTCCAGAATGCTCTATGCCCTGAGGTCTAGCCTTGACCCAGACAAGCGGCTTTGGTGGGGTGACATCTGTGGGGGCAGGAGTGGGGGGGGGGCAGAGAGAGAGTCTTGAGCTGTGACTTGGTTGCTTTAGGGTGCGGGGGATGAGGGGGACAGCTTCCTTGGGCATCTGCCCGCTAGGAACAGGAGAGGGAGTTCTCCAGGGCCTGGCTTCTTAGACCCTGGCTCACTGCTGGAACTTCCCCACTGTCATGGGGGCCTCCAGATATCTGGTGACAGCAAGAGTTGGTTTTTTTGGGGGGGAGGGCCACACCCAGCGATGCTCAGGGGTTCCTCCTGGCTCTGCACTCAGGACTTACTCCCGGCAGCGCTCAGAGGACCACATGAGATGCCAGGGATCGAACCCAGGTTGGCCGCATGCAAGGCAAACACCCTACCCGCTGTGCTATTGCTCCGGCCCAGCAAAAGAGTTTCTGAACACACAATGACTGGCACATAGCTCAACACCCTCCAGTTCAACAAGCCCGGAGCTATGGTGCCTGGCAGAGGCATGTCTGGGCAAAAGAGCTGGTGGCGAAAGGGAGAGGCAGAAGCCGCCTAGAGGACTAGAGGGAGAGAAGGGAGCAGGGTCCCGCCAGAGGGAGCCTTGTGCAGGGCGAGCGCTGTGAGGGTGAGGACGAGAGCTGGTGGTGATGGGGAGGTCGAGGCAGGAGACCCTGGCAGTCCCAAGGCCTGGGATCAGGGTCACCCTCCTGGTCACCTGGGGACATAGCAGGGGCAGTGCCCCCTTCAACATGGGTGTTTTTTTTTTTACCTCTTCCGTTTTGGCTTCAATCTTTCTGTGGGTGAGAGCGTCCAGAAGGACCGACGGCTGGACCCCCAGGAGCTGCAGAAGGGGAGGCCAAGGTGCCATTCCGTGACCTGATTTGATTTTTCCACTTCTCATTATTTTTGGCTTGGGGGCCAGACCTGATGGTGCTCAGGGATCACTCCCGGTGGGGTTCTGGTACTCTACTCTCGGTGCTCACTGCTCCCTGCCTTCATGCATGACAGACCTCGGTGGGATCTCTCAATCCACCAGCCTTTGCCAAACCCCTTGCCCACCCCCGTGCTCGGTAGCTACTCCCGCTCGGGGCACCCAGCCCCCACGGGCCTCGATCAGGGCCCAGCTCCCCGAGGTGGCCAGCTCCTCACCTTGGCGATCCACTTGATCTCATGGGTGTGGGGGATGGTGGCACATCCCTGGCGGCTCTCCTCGAAACAGATGTTCCCCAAGTGCAGGACACTGGCGATGATCCCAAAGAGATTCTAGGCGCAGGGGGAGGCAAGGGGAGAAGACGGCGGCTGCTGGGCCGAGACACGATGAAGGAGAGCCCGCGCCTTCAAGAGGCCAGCCCCCCGCCCTCCCCGGAAACCGGCCTCTGGCACAAAGGGAAACAGGGGTAAGAACCCCCAGTGGGTGGCAGAGAAGGTTTTACCCGCAATCTCCAACACAGGACATTTTTTGGGGTGGGAGAGAATCTGTTCTTGGGCACACTTGGGGGTCTTCAGGGGCCACCCCTGGCTCTGCTCCCAGAAAACCGTATGGTGCCAGGGATCAAACCAGGGTTGGCTCATGCAAGGCTTTAACCTCTGTACTATCTCTCCAGCCAGGACACTTCTATTTTTTTTTTTTTTGCTTTTTTGGGGGTCACACCCGGCGATGCACAGGGGCTACTCCTGGCTCATGCACCCAGGAATTACTCCTGGAGGTGCTCAGGGGACCATATAGGATGCTGAGGATCGAATCCGGGTCAGCTGCATGCAAGGCAAATGCCCTCCCTGCTGTGCTATCACTCCAGCCCCACATTTCTATGGAAAAATAAGGTGGGTCTTCTTCACCTACCTGTAAGCCACTTAATGTTCAAATGCTGCAGTCCTAGATATAGTTATACATGCACATATACAAGCATATACCAGCACACAACACAAATGCATATGTACGTGTGTACATCTTCGTGTACCTATGTTTCTGTACCTATGCAAGCTCTGTATCTACCCAAGTTTGATCCCCAGTATCCCATATGGCCCCCCCAAGCACCTCCAGGAGTCAATCCCGAATGCAGATCCAGGAGTAACCCTTGAGCATCACCGGGTGTGGTCCCCAAACCAAAAACCAACATTAAATATACTTTGGAGATGCGCATTAGTGGGCCCCCAAGATTTTTTTTTTGTTAGTTTGTATTTGGGGCCGCACCTAGCAGTGTTCTGGGCTTGCTTCTAGCTCTGCACACAGGAATCACTCCTGGTGGGACTTGGAGGAGTGTATATGGTGGCGGGGATCAATCCCAGGTTTACCATTTGCAAGGCAAGCTCCCTACACTGTACTCAAGATTTTTATTCATTCTATTTGGCAACCTGCAATCAATCACCAGGAAATCAGGGTTGTCTGGACTCCCCCCAACCGCCCCCCCTTTTTTTGGTTTTGATCCACACTTACTCAGGGCTATCCAGTGCAAGGTTTAGGGGGCTACTCCCAACAGGGGGCTCAGGGGACCATGTGGTACCCGGGATTAAACGCAGGGCTTCCACATGCAAAGCCTGAGCCCCACTCCTTCGAGTCATCTTCCTGGGCCTCAGGACCACCCCCTCAAGCCCAGAGACAGAGAGTTCCTCCCTCAAGACCGTTACCTCCAGGTCACCGTCTGTAAAATCGATCACAGAAAAGGCGTTGGACACAGTTTTCCAGGCATCCTCATCATTGATGGAGGACTGTTTGGCAGAATGACCCTGCGGACACAGAACCGGGTCACTGGCTGGCATTATTAAAAGGACGGTCCGGAAGTGTGAACACCGGCTGCCGGATCACAGCCCGCTCTCTGTAAGCAGGTGGAAGCTCACTGTTGTCAACGTGTGTGTGTGAGATTTACTCTAATTGTGCAGCCCATGGTCTAGAGAGGCAGGGCACTTGCCTTGTAGGCACTCACCTGGGCTCAATCCTCGGCTTCCCATGTGGTCCCCCAAACACCACTAGGAGTGAATCCTGAGTGCAGAGCCAAGAGAACCCCTGAGCATTGCCAGGTGTGGCAAAAACAAGCAAGCTAGCAAACAAACAAAACCAACAATCATGGAGCCCATAACTGTCAATTGCTGCTTTGTTTTCCTTCCAAGTTTCTTTGGAATTTTCTCTCTGTTCTGGGAAAATTTTCCAAGTTATATTCGAGTAGTAATGCCTCTTTATGTGAATATGTTTTAAAATAGATGTGTGTGTGTGTTTTGGATCACAACCTGGTGTTACTCAGGGCTTACTCCTGGCTCTGTATTCAGGGACCACTCCTGACAAGGCTCAGGGGACCATATGGGGAGCGAGGGATGGGACTTGGATCAGCTGCAGGCAAGGTAAGCACCTTAACCTCTGTACTCTTTCTCTCTGGCCCCCTCAAAATGTTTCATTGGGCCAGAGTGATAATATAGTGGGGAGGGCACTTGACTTGCTCACAGTCAACCTGGGTTTGTCCCTGGCATCCCATATGGTCCCCTGAGCTCAGAGCCAAGAGTAAGTCTTTTTTTTTTTTCTTTTTGGTCACACCCAGCAATGCACAGGGATCCCTCCTGGCTCTGCACTCAGGAGTTACTCCTGGCAGTGCTCAGGGGACTATATGGGATGCCGGGAATTGAACCAAGGTCGGCCGCGTGCAAGGCAAACGCCCTACCCGCTGTGCTATGGCTCCAGCCCCAAGAGTAAGTCTTGAGAACTGCTGGGGGTAACCCCAAAAAGCAACAGCAACACATTGTCTTTCTGACCATTCCCTGCTATTGGCAGGAAACGTCATTTGAAGAGTCAGTCTCAATAAATAAGAAGAGCTTGTCTCAAAAAACATCTGTTGAAACATGGAGAGAAATTGCAGGGCTTAAATTCTGAACGCGATTTCGACATTCTGAGCAACCACCAGCAACCACCTGCAGGAGGAGACAGAGACCCTCCCGAGGAGACCTGAGTTTGGAATTCAGGCACACAGACATTGGCAGATCGACAACAGAGAGGTGATAAAACCTTTCCCGTTACCTCCAGGCTGGCCTTAAAGTCACAAACGTGCCAACGCCACGGCATCAGGACAAACATGCCCAAGGAGGGGTTTCTTGCTATTCGGCTTCTGCAGGGCAGAAGGGTCTTGGCTTTCCTGGTTCCCTGAGGAGCTGCTCTCGTTAAACACTCTCTGGCAGAGAGCAAGAAGGAAAGGAGCTCCCAGAGAGGGAGGCTGGGGGTCGGGGGGCGTGGGGGTATGGTGGGGGGGAAACGGGGGACATTCGTGGTGGGAAACGTGTACAGGAACTGCATCATTGTATGACTGAAACCCAATTATGAACAGTTTTGTGATGGTCGCTCTCACGGATATTCAATTAAAAGAAGTTTTTAAGTTTCAAGAAAAGGAATGTGACGTTCATGTCCAATTCAATCAGCTTAATTAATGACTGAGTAAACAGCAGTACTCGAGAGCCTGGCAAGCTACCGAGAGTATCTCGCCCGCGCGGCAGAGCCTGGCAAGCTCCCCGTGACGTATTCAACACGCCAAAAACAGTAACAACAATTCTCACAATTTGTTGTGAGACATTACTGGTGCCCGCTCGAGCAAATCGATGAACAATGGGAGGACAGTGCTACAGTGCTACTCCTACATTTAAAAAAATGGAATTATTTGTCAAAAAAATAAACCAATAAAAACTCTCTGGCAGGGGCAGGAAGGATGTACAGCAGGAAGGGCATTTGCCGTGCATGTGACCAACTGCAAGTCAATTCCTGGTCCCTCGAGCCCAGCAGAAGTGATCCTGAGTACAGAGCCAGGAGTCATCCCTGAGCACCGCCGGGTAGAGTCTAAAAATACCAACAAAAAGTCCCTGGCAGTGTGGGGAGACCAGTGTGTTCATGCCGAGTCCCCCGAGGTGCCCCTGCCATCTGGACCTGTCCCCCCAAGTCAAGACCTGTGCCGGTCATTTCCCCAGAGACACTGAGAAGGCAGGGAGCAGGGCCTGGGGCAGAAAGGAGAAGCATCAGCTCACCCAAGGGCCAGGAGAAGATGGACTCAGAGAAGCCTGAGCTGAGAACCCTGGGGTCTTCTCGGAGTGGGGGCAGGAGGCATCCCCCCATCTCACCTCCATCCTACCAGAAGCCCCAGTAGCCACCCTCACAACCCACCACTGCTACCACAAAAGTTCGTCAGTGGGCCCAGCAGCTCTACAGACTCCTGATGGACTCGCAGAAGAGATCAACCAACAAGCTGAAAAAGTTCATGGACAGGGGCTGGAGCAATAGGACAGCAGGTAGGGCGCTTGCCTTGCACGAGGCCGACCCAGGTTGGATCTCGGCATCCTATATGGTCCCCTGAGCACCGCCAGGAGTAACTCCTGAGTGCAGAGCCAGGAGGAACCCCTGAGCATCGCTGGGTGTGACCCAAAAAGCAAAGAAAAGAAAAAGGAAAATAAGAAAACTTCACAGACACCCCAGTCTTCTAGCTGAAAACTCTGGGGTGCCCTGGGGGGGGGGGTGGGACAAATCCCTGCCCCACAGAATCCCCTGGTGGCCACATCACATCCCAACAACTGCTCCATGCCACTGGCCGGGCTCCACGGGCTCATGCCTAGGCTCTGCAGAGATGCCAAGCTGCCCAAAATTCTCAGTCTTTGGGCTGAGAACTCGGGGGTCTTCACAGAATGGGGGTGAGCATCCTTCCCCCGACTCCCCCTCATACTGCCAGAAGTTCTGGCTACTGCACACTCGTTCCACAACCACTGCCATGGAAGCTTACTGACCAGTTCAGTGCTCTGGAATCTCTGGAGCTGTACCTCCAAATTCCACAATACTGACGTCCCAGTAGGAGCACACCAAAGGAGACGGGACAATGAGAGCACAGAAGCCAACTCGGTGCAATCAACAAAGACAATAACACAGAAAGGTGTGTGCCTGGGGGGGGTCACTCCTGGCAGTGCCTGGGGGCCCCCTCTGGGGTCCGCCTCAAGCAAGACACACACGTCATCCCCTGCACTGGTGGATCGCAGCTGGTGGGTCACAATCCAGGATGCCACCGGGCGCCTTCTTGCATCCAAGAGGGACCACTAGAGCCAACCAGCCCCAAGCCTGCCAGATCCCATCAGATCCCACTGGAGGACGGCTCAGGGGTTTCCTTCTTCTTTAGAGAGGAGGCGGCCAGCTTAGCCCGGCCTTTGGGCGCCAGGGGCTCCCGCTCACAGCTCTGCAGGCTTCCTGGGAAAGCACAATCACCTGCTCTTGCCAGCATCTGAGAAAGAGGTGGGGACCCCAGTGTTCCTGGAGAGACCCCAGGGTGAGGGTAGGTCTGAGAAACCCAGCCACAAGAAGGCCTGACTTTCCTTGTCCTGCAGGGACCAACTCCTCGCTCCAGCCTCAGGCCCCCAGGTGGTGGGGACCGAGGACGAGGAGGAGGCTGCCCGCGGGACCGGCAGGAAGCCAGCACCAGCCCCAGCATCCACCACCGGCGGCTGACTTCACCAGTCCTTCTCTTCCCGAGTATCTCAATGGGACAGGGAGGTCCCCTCATTCTGGGCCTGCCAGCCCTGCCTCCTCCTCTAGGACCTACTAAAGGTATTTTTTTTTCTTTTTGGGTCACACCCGACGATGCATAGGGGTTCCTTCTGGCTCTGCACTCAGGAATCAGCCCTGGCGGTGCTCAAAGGACCCTATGGGATGCTGGGAATCGAACCCGGCTTGGCCGCGTGCAAGGCAAACGCCCCACCCGCTGTGCTCCAGCCCCCCCTACTAAAAGTATTGATCCTCAGGACCAGAGCAACAGTACAACTGGTAGGTCGCTTGCCTTGCACGATTGCCAACCCGGGTTCGATCCTCGGCATCCCACATAGTCCCTCAAGCACCGCCAGGAGTAATTCCTGAGGGCAGATCCGGGAGGAACCCCTGAGCATTGCCAGGTGTGGCACCAAAAACCTTAATAAACTGTTAATGTGTTGATCCTCATTTCAGAAAGTTCCCTTTTAAAATCTTATTTTTTTTGTTTGTTTGTTTGTTTTGCAGCCACACCTGGCAAAGCTCAGGGGTTCCTCCCGGATCTGCACTCAGGAATCGTTCCTGGCGGTGTCAAGGAACCCTGTGGGGTGCTGGGGATCAAATCTAGGTTGGCCGTGTGCAAGCAAACACCCTCTCCAAATCGCTCTGATCCTAAGATGTTCTTCCTTTCTTTGTCTCTTTCTCTTTCTTTTTTTTTTTTCTTTTTGGGTCACACCTGGCGATGCACAGGGGCTACTCCCGGCTCTGCACTCAGGAGTTACTCCTGGCGGTGCTCAGGGGACCACATGGGATGCTGGGAATCGAACCCGGGTCGGCCGCGTGCAAGGCAAATGCCCTACCCGCTGTGCTATCTCTCCAGCCCCTCTTTCTTTCTTTCTCTCTCCTCTTTCTCCTCTCTCCCTCTCTCTTCCTCCCTCCCTCTCTCTCTCTACCTCTCTCTCTCCTCTCCCTCTCTCCCCTCCCTCTCTCACTCTGCCCCCCCCCCCTTAATCTAGTTCAGGTCACACAGCTACCACAGGGTGCATGTTTATGGTATTAATGTCCGCCTCCATTGTGCCCAAACCCTCCAGCCCCACCCCCAGGCCACCTCTAAGCACATCTTTATTGCTCTCCCCCCCCCCCCCCCCCCCCCACGGCTTGGTAACCTGAGTTTTGTAATCCAAGGACTTGTCATCATTCGATACTGTCCACTCCCTTGCTTATCTCTCCAGCACTGGTAAGTGAGGTCAGCGGGGGTTTGTCCTGTTCTCCCTGACTCCCTGCTTTGCACACGATACCCTCCAGCCCTGTCTACATTTCAGCATGATTTCATAGACCTGCTTTTCTTTTCCTTTTTTCTTGTTTGCCTTTTTGGATCACATACGGGATTTGCTCAGGGTTACTGCTGGTTCTGCACTCAGAAACTACTCCTGGTGGGACTGGTGGAGGGACGGGTACTCGGTCATTGTATAACTGAAACCCAAGCACAAAAGTTTGTAAGTCTACAACTGCACCTCATGGTGTTTCACTAATAAAAATTTTTTAAAAATAAAAATAAATTAAAATGAATAAAAAGAAAAAAAAGAACTACTCCTGGTGGTGCTCAGGGGACCATATGGGGTGCCGGGGACCGAACCCAGTTCAGCCATGTGCAAGGCAAATGCCCTATCTGCTGTACTGTCACTCCAGCCCCAGAAGACCTTGGTTTTCTTTCTCGAATGATGTCCCTATTCAGACTCGGCTCACAGCCAGGCTGGAGGGGAAGAGAGATACCCAAAATTCTTACGGCACAGAAAAAAGTCTGAATGACAGACAGCAAAGAGTGAGAAGTGCCAGGTGACCTGGGCATTCCAGAACATTCTGGTCGCAGGGAAAAACAAACAAACAAACAAAAATGAGCATGGAGAAGTCAGTTCTAGGAGTGAGTTTTACTAGGTCCAAGGCTTGAACCCTACCTGCTCATTCTGCAGTGGACAGTGCTCAGGTCACAGGCGACAAGGTGGGGAAAGTCTTCACACAGGATGGACAGCAGAACAGAGCAGAGACTGGGGACCCAGAGGAAACCCCACCCCCACCCCCTGGGCAGCAATCTTTGGCAAGGTTGTACCTTAGAATCACAGGAAATTGCTACGTTTCACCCCAGAGAGGAGCTTACCTTGCTGACACCAGCTCCGCCTCAGATGTTCATGAAAACACATTCAAGTGTGAGCCACCAGTGGTACACAGGGTTGCAACACACTCACACAAATCTAATGACCAGATACCACCGCAGGTCAACTAAATGAGAGATCCCAGACGTGTTGGTGTTTAAAAAAGCTTGCAGGTAAGCCTCCGGCCAGACTGCCCAGTTAAATATTCTGGAATTTCTGGAGTGACGTCTCCAAACTATACAACACTGACATCCCGTAGGAGCACCCAGGTTGGATGGGATGTAACGTAGAACCCAACCCATCTCGACTAACAAAAACGCTAGCACAGAAGGCTTGACTTGCAACGACAGCTTAGTGACCGCCCCCCCCAACAAGGTCTTAATGTCCGCATGGTGAGATACAATACAACAATTTTCACAAGGTTTCTTCCCTAAAAGTACGTTTTGATCATTCCATTAGCCACTTAGCGATAGCAAGCACTATGAAAGAAATGCTTGTGGGCCTGCTGCAGGGGGAGGCTTGAGGGGTGGATGGGAAAATTGGGGACAACAGTGGAGGGAAGGTGACAGTGGTGGTGGACTGGGGTTGGGATTCTGAATGCCTGTAACAGACCCTCAGGAACAACTCTGTAAACCATGGTGCTTAAGTGGTCGGGCGTGGCGTGGGGGGAGGGGAAGCTGGGGGGAGAGAGATCAAGGAACTGGTCACCGGAAGAGGAAATGTCTCGAGGGTGTGAGATCCAGAGTCTGAATCCTGGCACTCGTAACCAACGAAACCCCCTCAGTTGAATCCCGTTCCAGCCAGGACTCACTGATTCCATCTCCAAGCTTACCTACGTGCAGGTGTAAAGAGGTGGTTTGCTGTCTGCTAACCAGTGCCGCAAAACCAGCAGGATAGCTCTGAACACACGCTGAGAAAATTCTTGGACAGACAACCAAGGCCCACCCCCACCCCCAACGCTCCTTCCCCCCCGCCCCGCCACTCCAAAGCACCAAAATCCGGTGCTTCCGACCTGTGAGAGGTACTTATACAGCTGGGGGTCCCGCTCCAGCCCCAGGCACGCCAGCAGCCTCTCTTCCCCACCCTCCAGGAGCTGGTAGAAGATGTGGAAGTTCCGCTCGCCCTGGTTCTGGCAGACAACCCGCGACTTTTCTATCAGGTAACTGGTGATGTGGCCCCCGACAGGAATGCCCTGCAAAACAGTCCAATGACAGCAAGGACAAGTGAAGCCCATCCCACTGTCTTCTTGTTATTGTCGTTTGGTGGTTTTTATTTATTTATTTATTTATTTATTTGTTGCTTTTTGGGTCACACACGGTGATGCTCAGGGTTCCTCCTGGCTCTGCACTCAGGAGTTACTCCTGGCGGTGCTCGGGGGACCATATGGGATGCTGGGGATCGAACCTGGGTTGGCCACGTGCAAGGCAAACGCCCTCCCCGCTGTGCTATTGCTCCAGCCCCGTTAATGTTGTTATGGGTCACATCTGGCCATACTTAGGGGTTACTCCTGGAGGTACTCAGGGGATCAAGTGGGGTGCTGGGGATCGAACCCAGGTTGGTAACATGCAAAGCAAGCACCTTAGCTACTATGCCCATCTTTCCATCCCTGGATCGCTGATGCTTTATAAGAAACATTCTTATCCTGCCACACAGTGTCCCTAAGACCCAGTTGTGTGGCACAGCTGCCACTGGCCAGCTCGCCCTGGGTGACCATCACGCCTCACTCTGCTGCTAGCGGGCGCGGGGTCCTTTTCGGAGTGCAGCCACGTCTAGCCCTGTTTCATCCCAGCAGCTCTGTGACAGGGACACTGGCACGTCTCTAAAATTGTCTCTGGGGACTGGAGCTATAGCACGGCGGGGAGGGCATTTACCTTGCACGCAACCAACCCCAGTTTAACTCCCAGCATCTCATATGGTTCCCCGAGCACCGCCAGGAGTAATTCCTGAGTGCAGAGCCAGGAGTGACCTCCCGAAAAAAAGTTATCTCTGGGCACACAGCATTTCCCTCAGAGATTGGGATTCACCCCCCACCAACACTGTTTCCAGACAGGCTGCACTACCCCTACTCTGAAGACCATAGAGAAGGACCCCACCCCCACCCCACCCCGGGAATGACCCTCTGCCAGCGCCTGGCATGACTGAAAGCAAAGAATGGGACCTCTTGATCCTCAGCACTTGCATTTCCCTGAATTTGCACCAACCCTGGATTTTTCATCCATTTTAGCCAAGAAATGCCCTCCAGGAGCTGGGAAGATAGAGCAATGGGTAAGGCATGACCTTGCACGTGGCTGACCCCGGTTTGATGGCTGGCACCACCCATGTAGTCCCCTAAGTAAGCCCTGAGCACCGTTGGGTGTACACACCCTTCAAAAAATAAAAAAGAAGAAGAAAAAGAAGTAAAGGAAAAAATGCCCTTCCTCCCTCCAGGTGTTTGGGGATGGGCATTTATTGCTTTTTTTTCCTTTTTGGGTCAACCCGGTGATGCACAGGGGTTCCTCCTGGCTCTGCACTCAGGAATCGCTCCTGGCGGTGCTCGGGGGACCATATGGGATGCCGGGAATCGAACCCAAGTTGGCCGCATGCAAGGCAAACGCCCTCCCCGCTGGGCTATTGCTCCAGCCCTGGGCATTTATTGTTGGCAAGTTACAAGGTCCCAGGGGTAAGGAACGAAACATGAATTTACCTTAAAATCAAACTGGATATCCATGTACTTCCCAAATCTGCTGGAGTTGTCGTTCCGGAGCGTCTTGGCGTTTCCAAAGGCCTTAGAGTCAGAGTGGGGGAAGGGCAGCTAGGCACTGGCGCTGGCACTGAGCCTTGCTCGGGTATTTTGGTTCGCTTTGGGGTCACACCCGGCCGTGTTCAGGGATGACTCCTGGCTCCACACTCAAGAATGTCTCCTGGCAGTGCTCGGGGTCCACAAGGGATGCAGGGGATCGAACCCAGGTTGGCTGCGTGCAAGGTAATTCCCCTCCCCACCACACCATTTTTCTTGCCCAGGGCACGTGGCCTTGCATGTGGCTGACCCAAGTGCCATCCCAGCACCACAGGACTCTGGGTATTGCCAGAAGCAGCCCCCAAACACAGAGCTGGTTGTAGCTGGTTGTAGCTGGTTGTAGCCAACTCCCTGCACATCCAAATAAAAGAAGTTGGGGTGGGGGGGTGACTGAAACTGTCCTTGTCATTCAGGCTCACCAGGCCCTTCAGATACGAGGCGTGAATCCCTTTCCCAGCTTCTGAGCAAGAATCACTAAACACAGTGGATTTGGAGCCAGAGCCAGAGCGCGGATCGTACCCTGGGGAGGGCGTTTGCCTTTCATACAGCCGACCCGGGTTCCCTGAGCCCACCAGGAGTAAACCCTGGACCCTGACTGGTGTGGCCAAAAAACAAGCAGGTGAAAACGAGAGTGGGTTTGACGCCAAACAGGGCGTAACCCACGGACAAGAAGAGAAACTGAAATAAAGAAGGAAGACCATCTTCTCCCCAGAATCCAGTGGAGGAGGAGGAGGAGGTTAGGAAGGGCCAAGGAGACGGACACTGGGTGGAGACTTGCTGTTCTAGAAGACACAGCGGCCGGTGCCCTCGACGCCAGGCCTCCTTATATCTGGGTGATTTCGATGGAAGGATGCAATGGGGGCCGGAGCCATAGTATGGCAGGGAGGGCGTTTGCCTTTCACACGGCAGACCCGGGTTCAATCCCCCCATGCCCCATATGGTCCCCCGAACACTGCCAGGAGTAATTCCTGAGTGCAGAGCCAGGAGTAAACCCTGAGCAGTGCCAGGTGGGGCCCCCCCACAAAAAAAGCCAAAAATCTCTCTCTCTCTCTCTCTCTCTCTCTCTCTCTCCTTCCCTTTCTCCTTCTCTGTCTCTCTCCCTCCCTCTTTTTTCTCTCTCCCTCTCCCTCCTCCATTCCACTCCCTCTCCTCTCCCTCTTCCTCCCTCCCTCTCTCTCCTCTCTCCTCTCTCCCTCCCCCTCCCCTCCCCCTCCCCTCCTCCCTCTCCCTCTCCCTCTCTCTCCATCCAGTAGAATACTATCTTACTGCTTACTGACCTGCTGCGTGCTTTCTTGTGCCTGCCTCTCATCTAACCCTCAAAAGCCTGCTGCGAGGCAGGTCCTCTGACTAGAGCCAGTCCACAGACGGGGAGCAGGGACCCGGGCACAAAGGGACCTGCCGTGTGGCTGCCATGCTAGCATCCAGGACCGTGGAGTTTCCAGGCCCCGTAAGTTACCACAGCATTCCCGAGAGACCCCCTCCTCAGCTCCCAGGCACGAACCTCCCAGCAGCCTCCCCAGCACTGGCCCCCGACTCCTCCGGGGACTCCCAGGAGCGCCCACCTCCAGCACCGGGTTGGAGAGTAACAGTCTATCGCGGGCAGTCTGCAGTGACTCGGTCATGGGGCAGGTCACTGCGAAATACTGGAGGATCTTCTTGGAGGCCTCCGTCTTGCCTGCGCCGCTTTCTCCGGAAATGAGGATGAAGTGGTTGTTCAGCTCCGAGCACATCATGCGGTAGGCGTTGTCGGCTATGGCGTACCTGGAGGAGCGGGGAGGGCGCGGGAGGGGAGGGAAGTGGCTTCCGGGACACTTCCCTTGGCGTGACTGCCACGGGATGGAAGGACGAGGGGCCTCCCTGCCAAGAGCCAGGAGCACTCCGCAGGGTCACACGTAAATTCCACTAGACAGCAGAACCCCAATAGCAGAAGAATTAATCAATAACTTGGGTAGTCATGAGAACTATTTTATCTACCAAATCAATGGGGGGGGGGCAGTTGGGCCATACGCAGAGATGCTCAGGCCTTACTCCCGGCTCTGTGCTCAGGGGTCACTCCTGGTAGGCTCAGGGAACCATGTAGGGTGCTGGGGATTAAACCTCGGTCAGTTGTGTGCAAGTCATTGTTTTTGTTTGTTTTTTAGGTTTTGGTCCACACTGGCTGTGCTCAGAGCTTACTCCTGGTTCTGCATTCAGGGCTCACTTCTGGTCGGCTTGGGAATGAATATGGGGTACTGGGGATCGAAGTTGGGTTGCCCAGTGCAGGGCAAGCACCCTCTATTTTGACTGTCGATCACTGTCACTGTCCCCTCGTTGTTCATCGATTTGCTCGAGCAGGTTCAGTAACGTCTCCATTGTGACACTTGTTACTGTGTTTGGCATATCGAATACGTCACGGGGAGCTTGCCAGGCTTTGCCGTGAGGGCGAGATACTCTTGGTAGCTTGCCGGGCTCTCCGAGAGGGGCGGAGGAATCGAACTCAGGTCGGCCACGTTGGTTGCATGCAAGGCAAATGCCCTACCTGCTGTGCTGTCAATAATTCTCTATAAGTCGAATACTAAGTTATACCCAAGAGATGTTGCAGTAACTGCAGGTAGAAATGATACTGTGTGTTAAATGATTTGATAAAATACGATCCCATGTTTCTCTCTCCTCCAAAATTTAGGACACTAAACGTGCACAGAGAGGGACGATTTTAAAGTTTCTGTGACCTCTTCCAGACAAGAGTTAAAATGTAAGAGGCGCTGGAGTGATAGGACAACAGCTGGGGCACTTGCCTCGTACGCGGCTAACCTGGGTTCAATTCCCGTTTTCCTATGTGGTCCCCCAAGCACTACCAGGAGAAATTTCTGAGGGCAGAGCCAGGACTAACACAGAGCAATGCAAAAGCAAAGCAAGAAACTTATTCTAAGAGCTTTTCCTCCCAGATTAGAAACCCAAGCGTGAAGGTCTCCCTGGAGTATAACCTTAGCATGTGGTAAGAGTTTGAAAGGCAATCGCTTCAGGCGCTGCTGGTGGTGGTAATGCAGAAAGGTTCATAACTGGGGCTGGCGAGATAGCACAGCGGGTAGGGTGTTTGCCTTGCACGCGGCCAACCCGGGTTCGATTCCCAGCATCCCATATGGTCCCCTGAGCGCCACCAGGAGTAATTCCTGAGTGCATGAGCCAGGAGTAACCCCTGAGCATCGCCGGGTGTGACCCAAAAAGCAAAAAAAAAAAAAAAAAAAAAAAGAAAGAAAGGTTCATAAGTGTATTGTGAAGTGGAATGACTGTGTCACCAAGAAAGATAAGTGGAAACCCAAATATTAACCCAGAATTATTAACGAGAAAGGAGAATTTCAAAATTCAGCAAAGTCTTTGTGCCTATAGACCTGAGCGTCTGAGGGGTCTACGGCCCTGGTCACTGTCACTGTCACTGTCCTCCTGTTGTTCATCAATTTGCTCAAGCAGGCCCAGTAACATTGTGAGTCTTGTTACTGTGTTTGTCATATGGAATACGTCACGGCTAACTTTCTTTTATTTATTTATTTATTTATTTAGGCTTTTTGGATCACACCCAGCTATGCTCAGGGGTTACTCCTGGATCTGGACTCAGAAATCACTCCTGGCGGTGCTCGGGGGACCATGTGGAAAGCTGGGGATTGAACCCAGGTCGGCCGCGTGCAGGGCAAGTGCCCGATCTGCCGTACTATGTCTCTCCAGCTGCCCTGGTAACTTTCTACCAAGGTTCATCTCTTGAATGACTGGAATATTCAGGCACCAGCAGAAAGTAGACAGTCCCAGACACCTTTTGAACCACACCCTAACTCTCATCTCTCAGTAGTAACACAGATTCCACCTCTCATGGAGATGCCAAGATGTGACAATGATCTGAAGTTGTCTATGGCTTCGAATGCCTTGTTCCATAAGAAGGCGGCCATTGGAGTGAGGTCCAGGGCCATAGAGACAGTTCAGTGGTAGAGATCAGCCTTCACCGGTGTGAGGTCTTGGGCTCAATCCCCAAGATTAAGCACTGGGGCAGAGGGAGGAATTTAAGTGACGTATAGGATCTAATTAGTATGTATCAAGAATCTGGGTAACAAAAAGAGAGAGAGAACAGAGGGGAATGCCCTGCCACAGAGGCAGGGTGGGATGGGGGGGTTGGGGGGTGGGAGGGATACTGGGATCCGTGGTGGTGGGAAATGGGAACTGGTGGAGGGATGGGTACTTGATCATTGTATAATTGAAACCTACAGGGCAGAGTCTGGCAAACTCCCCATGGCGTACCAAATATGCCAAATACCAGTAACAATGATGGGTCTCATTCTCCTAAAGAGCCTTGAATATAATCTCAGGGCTAGGATGAAAGAGACGTTACTGGGGCCTGCTCGAGGCAATCGACGAATAACAGGATGATGTAATGAAATGAAAATGAAAAAATAATTGAAACCCAAGCACAAAATTTGTAAGTCTACAACTGTACCTCATGGTGTCTCACTAATAAAAAAATAAAAACGAAAGAAAGAAAGAAAGAAAGAAAGAAAGAAAGAAAGAAAGGGTAAGCAGCATACCACCCCATTAAAAATTTTAGACTTCCTGGAGGTTTAAACTCATCTCAAACTCTACAACACTGAGACCAGGAGCAACACACCAGATTGGATGGGATGTAATCTCAATGAACAAAATCTAAACACAGGGCTTAACCTGGAACATCTTAGTAAACTCTTATACACCGGCTTAATGGCTCCATGGTAAGATACAACAATCTTCACTTGCTTTCTTCCAAGGAAACATTTGTTTTTGGCAAATTCTTTTAGCAAATTATTGATAACACGCAATATAAAATCAATTATCGAGGTCCTACAATGGGGGTGGGCTTAAGGGGTGGTTGGGAAAATTGGAGATAATGGTGGTGGGAAGGTCAATGGTGGTGGAATTAATGTTGCTATATTTCAATGTGGGTTTTTTGTCAATGCCTGTAATGAATCACCATAAGCAACTTTGTAAACCACCGTGTTTATCCAGTGGAAGGGGAAAACAAAATTTTAAAAAATAGTTCAAAAAAAGAATTTGGGTATGTGGTGGGTGGAAAGATGACTAACCAGGCACATAAGTGGCTAGACGGACGGATAGATGGGTGAATGGATGGATGGGGTAGGGGGAAGCACAGAGAGCGGGAAGACAGAAACATGCAGGATCAATGACCTGATGCGTCACTTACACATGTGGAGGCAGTTCAAAGAAATTGACGCCTTGATAAAGTTCCATCTGGCTCACTGTGTAGATCCCGAGTTCCTGGTATGGGTTCACGGACACAAGGAGAGTCCCGATATACGTCTAGAGGGATGGACCAAGGAACTAGTGAGGGATTCCACAGTGGCACCAGCGTAGCCCGCCTAATAGCAGCATCACATCTTTATTCAATGCGGGAGAGATCACATGATACATAAAACCAGTGGGGTCTCTGTCAACATGGAACTTACACGGAGGGGAGGGCCCAACCAAGGAGCCAACCAGGGGATCAAGACTGCTTTCATGGGGCTGGAGTGATAGCACCGGGGGTAGGGTGTTTGTCTGGCACGCGGCCAAACAGGGTTCAATTCCCAGCATCCCATATGGTCCCCTGAGCACTGCCAGGAGTAATTCCTGAGTGCAGAGCCAGGAGTAACCCCTCTGCATTGCCAAGTGTGACCCAAAAAGAAAAAAAAAACTGCCTTTGTGAGAGATGTGCGCTAAGAGAGGGATGACAGGAGGCCTGGAGCAACTGAACACCACCCCGCCAAGAAGGCTCAGGAAACGCCTCCCTCAGGAAGTAACCACTGGGCCCAGATTTGAAGAATAAGGAGCAAGTCAAAAAAAAAAATACTCAGCAGCAAGGGTGCCCTGGGCTGCAGAAACAAGAGGCGCATCTTGTTGGCCTCTCAGAGGCCAGTGAGGTAGGCAGTGATGGAAAATGCTAAGAAGTGATGTCCGAGGGAGGGGACCAAACTCAGTGACTGCTGGGATCATGGCTACTTCTCTAGAAACACACGTCACGCCTGCCCTGAGAGATTCCGTAAAAGGGAAAGTGTTCAGAGGGGAACACCGTAATCTGTTGGTTCCCCAAGATCTCTTGGGCCACTTGGTGCTGGGCATGGTCAGCACTTGACCCCTTAAAGAATGACAGAAGGAAGGGGCTGGAGCAATAGCACAGCAGGGAGGGCATTTGCCTTGCACATGGCCGACCCAGGTTCAATTCCCAGCATCCCATGTGGTCCCCCTAGCACCGCCAGGAGTGATTCCTGAGTGCGTGAACCAGGAGTAACTCCTGTGCGTCGCTAGGTGTGACCCAAAAAAATCAAGAAAGAAAGAAAGAAAGAAAGAAAGAAAGAAAGAAAGAAAGACAGGAAAGAGTTGGTCAATCTCATTTTTCCCTTTTTTCCCTGCATGGCATCTATTGCCTTTTTCTTTTTCTTTTTGGGTCACACCCCGCGATGCACAGGGGTTAATCCTGGCTCTGCACTCAGGAATTACTCCTGGCGTTGCTCAGGGGACCATATGGGATGCTGGGAATCGAACCCGGGTCAGCTGTGTGCAAGGAAGATGCCCTACTGCTGTGCTATCACTCCAGCCCCTTATTGCCATTTCCAATGGATTACTTTGAGGAACCTCTTCTGGGTCTCAGTCCACATGGTGACTGGACAGCTGCTCCTAACCTCACCCCCAACTTCTGGGGTAAATCATCTGGCCAATCAGAATACCCGCTATCTCTAGCTACCGGGGTTGGTTCAGAGAGAGGCACCTGACCCACGGGGAGCCAATCAGAGCCTGCCCACACCTGGACCAGCTTGCTCTAAGCTCAGTATTGGCCCTCAATGGATGGATCTTGGGCAGTTTCTGCTGGTGGGTGTTTGACTGTTCCTGCTGTTTCTACCAGCTTGTTCCCTAAAGAGAAGCCACCCTGGATGGAAACGATCACAAAAGGCAGAGATATGGCACGGAGTTTTTAAGGTATCACCTAAGACTCTGTGTCTATTGGGGGACCCTACAGCTATACAGATGGAGAGACCCCTTTTGTGGCTTCAGCCCTGTAAGCTGGTCTCTGTTCCCGGCCATCACAAAGACCTTAGTAAACAGGGTCGAGGCAGATCTGTCAGTCGCCCCTCAAACCTCCCTGTAAGAACTGACCTAATGGAGTGGCACTGCTTGCTGGCATTAGGGCTGAGGGACAGAGAGGGGAACCATTGGGGGGGTGAGAATAGCTGAACCCGGGGTTCCATTACATAGATGAGATTCTCTCTGAAACGCTTGCGCAGATTGTCCAGAAAAGCAGACTCGCTGGTGTGCGCGTCCAGCAGCACGAAATCCTGCACCCCGACCTTGTCCCGAGCTGTGAGCGTGCCTTCCATGTGCAGCCGAATGTGCTTCCTCCTCACCTCTTCCTTCTGCAGGAACAGAACCAGGGTTCAGCAGGTCATTTATTCAACTCTTTCTTTCTTTCTTTCTTTCTTTCTTTCTTTCTTTCTTCCTTCCTTTTGGTGAATCACCGTGAGACACAGTTACAAAGCTTTCATGTATGAATTTCAGTCATACAATGATCCAACACCCATCCCTCCACCAGGGCACATTCTCCACCACCAGTGTCCCCAGTATCCCGCCCCACCTTTCCCATCCTCCCCCTGCCTCCATGGCCGACAATTTCCCCCACACACTCTCTCTCTCTCTACTTTTGGGCATTATGGTTTGCAATACAGATACTGAGAGGCCATCACGTTTGGTCCTTTATCTACTTTCAGCAAACATCTCCCATCCCGAGTGATGCCTACAGCCATCACTGACTTAGTGATCCCTTCTCTATCCCAGCTGCCTTGATCTCCCAGTGATCAACTAGTTCTTTTGCCGGCTATAATGGAAAAAGCAAGACGCGATTGCCAGGGTCTGAATCTGCATGACCTCAGCGCCTGCTTTCCTGGCCACCGTATACCCAAAGGAGTCTTGACGAGATGAACTCTGCAAGTGAATCTGGCAGGAGAGAGAAATTTTTGTACTCAAGGAAATGTATACGTGCAGACTTTTAGAACTCACTGGAGAAGGTGCAGCTGCAGCAAGAGAGCTGTGGGTCACCAGGTTTGGATCTGAGCCAGTTCGTGTCACCAGGCAGCAGAAGAGCCCACTAGGGCCCCAGTGAGCAAAGGGACTCAGATCACCACTGTTAGGGATGCTGCTGAAATGGGAGCTTGGGGACGCACGATGGCTGTGTCTGGAAGATGGTCACTTGGCCCTGGCAGGACTCAAAGGTCACCAAGGGACTCTGCTCCGGGCAGACACTTAGGGCTTGTCTCCTTCAGGGGGAGGGGGAGGAGGAGGAGGAGGAGGAGAAAGAGGAGAAGGAATAAGAGAAGGAAGAAGAGGAAGAAAAGAGGAAGAGGAAGGAGGAGGAAGGAGGGAGAAGGAAGAGAAGAAAAGAGGAAGAAGGAAAGAGAGGAAGGAGAGGAGGAAGAGGAGGAGGAATGAAGGGGAAGGAGGAGGAGAAGAACAAAGAGGAAAAGAAGGAGAAGGAGAAGACGGAGGAGGAGGAGAGAAGAAGAAGGAAGAAAAAAGAAACCAAGCCCCCGCAATTGCAATGCTCCTTTACTGCCCTCTAAGGACAAAAATTAACGTCACACTTCCCTGTGCAGAAATGCTTAAGGAGCCCAGTCAGGACAAGCAGGTACTGAAGGGCGAACTGGAATCTGGTCCATGTTGGCAACCAGCACGAATGTAAAGTCCTAGATTGGCCAAAACAATCTTGAGGACGAAATACTAAGCTATAGGATGAAACGACATTAAAGAATTCAGTGCAGCCATCCCCGGAGGGGGCGACCAAATCCGCCCCCCCCCCCCCATCCAAAGTCCACTGACCTCCACAGAGATGCTAACCTGACAAAAATCTCAGGGACACTGGACTTTTGTTTTGGATGAAAACTCCTGGCCTTCTCAGAGTCAGGGCGACCTCCCCCCACCTCCCTGTACTTCCGGGAGCCCCGGCCACATCCCACCATGTAAGCTCATCTACCGGCCTTGATCCAGAGACCCGTAAGCACATCTCAAAAGAGATCACCTAGAGGCTGGAGCGATAGCACAGCGGGTAAGGAATTTGCTCTTCACGTGGCCGACCCCAGTTCGATTCCCAGCATCCCATATGGTCCCCTGAGCACTGCCAGGAGTAACTCCTGAGTGCAGAGCCAGGAGTAACCCCTGTGCATTGCCGGGTGTGACCCAAAAAGAAAAAGAAAAAAAGAGATCACCTAGCCTCAAAAAATTTTTGGTTCGATCCCCCGCATCGCATATGGTCCACCAAACACCACCAGAAGTGCTCCCTGAGCACAGAGCCAGGGGTATGTCCTGAGTATTGCCAGTGTGGCCCTCTACCTGCCCCCAAAAAGATTTCAGTGCAGAAGAGGCAAATCTCTTTCATCAAAGAAATAGTGAAGGAAACATTAGACATCCATAGGAAAAATTTTTCAACACTTATCTCACACTACACGTATAATACACGCCAAACCATAGAGAAGGGGAAATTCTGTGTTTAGGGAATGAGGGACCTTGAGATAGTACTTTTAGTTCTCAGGGCCTGGGCACGGTATGCAGGGGACCCCAGGAGGATGAAGGCCGTAGGATGAACAGGGTAGAAGAGTCCCCCTCTGGTGCCAAGAAGGGGCAGGGAACAGCGTGGCCTGTGCAGTGAGGGCTGGAGGGATCAGTGGAGACCCAGAGACCAGGAAGAACAATTTTTCACCCAGAGAAGCAGGAAGTCTGTTGGTAAACAGATTTCCCTGTACCTCGAACCCGGTTTGGCTGCGTACAAGGCAAGCACCTTTCCCATTGCACTATCTCTGTAGCCCCAGTAAGATAATAATTTTTAATTTAAAAAGAAATAGCTATGACCTTCCCCCCGCCTGGACCAGACCCCGAGTTGCTGCCCACGAAGGGCTCCTCCTCTCCTGAACGGCCGTGATCCCAGAGGCGCACACACCACTCTGGGAACCCAGTGGCTTCTGGCAGAAATGCCTCTGGACTGGATTACTAAAATACAAGAAATCCAAAATCATATGCTCTTCATTATCAGCAATAGAAAACAAATTATCTAATGATGACTTTTCAGCAGGTCTGATAGTTGGGGGGAAATTCCAAATAATAATAGTGGGTCTTCTGTTGAAAAATTGAATGTAATCAAAGTAGAGAGAGAGTCAAGTGGAAATCATCTGCCACACAGGCCGCAGGGAGGGGTGGGGTAGGGGGTATACTGAGGTTCTTGGTGGTGGAACATGTGCACTGGTAAAGGGATGGGTGTTTGATCATTGTATGACCGAAACTTAAATCTGAAAGCTTTGTGACTGTTCTCATGATGATTCAAAAATAAATAAATAAAAAAATAAAAATAAAAATAAGCCATGATAAAGTTGGAACAAAAATGGCTATGAAAAAAATAGGCCAGAGAGATATCTCAAAGAGCTCAAATATACACTTTGCATGCGGAAAGTCTGGATTTGACCCTCAGCATCACTGAGGATTCCCTGAGCACCACCAGGGTGAAGCCCCTAAGTACAGAACCAGGAGTGGCCCCCAAGCACCACTGGGCATGACTCCCAAATTCAAATAAGAAGAATTTTAAAACAAGAATTCTAACGAATCAAATCAATATCTTCTCATCAAAAGACTTTGCAAACAGGGGCTGGAGCAATAGCACAGTGGGTCGGGCGTTGGCCTCGCACGCGGCCGACCCGGGTTCAATCCCCAGCATCCCTAGGGTCCCCCGAGCACCACCAGGAGTAATTCCTGAGTGCAGAGCCAGGAGCAACCCTTGAGCATCGCCGGGTGTGACCCAAAAAGACGCAACAAGCGAGCCTGAATGGCAGAAAGACATACCCGCGAAGGGTCTGTATCCAGAACAGTGACCAGAACAATCACAAGAAGGAAAGACTCAAAAGACTCAGGCCACAGTGGAGTTCATGCCCAATTCAATCAGCCTAATCGACGGCTGAATAAATAGCAGTACTCCTACATAAAAAAAAAAAATAGAATCAGGACACAGACTCCAGGGCACCCCTGCTAAAGGCAGGTGGACGGCTGGTCTGGATCTACTCAGGAAGATGGGCCGCCCGCTCAGGCCTCAGGGAAGTATAGGCAGGAGGTCCGACAAGAGCCAGCACCCACTTCTGGCAGGAATGTAAAGCGTCGGAGTGGCTTCGGGAGCGCCTGGCAGACCCTAATGAAGCTCCCCATGCCCTCCCCGTGATCCACCCATTCCACTCCTGGGTATTTACATAAGAGACATGTAAACAGCTGCCCGCGGACGACTGGAACACGGAGGTTTAGATCAACGTTATTCACAGGCTCCCCCGCCTTGGAAACAATCCAAATTCCTATCACGGGCAGAATGGAAAGGGACAATGGAGAGGCCGGCGGACAATGGGGAGGGGGCTGTGGTACAGAGGAACGGCTGCGACGCCCAGTGACATGATGGTGCCCACAGACATTCGGCAGAGTGAAAGGACTCGGGCACAAAGGAGCACATGCCGTGGAGTCCGTTTCTATGAAATTCTAGGACAAGCCAAAAGAATCGACGGTGAAAAATGGGAACGAGTGCAGGCTGGCCGGTGGGGGTGCCGCGGGCGTGTTTGAGTGTGTGTGAGTGTGTGTGTGTGTGTGTATGCACGTGTGTGCATGCGTGTGTGTGCATGTGTGTACGTGTGTATACGCTCGTGTGTGTGTGCACGCGTGTGCATGGATAGCGTGTGCCTGTGTGTATGCATGTGTGTGCGCGTGTGCATACGTGTGTGTGTGTGTGTGCGTGTGTAATAGAGGTACTGTCTACTAACGGACATTTCTGGAGCCGTGGAACCGGGCTGTGCCTTCCTAGCTGGGTCTGTTTGTCAAGAGACATTCTCAAGCTTTCATTCCCTTTCATGCATGCGAATCATTTTAACAAGAAGAACCACAGAGGCAGGGAGATGGTTCAAAGGCCTGGAGCACAGACCTCGCAGGCAGGAATCCTGGGTTCGATTCCTAGCACTGCCCGAGCACCAAGCTGGGAGTAACTCCCCTAGACTACCACCTGGTATGGCCCCTGAACAACAAAAGAACAACAAAAGATCGCCAGATGGGGGAGGAGAGGGATGGAGAGTGGGTCTGTCGCAGGAAGAGCGCAGGCGGGTAGCGACTTCGGAAGACGGGTGTAGGAGAGATTGAGTCTGCGCCTCTGTTTACTTTGTATTTCCCCCCCCTTTTTTCCGTCTGGTTTTTAGGGTTTTAGGGTTTTTCGGATACTAAAACCATAGGGGTCTCTGGGGATTGAAACAGAGGTGGGGGGAGGTGTCAGCTGCATGCGAGTGACTATCTCCAGCCTCCTCAACTTTTTGCTACTTTTTTTGAACATTTCTAG